GTCGAAGACATTGGGTTGAAAGAGGTGCATTATTTGATGAAACTCCCCATGGGTCAGACTCGCATCAACGTGCTGGATGCCTGCGTCGTGAAAACTCTCACACTAGAAGAGCTGAAAAGACACCAGTTTTGGCAGTCATGAGTTCTTGCTGTGCTGTGAAGAGTGCCATGGTCACCTCTTATTCCCGTTTTTTCTCCTCTCTTCATTTTTTTCACTTTTAGATCGTTACTGTTTTTGTTATTTCTGGTTTGTGTTATGGCGTTGTCGGTTGTTTTTTCTGCTTCTGTATTACCATGATTCATGAAAGCAACCCCCAACCATTCTTTCAATACTGCTCTGTTGGATTTTTGTCTTGCGAGGTTTCTAAAGTCATGTATACTCGAGAGTTGTCAGTTTTTCATCAAGTCTCATACATTAAGATAAAGCAAGTGAGTGGACAAGCTTGATTTCATGCCATCCAAAATATACGCGTAAGTTACCCATCGAGAACTTACAGGAATCTAGGCTGCAATCCTTATTGCGATTTGTATACACTGATAAAGTTGGCTTGTCTGTATTCTCCGATAGCCATCCGGTCTAACCATCTATCAGCCCACAAGATAGATAATCCATAGGAAAACCGCAGCCCCAAAACCTCAGTTCTATGTATCTTTACCTTATTGGAGAGGTATAGATCGTACATCGCTCGGGCCTCGTAAGTGACTTATTGAAGTATTGCTTTTTGAATGAATGAGGCATCATCATGCACATCGCAGATCGCCTGTTTCGGATTAGCCGTAGTCGCACAAGAAAGATCAGCACATCGGCCCCACTTCAGCCTTATCGATTACCACCCCCCATGCTTGAAGAAGATATGCATAGCGGTGTTGTACCAGGGTACTTTGTTGTCTGAAGGCTGGTAAGTTGCGGGGAAGGTTTCTGGCAGGGCGTTGCTTGATTAGTTGGTACTCCTTAGGGTATCTTGACAAAAGCAACAACTGCGGCAGATTTTTGGTATATGACCAGACTCTAGCCCGGCCTTTGTCCAGAATAAACACACTGCGCTCAAATAATAACCACGTGAAGCTTTCGGGATATCACATCTGTTCCGTGGGGCGTAGTTTCAGTACTACTCGAGTGCACAGAGAGCTAGCTGTTAGTACATGTAGATGGTCGTTGTATCCACCCAACTACCGTCTGTATGCTTTTTTTTTCCTTTTCTCTCTGACTAGGCTATTCCATTCGGAGACTTTCGTTCGGCGGCTGATAGATTATTCGAGGTGCTATTATAGCTCTATATTGTATCTGAGGTTTCAAGCGGGGGAGGGGAGCAAGTACAGGCCTATAGCTAATGCTAGATGCGCATCACCCGAACTGATTCCAATCATGCAACATCTCAGTTGGCTCTGATAAGAAGCGGATCGAATACTGCAGTATGTATGGTTTGGGTCGATGAGGTTGACGCAGAACGGGTAGGGATGGTTTTTGTGGACCTATGCGAAGCAACACTGGTGGTTCAAATAGTGGTTAGCATTAATGTGGCACAAGATACGCACGAAGCTTGGTACGTGATATCAGTGACTTCCCTGGTTAGCTCGATTATCGATGAGATCTGGATTGGACGTGCGGTTAAATGTTTACGCTTTGACTTTTTATTCCCTATGCCAACGACCGACCTGAAACTGTTCCAATAGTGTTTTCACACACCTGCAGCAGCTGTGTTTGCATCGTGTATTGTCGATTCTAAATACTCACTAGCTCGGGTTATTCTTATCGGACCAGAGGGAGTGGCCCAATGTTTTACCATACCGTTATCTTTATAGGAAGCCGCAGAGCCAGAAGTCCTTCATCCTGCGAGTGATTTATTGTGAAGAAGTGTAACACAAGTGGCGAATGATCGATCTTGAACCTGAAATCTCTTTCGTATCACGGTAAACATGCATCAACAGAAGGATGGCTTGGCAAGAGAGGGCACACCAAAACATCCTACGCCCTGCCGCTAGAAGCCCAACTCTCACCCAACCCTAGTGCCAAGCCGTACCTCTACTCGTATTTTCCTGACGTTTGTAAAAGGAACCACTATTGCATACCATACAGATACGCGCCAAGTCCACAATTTAGTATGGTATGCAATAGCGGTTCCTTTTACAAACGTCAGGAAGATACCAGTACTGGTATATGTAGGTTTAAGAGTAGGGAAAGTGGTCTTATATATGACTACCCGCCGATATTTGATGCAGGTACAGTGCAGCTTCACATCAACCGTGGAACTCCAGGACCTGTCACCTGAAACATGCAACCATCCCGGAAAGCTACATAAATGACTCAGGCAACAGCCGTTTGACGGAGCTATGATTTGACATGATGTGCTTCTCAAAAGTTTAGATATAGACCTTCATCTCGCCAATTCAGCCTGTTAGAAAAGAGTCATTACCAGTACATGTATCAGATGTCAAGTGCTACTAGGGGTGCATGCATTTTGGAGAGCCAGCTGTCATGCCAGTGTCAGATTCATGAATCTGGACAACAAGGTATGTACGCTTGGTATCCATGTCGATCGTTCTCCATCTTCATAGCCCACATCATACCAATAGAGTGCATTATATAATACATACATAAGTACGTACGCATATGCTGAATTATGTAAAGCTTCATGCAACTCTTTCCTTTCAAAAGCCCAACACGTCGTCCATGTATTGCACATATTGTAAGATACATGTATCTTGTATCTTGTCAACAAGGAAATACATCGCTCTTAAGGTTCATTTTTAATGCACTTCCAATTGTAAGCTAAAGACAATCTAGCTTTATACACCGTTATCTATTGTGGCCTGATGTATTCATCTTTCCCGGATCCCAGAATAAAACGATATTCTCATTAGACTGGATTCTTACGTGACTCGACCAAGATCATAGCGGTCAGGCCCTAGATGACTTATTCTATACTATCAGACATCTCAATGGGTGGCACCCAACCCGGGAATGACCCGGGTAGCACCCGGCGGGTATGGTTGGGTACGGCCTCTTTTTCAACGGGTCGGGCCGGGTATGACTTATATTTTGACCCGGGTATACCCAGTTATTTTATGGGTGAGAAAAAGGCACTTCATCACTGAAAAATATATATATATATATTTCAAATCCCCACTGTGGTAATTCTCAAATATCTCCGAAATTACATGAAAGGAATAGTATACCTCCGGATTTATACCCATATATAAAGAGGCGGGCTTATCCGGGTAAAACACCCGTGGGTTGGGCCGGCCGGGTTGGGTACAAATATTCAAAGGTCGGGTCGGGTTGGGTACAGACTCTTTTGATACCCGGGTGTACCCATTGAGATGTCTGTATACTATCATTATTCATGTCACTTCTATAGCTAGAGTTGTTCACGTGACGTGTCTCTAGAGGCAGAGCATCGATTAATCGTCACCTATTGCGCCGGTTTTGATGGAGAAAATAGACGGTAAGATGAAAAGGTAACTGATAGCGCTCCAATTGAAAGCATCCTCACATCTCTTTCTCCTACATTTTGGATTTCTAGTTGGTATGACGACTAGGACACTATTGAGGCTTCTCTGTGGCTGTGATGCGCTGAAAATTTAAACTCGGATAAAGATATACATGGGGGCTAGATTCATGTAGTCGTCCACGCCCGCTATTCCGTGTTCCTCGATAGGTCCGGGGAGTAATCCGACATGGATGGACGATTACAACGTATGGGTCCTTCCAAACTCTGATTTTTAACCACTTTCTTGAAGGTATTCTTATGTCTAGATATTTGATTTAGGAACAGATATACACACACCAATTATATAAATATACTCAGTTTTCGAAATTTCGTACAAATGTGAGAGTACATGCTGGTAAAAGGAAAGAAATTTGATAAAGTCTTAATATAACTGTTAATGATATTAACATGGTAATCCACCTAATTCCCCCCGGCACCATAAACAAGTCTGACCTAAAACTATTAAGAATATTGTTATTAAAATAATGAGTGGCGGATGTTGCGGGATAAAATATTCACGTTCCCTCCAATGTGGGCACCGATCTATAGAGTTAAATTAATAGTAGATTAAACGACTATTATAGCTGGCACTAGAGCCAGAGCACTCAGCTGATTCCCACTAGGCTCTTCAATTGACCCACCCTTGATTTGTTCAATCTTGGGTTAATTCTATGATGGTACGTTGGACATGTTTGGTGAGCAATCATATGTTTGATACGACGTATATATACAATAAATGATCCAATCACCTAGCGAGATGATATCCTCAATTATGTAGTTCATGTACTTAAATGCGAGTATATAAAAAGATTTTAAGTCGATGAGCCATCTTATAAGTATCATTGGGGATTTGATAAATTTAATATTCTTGAAATTAACATGAAGAGTCGAGACGAACTTATAATATAACAACTATCAACGCCATCTCTTGGTTCAGAACAGATCAAACCCTACCATCAAGCTACATGTATTATAATTAAGTAGATACTTTTAGCTTACATATGCTTTTACAAATTCATATTTACGTATTCTCCCCCAGGCCGGCCATTCTTGCAACTCAATCCTAACATGTTCCATCTAAATCTCACTCAAGAATTCGTTTAATTGCCTTAAGGCCTTTAAATTTTAACCGGATTTCTTAATATTGTCATAGACTACGGTCTGCATACAATTAATGAATTGAAAAAAAAAAAAAAAAAAAAAAAAACCGGATTTCTTCTGTATAAGACCTTATTGTGCTTCTCCACCACCTTCCGTTTCTTCATCTTAGTCGAAAGGCTTCATGTACTCAGTCAATCAATCAAGCAAGTAAGCTTTGAATGCAATTAATGAATTAAAAAAAAAAGAAAAAGAAAAGCAAGTAAGCTTCTCCTGTTTCACTTCTTCCGAGTGATGATTCATGATCAATCTGTCAGCCAACTCTCAAGTTACACAAAGCCTAGTTCAGGCGTCAGCTTCCCCTACACCCCTGGCTTACAGCTGGCCACAATTGTACAAAGAAACCACAGAAATGAACCTCGAGCTTGAGAAAAAAATCTGGCCATGGATCCGCGACTGCGCTTACGACATCGGATACACTAAGGACAACGTCTTCGTCGGCCAAGCCATGTTTATCGAGAACTGTATCGCCTCATTCACGGCCGCGTTAAACATGATGATCGACAATGGATTGATCCAGGAGCTACAAAAGGAATGTATAACAAGAGTCTCGAAGGGCGAAAATGGCGGAGAAGCGATAGAGGGGGTGACGGAAATTATATTTCCCCTGGGAAGCATTACATTGAGCTCTCTACAAGCAGAAGCAGAAGCACCTAAGTGTTCCTGCAGTGGTGTGAGCCTGCCGGAAAAGATTGGGAGGTAGCTCTTGCCACATCACTCTCCATTTCAATATATGTTTCTATAACTGTACCTAACCTAGCTCGTTACATATGTCCCAGCGACCCATCAACAGTACGGCGTTATGATTTCAGTAAGATAAACCTAGAACTTCCAGAAATTTGCGAAGTTCCAACACATACGTTCTTTTTCCAACATCAAGTGTTGACATCCGCCCAGAGCACTCTTGAATCTGCATGCTATAGGTTCACCAAGAAGAATTATCCATCGATTCTCACACGTAACAAATGGCGGTGCCCCGAGGCTGGCGAGCTCACAGCGTGGACGAAAGAGTTGATACGAGCGTTCGAAGCTGATCCTGGACCTGCCACCAAAGACTTACATAGCCCGACAAAGTTTCCAAAAGTGCTAAGAGACCTTGCTGAGTTGAGGCATACCACTGTTCATCGACTTGCGGTTTCGGGTGAAAAATTATTGGGTTTGCTTGAGAACGCCTTCAATGCTGTCAAAATGTTCAAAGACAACAAGGCCATAAACGCCATTGCTCTACTTTTTCATGGCCACGGGGATTGCCTAACTTTGGGTCAGAAAATATTGTATTCTAGGGCTAGAATGTTGGAAGAATTGGGAACCGAAAGAAAACGTGCTAAGAAACTGCTGGGAAAATGCGAGTGGCAAGTAAAAAGAACTTTGGCGTGCGAGAATAGAGTTTTAAAGTGGAGGAACGGGGCGGTACGGCGTACGAGAACTTTTTGGAAGACCAGCTGGATTGGATGTGTAAGGGAAGCTCAAGAAAGTCCTTGGAATTTATAGTTTCGGAATTTTGGGAAATGGTGGATGAACAAGTGGTGCAGTAAGTCCCAATGCCCTTTGGATAAATATCTGTGGAGATTTGTATCCACCAATATGGGAATGTTGATACTCACGGGTGATATTCTAAAGGCCGCCCGAAGATGATGAAGTTGGGTGGTAATTCCACAAAACGTCCTTAAGAGACTTACCCACAATCACTTCTCTCCGATCCCCCGACAACACATCTACTCTTCATTTCATAACCTATCTGGACCGGACATGGCCTGCATGTGGGCATAACAACCAGATTTGCACTTTAGTACATGTAGTATGCAGACCCAGTCCAGCGCCAGCCAGGATCCGCGGAAACGCTACGAACTTACGAATAAGGGAAAAGAACAACAGTGAAAATCACCAGCCACGTATTTAGCTAAATTATTCAATCATGATTGTCAATAATCGGTTTACATATTCTCGCCATATTTCAGGACAATATATTTCGGTGTAAAGTACATCTACATGAGATTGGCAAAATAAGGATATATAACAACACTAGCAAAGACGCACGCAAAGTCTTCGGATCCCGTGATTCTTATCCTTAGCCCTCCCACCATGCGCTAGAAAACAGCCTAAACGGGACCCGGGGACTTTGCATCTTTGCAAGTACGTAGAGGGTGATTGAAATCACTTATACGGCATCTAGTCAATCATCTTATCATTTCAAATCAATACTGTAGAGGAGGATTAAAATAATGCAACTTCTGCAAAAATAAAGGCAACAGTCGGAGAGCCAGTACAGTATCCATAGCTTCCCAAAGTGATCCGTCCTACTATAGATCCAGATTTGTCTATCGGGGTGATTCCCTCGCCATCGACATCAACCATCAACATTAACATCGCCTGAAATTAATTTGTCATCCATTTATTCCATTTCGGTCACCAGATAGCACTCGGTTCATCACAACAATCCAAACACAACGCCTCTAGCTGGCCGCAAGTAAATTGGGGTGGGAGCTACGTTCTATAGAGTAGATCATGAAAAGATTGGAAGATTTCAATTAAACCCAATGCTTTGATTTGTAGTCTCTTGGGGCTGGATGAAAACACTGTATTTTGAATGTACTGAAATTCTGCGAAAAAAGTTAAACTTTTTACTAGTTTACTTTCACTAAGATCTCTGTTGATGATATTTACTCATGTATATCTACTAGCTTCTTCTAACTTTAAACATTTGTCTGTAACAACCACGCCAGCCTATCTGTGAAAAGGAAAAGAAAGTGACCTTTCCAAATCTAACATATCTCACAAATTCATCTTATGCTCCAGCGGGCTCCACGTATAGTATACTTGTATGTATCAAAGCACATGTACACGGGAGAGTATACTTTTAAATAATGGAGACCCAGACCTGGGGAAATGGTCGGGGAGGGAGTAGGATCCAATCACCCTGTGATTATTTACTACAGCATGTTTTCAGCATGAGTACAAGAAAGCTCTTTCAAGTGAAAAGATGATTTCTCAGTGCTGGACATAGGCCTCAAAATGAAACATAACATTCACGATAACGCACAAACCAAAAAGTGCCAGCAAAAAATTCGCTTGATTCATGAACTATAAGTCAAACCAATACAGAGCTTTCTTCAATTCCAGAATTCATAAATTAAATGTTGGCCTTTGACTTGAAAGCATTGATCAAGCCATTAGTGGAGCCATCGTGGCTCGACACTGGGCCGGGGGTATCCAACTCCGCACCAATTTTCTCTGTTTCTTTGAGTCAGTCCTGGAGAGAAAGGACGAAAAAGAAATGTGTCAGAAAAACTCACTTGCAAGAACCTTGCCCAACTCAACACCCCACTGGTCAAAGGAGTTGATATTCCAAACTGCACCTTCGGTAAAGGTGAGGTGTTCGTAGTACGCAATGAGGGCACCAAGAGTAGCCGGGGTAATCTTTTGCGCAAGAATCGAGGTGGTAGGGCGGTTTCCGAGGAAGACCTTGTGGGGCTTCAATGCGTCGGATGCACCTTCTGCTGCTACCTCTTCGGGGGTCTTTCCTACCATCAAGGCCTCGGACTGGGCAAAAAAGTTGGAGGCAAGCATCCTATTTTGATAGTTAGATTCGTACACATCACACTGGAAATAGGGTATATTACTTCTGGTGAAGACCACCCTCAACCGGGTTGTGGCTCTCAGCGGCCATCAGGAAGTCTGTGGGAATAAGCTTGGTGCCCTGGTGAAGTAATTGGAAGAAAGAGTGCTGTGCGTTGGTGGCTGGCTCTCCGAAAAGGATTGGGCCCGTGGTGTACTTGACGTACTCTCCAGTACGTGTAATCGCCTTTCCGTTGGACTCCATGGAGAGCTGCTGGAGGTATGCTGGGAAGCGGTGGAGGTACTGATCGAATCTGAATTTAAACATGTGAGAATAATCCAATAGATGAAAGAAATTTCTACCAAGTCGGGGTTTGAGACTTACGGAGCAACTAAGTGTGTCTGAGCGGAGAAGAAATCGCTGTACCAGACACTCAAAAGACCACCAAGAACAGGAATGTTCTGCTCCAAAGGAGTATCGGTGAAGTGGTTGTCCATGGCATGGGCACCAGCAAGGAACTCATGGAAACGCTCGAAACCAATGTAAATAGCAACGCTCAATCCGATAGCAGACCAAACTGAGTATCTACCACCAACCCACGATTCGAAACCGAACATATTCTTTGTATCAATACCGAACTTACTAACCTCGGAAGCGTTTGTGGACAAAGCTACAAAGTGCTTCGCGATTGCTGTAGAATCACCACCAATTGCAGGTTGGGAAAGAAACCACTTCTTGGCAGTGTTGGCATTGGTGCATGTCTCGGCGGTGGTGAAGGTCTTTGAGGCAACGAGGAAGAGTGTAGTTTCCGGATCGCATGCGCGGAGAGCTTCCGCGACGTGAGTTCCGTCGATGTTGGAGACGAAGTGAAGTGTTAGGTTTCGGTCAGAATAAGGCTTAAGGGCCTCCGTTACCATTACAGGACCCCTGTAAAGAGCTTGTTAGCAAAGGAAATCATTGGTGTTTCAAATGAGGAGATGTCACACAAGTCTGATCCACCAATACCGATATTGACAATTGTGTTAATCTGCTTTCCAGTGTGACCCTTCCATTCACCACTTCTCACTTGCTCTGAAAATTCTTTCATGTGGGCAAGGACAGATTCAACATCCTCAACAACGCTCTTTCCCTCGACCTTCATTTCCTTCTTTGAGGTGTTCCTCAGAGCAACATGGTAGACTGCTCTGTCCTCAGTAAAGTTGATCTTCTCGCCCCTGAACATCTCATCACGAAGCTTCTCAACACCAGCTTCCTTGGCGAGCTGGACGAGTAGCTTCAAAGTCTCGTCGTTCAGAAAGTTCTTGGAGAAATCGAACAGAATTTCTGAGCCGTCCGCATCGTTCCTGAATGTCCTGGAAAACTTCTCAAAACGTTTTGGGTCCTGGGCGAAAAGGTCTTTCAGGACAAAGCTTTTAGCAGCTACATAGTGTTCCTGGAGCTGTCCCCAGGCTTTGAGGTCGGATGCTTGGGAGAAAGACATTATGGGCTTCTGAGATTGAGTCAATGGTGAGAAAGATATTTCCGCCAATACATCCGACAGGAGGTAAAATGCAATTAACGAATACAAAAAGAGTTTCGAGCTCCCGTAGCGGGGTAGGAGGGGCATCGTGATTGGCGGGGTGCGGGGTAAACAAACCGCCAGGGATAGGGAAACATTCGAGCAACGCAAAAACAGTAGCAATGAAGATTATTTTATACCTTGGGTATCGATTATGTGGAGAGAGCTATATGGATTATCTCTACACAGGAGTGACGCTTCAGTGATTCGTTTGAAGTCGAACGAAATGCGACACGATGATGAAGACTTGGTGGTTGGTATTGATTGATGAAGAAACGGCGAGGATGTGACGTCGACGACGGACTCGACCCTTATTATAACATTAGCTTACACCTACCTGTTGTTCCGCCTTCGGCAGACATCGTTGAAGAGATGTCCGCGGATAAATTCCCAGTTGCATCTGCGCGATTTTTAGCGTGCGAAACGCGGGGAGTTTTCAAACATTCAAGCCCTATCCGGAAAAAGTCTACTCCAGTGTCTAGTAGTACCACAGGTCTTTCAAAATCAGGTCTAGGTAGTACCGCAGTATCTCGTCTACATCACCGAACAGCCACTAAACAGCCGGTTCTTCCCACGAGCTTAATCCCATTTCTCTCCCTAACCTTCCCCCACCTCTGATATGCGGATTATAATTTTAATTGAGAATTCATGCATCACTCGATTTGGTAATATGTTTCACGGCCACATAAATTGATAAAACCTTCGACGTTACGTAGTCCGAATGTTCGTGAGGTAAAACACCGAGGGTCGACCGGGAACAGTCGATGAACTTCCTGATGATTGCGTGCTCACATCTCATCGCCTAGAACAGGCGAAAAATATGTTCTCGGCCATCTCATCCCTGATTTAACGAGCTTGGGCTTGTGAAATACATGTGTGCAAATCAGCCCATAGAAAGTAGAGATAACTAGAGCCACTCATCTCCCAACAAACAAAGATCTCCTCTAACCCCCGTCAATCCCTTCGATGCATCTTCACTTCCCGTCTTCTTGCTCTTTTCCTTTTCCTTCCTCGCCTCCTTTTTCTTTCTCTGAAAACGTAAACTTAGGGACTAATGTGAAGTGTTCCTGCAGTTCTTCCCTTGAACGATCGAATGGGTAGGGGCACTAATCACTCCATCAGCAAATCGGTACAAATCACATAAAGAACCACTCAGACCCAACCTGCTTATTCGGACACATGACGAAACCTCTTCCCTCACTGATCAAGTACTGAAACAAATCTCCAAAACATAACGGGCAAAACAGCCCCGTCGCTAGCCCATTTTTGTCTCTATCAACTCCCATGCCTAACGGCCAATCTCTCTCGCCATCAGGAGGTTTGCTTTCGACGGTGGTAGGAGATCTGGTTTCGGCAGCGGGAGATTTGGTTTCGGCAGCTGGAGATTTACTTTCGGTATTTGTCGTCGGGGGAACGCCACTCGAAGGTTTGGCCGTGACCGGTTTCCTGTATTCTGGACGTTTCGGAAGCAATAAGATTGGCTTCTGGGAAGCCCGGTCTGCCATTTCTGAGATATGAGACGTTACTATAACTTCTGGTAAAATAAAGCTCACTGGAGTCTTAGATGAGTGCACGGGCCATGCTAGGACGCGGAGCCTCAAGGCTTGGCATATGTCTCTGAAATATCACTCGTGTTTTAGTGTTTCTATGAAACCAATTTTCACGTGGCTCCACATCCTTTGTACTTCACTTGGTTATACTAATCCAGAGATGAACGCCATTTTTATAATTGCTTGAGATGCCCGTTCTGGTAATCGGCAAGCTTTAAACGTGTTATAAGTCAAAACTGATGATGGATTGGTTAACGATCAAATTTTACCGTAATATATAAGCCACTGGAATCTTTATGTAAAATTTTTCTAGAGATTGGAATTTCGTAATCACAAGGCATGCTCGGCGGAATCCAGGAAGGATTCAAGCTTTTGTAGGTACATACTTGTAGTTAGGTGGGCTCTAATTAGACCTAACGATAGGTTGTACCGCCACAGAAAGATATTTGGCTATAGAAATCCTTTGGTTAGAGGATAGATACTCGGAATGAATTCATTTCAGCATATAACAAAGTCGGCTGGTGGTCTAGCCTAAGTTTTTCTGCTGATTAAGTACTATTAGCTTCTAGAGTATACGTATGAGACTCCCCACATGACAGAGTGTGTACCTACATGCGCTTAAATACTTCGAGCTAAGCCCCCAATCAAATGTGTGGGAAAGAGCACTTAACCGATTGGCCAACACCACGACGTCCACACAGAAGTTCTTGCTTGCCCAAAGATGCAACTTGAGCTGTGAGCAATGAAACCCCCCGAAAAACGTTGCTTGTGCAAGATGGCATTGTGAAAAACATGAAGAAGAGCTAGGCATCATAGGCATATTCTTGAAATCACTCCTTGATCGTACGACGTTTGCATTCCAAATTATAATCAAGATCTCGGGCGTTCACAGCTGCGGCTCCAATTGAAGTTGGCAACTGACATCATCTTTTACCCTATCTTTCTATCATGCCGGGTGTGAACATTGAAGTGCAACTATACCGGCTGTACTTTCTTGTTGTCTTGAGTAACTGCGTGGCCGGAGGGCTGAAATCTCTGTCAAACAGAATTACTGGACTAGATTTGGATGGGAGATTATGCTCATGATATGCGTCCAGGATGGTGGCACAATGCAAGTATTGATACGACAATTGTTTGAAAACCCTGTATAATAATTGAATCAGTGGCTAACCATAACATGTAATGGATGGCAATTGCGTGCTACAGGTCATAAAGGTACGGCATTATATTATATATGCAGAGCAGTACGGTATCCCGACAATCATACTAGGTCAGCCATCAATGCTGTACCTACGTAGACCTACGGGGAGTTTTCAGTAATCTTCCCTGCCGGTAACAAGAATTGTAGTCATGTGCTCTTAATGCATAGCCTACTGGGACGAATGGAGTAGTAGACCTATGTTACGATGCGGCGTTTTCAGCGGGTCATACTTCCAGGATAAAAACGGTGAGTGAAACAAACAGGGTAGAATTAAAATGAAATTGATTTCCGGACTTGCAAGCAAGGACCACTTTATCGGGGAAGATTATTGGGAGAAGTTTACGCCAACGCCAGCTTGGTTACCCAGAGAAAACTTGGAAGCATTGGTATGTACTTCTTTTTTCTGACTATTCACTCGGTTGCTTTTTCTTGGGAACTGGATCGTTATCAGCCTCCTAAACTTCTGAACTGGTAATCGTTATCTCAAGTCATAACAATTAAGAACTTCGACTAATTCACTCCGATTATTGCGCATACTCGAGCACTTACGCATATGAGTCAATTTCAAATATCTCGGTGTTTTTTTCCAATCAGACATCATATTTGAAATTAGTACTTATGACCAATTAGATTTTACTAAGTTCCTGCGGAAGGTCGATCAGCGCATCCATTCACAGCACGCGCAGTACAAGATTGGTCCTTGATGTATCACTCTGGTGTGAGTGTTTTTGATTTCAGACCTGCATCAAATTACTGTCCCACAGGATTACGTTTACTCTCAGGGGCACCTACACGATGATAAGTTATTGTACTTAATTCTACTGCAATATTTCGAGTCATTGCTGTCGAACTCAAATTAACATATAGTAGGTAACCCCTAACCCTAAGCAGTCTTGAAATATCACTCGATATCATACGCGCCTAAGCGCGCTCATCCAAAAATAATCTTTTATTACACAGTCAGTTGGTAAGGCTTGCTTCATGCTCTTTTACCAAAATAGGACGGGGATCAAGGACTTGCATCTGTCAAGATCGAAATGGCAATCATCGCCACTGCACCGGCGAACAGGAAATCGCGCCTTGCACCCTCATGTGTAATTCAGTAAAGGTTAATATTTGGCCGGACTTCCAGAATACTGCCGAATCATATGCTCGTGCGCAGCAAATCGGTCTCCGATGGAAGCGGCCTAGAAAAGGCACAATTATAACCAAGGCACAGTATTGCTATTGAACCAAATGGAAGCACTTCTGTTCATAAAACCACATGAGTTGGAAAATCCCTTAAACGGGGAAAATTCGGACGAACAGCCCAGGGCTACAATCGTGACTCAAGTCAATGCTGGGGCCTTACGAGTATATACTAGGTACATGTATGCAATGTACATGTAGTAGTACTTTGTGTTCTTAGATTATATCCTACATGGCCCGGGACGATTATCAAAAACCTGGAGAAGTTCTTATATTATTATGCAAGGCTGAAATAACCTTATCTCACTAGGCTTGCTTAGACAGTCACCATTATGTTTGACGGACGATTACACCTCTAAAGAATGGCAGATCCCTCGGGTTTTCCCCGCTTTGATCCACAAGCACAACTTCATATCAATTTCCAACCTCACAAAGCAGGAAACAATAGCAATATCGCACGGAATCTCCATGCGAGATGAGTGATAGTTTCCGAAAACCCCGGGGGCATCATCGTCGGCATCGTCGGCATTGACTTCCAGGGTACACCCCCGATATCAATTCCAGTACAGTTACTTGACTTACGCATAAACGCATAGAAAGATACATAGTCGCTGCGACTTTCCAAACTTCGCACCATATGGTAGATCTCTGGCCCTTGCACTTGCACCATGTCTAACACATCATGAGGCTTCTAACCATTTATCTGTTTTACATACTTCTTCGATGCTTCGAGACAAGGCATATTCTTGGCTCAATTCTCAACTTCAAAGGTTGATTGATTGACCCACGTGCACACACAATTGCATAATATCACCTGGAGACAATGGTGTAATTGTTTTTTGGGCTCTGGTAGATCCTTCTATGATTACACATTCTCATAACCATTATGCGCGCACCTCATCTCGCAGCACATAGAGTACAGGACACTAGAGTCTATATCTACTGTATGTACCTACATAGTTGCACGACATCTAGTGGACGACGATATGACGAGTGCTATGAGGCGGACGATGACAGGCTGAGCGGGAATCAAAAATATAAAAGAGCAGCCCCGCATGCAACCTAAGGAACCGAATCCAAAATACATATTCCCCACACCTCACTCATTCACGAGCCGCGAAACCCCACCTCCTGCTTGCTTGCTTGCGTGCCTTCCTCAGTCGCGTTTCCCGACTCAGTTCTGCAGCCTGCAATGCACTAGTAGTTCCTTAGGCCATGGTTTCGGGGCTGGCTGGCTGGCTGGGGAGACAATTGGTATTTGTATAGTGCTTCGTTTCGCAGAATTTGCATTAGTTTGGCTGGCTGATGATTTGTTTTTTATCCCCGAAAGAAAAAATTAAAAACGGGAATGCTGCGTACGTGGATGGGTGTTCCCTTCGTGTCGCGGCTTAATGGAGGAGCTCGAAGAGTACCTACATAGGAGGAGTAGGAGTAGGAGGAGGCTGAGCGAAGTGTCGGGGATTTTTCCCACGTCATGTCGCACCGCCTCAGGTGTCGGATTTCCCGGCGCCGCTCGTTCTCTTGCGAGTCCAGCATTTAGAAACGCTTTGTCTGTGATCATTTACCTCCATGCGCCACCGATAAAAAATATTCATCTTGATGAACCGAGGTACCCATAAGAGGCTGGTAGCATTATCAAGTCAGGCGGAATGATTAAACCAGCTGTGTGAATGGGGAACTTCATTATGGCTGGCTGATGATGGATGGCTGCGGAAACAAGTTACTGACGACAGCCAAAGTTTGTCCCGGGGTCAGCTGGTACCGGTAATGAAGGGAAGGGAAGGGAAGGAAAGGGGAGGGGAGGGAACCACCCGGTACCGGTTTCGTTCGTTGCTGTAAGATGGAACGTTTTCATTACACTTAGAGCATTATGTACCCCTCACCAAGAGAAGCGAGGGAATCAGGAATCAAGAAATGATATGATATTTATCGAGGACTGGATGTCTCTCGTTCTTCTTCTTCGTACGCAAAAAAAAGCATGTAAACCACCCCGCTGATAGAAACCGTAAACCGTACACATAAATACACAATATCACAACCGAACATAAAAGAAAAATCACGCAACGAGAAGAGAGCAAAAAAACAAAGTAACAAAAGAAATTCAGGCCTCTAATGAGAGGAGAAAGATCGTAAAACGAAGAAATAAAACAAATATACCGGCCGCCTCAAAAGAATAATACCGCGGGGTGGGGGAAAAAAAGTAAAAGAAGAAGTAAGTAGTAGAAGAAGAAGTAGAGAGATATCCTATAACCCAACAAAATGCAAAAATGCTTCCCTAGTAATCCAATATAACCCTCGGAACAAATGAGACTATAGTACCGAAATAGCCATTAGAAATGACGGATACTTCTCCCCTCGCTCCCCGTCCAGGCTTCAACCCGGGAGTAAATGAAAAGCAAAAAAAGCATCCTCTAATATACCAAACACCGCCCCACTCGCACACTCCCTTATGACGCCGTTGCCCTGATCACGGCTTTACCCTAGGTATTGCAGCATTTCGCTAAATCATAGGAATATTGCGCAGAGAGAAAATGAATTCTCGAAAAAGATGATAAAAAACAAGAGAAAAACGCCAGCCTCCCAAAAAAATATGCACACACATGACGCGATATATGTACTCGAGAGCCGAAACGAGGGCGCGATTTTGTTTTCATAAATCGTCGTCGTCGTCGTTTTTGTTCTCCAGAATTAGGCATCCCTCTCGATATCATCGGAGGGACGCCGGATATAGTTTAGGCGGTCCTTGTCCTTGCTGGCATCGGACTTCGACTACTCTGTGTCGATTGGCTGCGCGATATCGTGGGTCTTCGGTTAAATACTTCATCGATGAGTCGTCTAGGGCCAACATATTCCATCTTCATTTTCAGCGGACTGCTGACCATGGGTATGGGGAGAACCATATGAACCGTCTTTTTCTTGTGAAATTTTCGCTTGATGCAATCATCCACAAGAGCAGTTAGACCAGTTGCAACAATGACGCTATATTGTAATAAACTCAATTAGTATATATGCATTTACGCATTGAGGGTGGGATGGGAAAAATAGTAGAAATGTAGATCAATGACGGAGTGGTGAAAAACTTACTCAGCAACATCCGCTAAACAGCCGATCACGGGATCCTGAACTGAGTCCCTGAAGATGAATGATGAAGGGGGGACAAATCCACCCTTCGCCTCCTCCGCTTTAGCGCGAGCAGGTGACAAATGGTCAGGTACGATGTAGGCGACAACGTTATTGGTTCCGTTGTTGACAAGGTGATAATGGACCTCCTCGCCACCGCCGATCGACCTGATAATAACCCTTTTCCACGAATAACTCTTTCCCCAATACTCGAAATCGTACTTCTTTGATGCCTTGCCTCCTCTCCTTGTGAGATCTACATGAGCGTAATTGGAAAATTCCAATGTGCAGACATTCGAGACACTCGAAGCCTGAGTTGGGTGGGCTCCGGCTGTACTCGACGATGACTCCTTCGCTTGATGATCATCCTCCTCCTCGTCCAATGATGACGAGTACCCACTATCCTGCCTGTTCAACTTGAATTGCTCCGCCTCCCCCTTCCCACGGAAGCTCTCAAAAGCCCTACTCAGCGAGCGTTGGAGTTTTGGTCGCACTGGGGCGGGCTTGACGACTTTTCGCTTGATGTGAGCAACCTCACGTCCGCAATCCCGGCCATAGCGTCTCAGTGAAAAGTCGCGGGCCTTCAAGTCGTACATTCGTAGGTGGAAAAGTGTTAGGTTCTTTGGCGCCTCACCTGACGAAGCAACGTTTGTGTCGACCCTTAGATTCATGTTGCCATCAATCGTTGAGTCGTCATGCTGGATGTTGAGACGTCTGGTCGAGGGGAAGAGCTCTGCAAACTCTGAAGGAATCGCCGGGATCGCTTGAGTCTGGATGGGCTCTTTTGGAGCATTATAAGTATGGTGTCCATTCTCATAGTAGGGGTAATCCTCCTCCACAAAGTCGTCAAAAGACGCAACGGTACTGCAGTAAGTATCCACAGTCTCGCGAGGATTTGAATGGGAGTAGTCGGGGTGGTTGTCGTAGGACTCTGAAGGAGAACCAAACTTTGATTCTGCTGATGAGTAGTGTAATGACGGCACTGAACTGGGCACGGTACTTCGAGACGAGCTGCTGCTATCCCGGGTACTCATATCACTGTCACTGTCGTCGTAACAACGGGGGGAATTTGATGAACTCATTTTTGAGTTATTGAGAAGTGATGTGATGCTATATTGAAGGTGTTGTTGTGTTGCTGTGTTAGTTGTGTTGTGGTTGTTGTTGTTGCAGTAGTAGTAGTATAGTAGTAGTAATAGTATTGCAGTAGTAGTAGTCGTTGACTTGGTATTGTAGAATATGCCACAGATGTTGAAATCGTAGAAATGGATTAAAAGAATCTGGAAAAGGTACTGAACGATGGATGATATATATTATACCGACGAATGCGGCAAAGGGTTGATTCCGGCTGAGTGATCCAAATTTCCGGAAAGAACAGGAAACACGGAGAAAAAAAGGACGCAAGATGTATGGATAGCCGGGTGGGGGAGGGAAAAAGTAGTACGGGGATAAGTAATGTAATATGTAGTGGATAATAATGGTAGTAAAAAAAAGAATGCTGCTGCTGCTGCTACTGTTGCTGCTGCTAAACAAATCGGATGAGAGGAAGAGAATGCAAATGGGGTGAATGGGAAATAGAATTATCCTATGTGAACTGTCATGGATTTCCTTTGCTGTGAACCCTTCTTCATAAAAAAAAAGCGAGAGATGTCGAGAAGAATGGACACGCCACTGTTCGGGATAATATCACCACGTCTGTCGCTAATTTGCTTGCTTGCTTTGGAATTGTCTTGAAGACGTTAATGGGGGGGAGCAGCGAGTGAGTGAGTGAGTAGTAGTAACAGTAACGACGACGCAGCAGGAGGGAGTGTGATGTTTATTATGAGCGGTTGAGTCCATAATCGATCATGGCCATACTTGGCTGCGAGACCCGGGGGCACCACCATCCCAGGCCCAGCCAGCCATGTATGGGGGTGAGTTACTTCAAGTGCATCCAAGGACCTGCCCTCTTACCTTTCTTGCCTCAGACTGATCTAAGCGGGTCTTTTGGGGGTGTGTGTAGCAAAGCGCGAGATTGGAACTCGACTGAATCTGGGCAAATTGCCTGCGGGCAAGAGTCCTTTTCCAGGTGAGGGGGTAAGAGAGGGGGGTGGGATTTGCCAGTCGCCCTCGGCCACACCCACCTCTCTTCCCACACCTCCATTACCCCCGTGCCCGTGCCATGCGCGGCGGCTGTGTCCATTCATATTTGGAGGTAAGCATTAGCATATCTACATCACCTACCATAATCTACTTACATATCAAGAGCAGCTGGATATGATTATTTTGCATTTATTGATCAAACCTAGACGAGCGCCTTGTTGTCAGCTATTCGCCCACCTAGAGAGTGGATGAAGGGGAGTGGAATGAAATATGTAATCCACATGAATTGGAGTCGAGAGAGTAGGTGTCCTGCCTGATGCTACTACTACTACATACAATAAGTCTACTAGACTACGAGTTACTGCTTCCTGCAGAGCTTGCTTCTGCCGACACGGGTCCTATCCCTGTTGCGCGACGAGCGCAGCAGCAGAAGCAGCAGCAGAAGCAAGACGCCGAAAGAGCTGGCTGGTTGGTTGGTACATATCGTAGTGTGTACCCTCTAATTCGTGAGTGATGAGCTCACCGTGATGGCCCTTTTCCACGTAAAGTTGTCCCTTGAGAACTTGCTGCTGTTCACCGACCAAGTACATTTCAGCAAACTCCCCCTCTGGTCCCCCCCCCCCCCCCTCCCCTTACCCACCACTATCGTCGCCTCGATCAGCACAGCGAGATAGAAAAGGCGTGTGAATTACAGAACCAGAGACCCGACGAACCATCGTGAGGTTCGTTCACTCGCTCGTCTACCTACTGCAACTAAAAAAAATAAAAAATAAAAATTGAGAGAGTCAAGACCCGAACTGCGTCCTCCCTCAAAACTTTCCTCTGGCCTGAAACGTACCTTCCAAATTCCCCCCCTCACAGAAGAGTTTTGCCACTGAGTATGTATTGAGCGCGCGACGCCCTCGGGAATCTCCTTTACTATTTCTCTATCTCTGTCTTATTTTATTTTCTGGTCCTCTCTTTCCCATCTCCTCGGGTTCATTCATCTACACTTCCCCGGAACAACTTAGGCTAGGGGCGTTTAACACTTCGCGTCCCAATCAATTGATAGGCCCCCAATTGTTTGGAAGGCGGCTACCAATGATTGAAGGGTATGATTAATTTTAAGGAATGTGTGGTGGTGGGTGTGGCATAGAGTAACAACCTCTGGGCTACAAAAAAAGGCAGCAAACGGTGTTACATACTGAGAGACACCGTACATGGCTGATTCGTTCCTCTTTTCCAAAAAAATTCCGAATGCGTGCCCCCCTGCACGCTTGGACTTATCAAGACCAACGCAGCCGAGAATCGAATTCGTGGGTGTTATCGCGAGGCCTTCCGTTGGTCCCATAGAACACCACACACAACACACAGCTGGTGGAAGCTAAGACAGGGTTACGATCGTGAGTAGGTAGCGGTGAGCGAGGACTCAACCACACAGCTCACAGCAAGTACCTAACTCCTACATACCTGCTCTGCCTAGAAGTACAGACGACAGTCAGTACCCTACCAGCTACTACCGACACCGACCTTACCTTGCCTATCCGCACGAGTGAGTGCTCTGGCTAGGTACACAGCTTTCCGTGCAAATACATAAGAGCAGCAGCATACAATAAAAAAGCCAACCAACCAGCTACAAGCCAGCAAGGCAACAAGGCGGAGATGTCTACCTGCTCTAGTCTCCTTTTTATTTCATCCGTCCATTCCTCCTACATAACTCATCTTTAAAATCCCCGGGAAAGACAAACACCGGGAAATTGTTAAAAGAAGATCAAGAAAAAACAAAATATAAGGAACAATATAAATAACATCCTTCTTGGATGGATGGCTATTTTCTTCAAGATAAAGTCACCATCCAGCGGCCAGTCCAGCCAGGAATATAGGGCCTTGTGACAGAACAAGGGAGGCAGTTTACAGACATCGCTATTGTTCTCGCCTGTCCTGCTGCTGCCCGGCGCCAAAGCACAAAAGAGCCGCCCACATACATCCCACTCTAAATTCAACCTGTCACGATACTCCTAGGCCCTTTGGGGGGGGGGGGGGGGGGTGTGTAGGATGTTTCGCTGTCAGTACCTACAGGCTATTACTATTTCTAAAAGAAGTGTCCCCGACTCCCCCGTACCCCCCGTACTTTGTTCGTCTCCACAAGAACCGGTACCTGGCCCGTGCGTCCCAGTCCTAATAAACACACTTACTTTACTCACACCACCGGTCTACTTTAGCTGTGCCAGTGCCAGCGGAACCACAAGCTTAGGGTTTTCTGGGTTGGGTGCGGTCTACATCTCAAGGTAACCCAGGCTTGGGGGCAGACTACCTGACGTGGTCAATCATGTCTCTGATCTCACGAAGTTTAAAAAAAAAAAAAAGGATATGAGTCGTGACTTGGCCAGCAACTCATTTATTTGGGGGTACACTTGTGTTTGTTTCCCGTTTAAATTTCAACTACATACCATGGTGGCCCGCACGCTGTACTCCCCACTAAAGGACCGCTCTGGATGGATTGATGGTTGGTGATCCGCGAACCTATGAACAGCTCGAAACATAATCAAAAGGAGGGATGAAGGGGGAAACAAACCCAAGATGTGGGGGGGCGCGTGGGCTGCTGCGTGTAATTCGCTTCGAGAATTCGACACATGAATGGTTTGGTTGGCCGGTTGGCCGGTTGGGGTTGGGGTTGATTTGCACGCTAGGTGTTGTAGATCTCCCAGAAACGGTATCTACGGCGTCCAAGAGGGGCCCCCAAATAAATTCTTCTCACGCTCTTCTCGCGAGAAGCTCGAGAAACAAAAACCATAGGGTGGTGATGTGATGATGGATGTGATGTGACGCGATGTGATGAGGGGTAAGAAAAGTAAGACGGGCCATGAGGCAGGCAGGCAGGCAGGCAGGCAAGCAAGCATGGGAATGGGAAGGGTAAGTATAAACGCCCGGCGCACCCGGGGAAACCTTTATTTTTATTTTTATTTATCTTTTTTTCCCCAGAAATGTAGATTAAACCAGGCCTTGTGAAACGTGATGACCAAAAGATCGAAAGAGGGTGGCTTGTGAGCACATTTATTCTAAATTCTATCACACACACCACGTTTCGAGGCTGGGGGTTTGTGGCACACTGGACGTCTGGAACGAGAGCGAGCTGCACAACAGGTGAGACCTCTGACCTGGAACCTCATGTATCTGCTCGAGAGTAGGTAAAGCGCAACTCTACGTATGTACCTTGTACCACTGGGCTGCTGCTGATGTTGCTACTGCTGCTCACAAGGCCTGCCTGTCTGCGGCCTAGTTCGGGTAGTTAATAAGATCCCCCGCTAATTCCAGAAAGTGCAGTTCAGCATGTTCTTTCCCAAAAATCTATTGTACGGGTCGTACCGGTACTGTGCCTACATCAGATGTCACGGAGGGAGGGAGATTATATGACGGTCGTCTAATACTCTAATCAAAATGTAGAGGTACCTACAGTACTCCTATATTCCTTGGACCTAGCTAGCTACTCCCCAACTCGACTCCTGGTCATGCAAACAAACTGTAATCGCAAAGGGCCACTTCCCTACCCTATCTATGTACCACTTCTCCAGAGTAGGTATTTGCTCTACATTCTAGTACTCCAGCCGCACTGTGTGTTTGTCTGTCAGCTAACAGCATCTACTCTAAGAGTAGCTTAAGTGCAACAACGTACCTCTAGAGTACATGTGTATGTATGTGGGCAGCTAGAGCAGGAGGTACTCTACCTACTACACGCCTCCCCCCCCCCCCCCCCCAAGACCCCATGAATGACGAATAAAAACGTGCCGGCTGCTCACATATGCAAAAGCCGGGTTTGCCTTAGAGTATTGAGCCTCTAGACTTCTCTGTCGCCAGGTCTCTAAACCTCCATCCATCCTCTCTCCACCACTACATATCCTCTCCACCGACCTACATATCCCATATCTACTTCCATAGGCAGAATCAAAAAGGGATCTTCTCGAGTATCTACTCAAATACTTTGACTCTACCCGGATCACCATCATCATCACCTCCCACCCAACCCGGCCCCCATCTACCTAGAGAACCCATCATTGCGGTTCCTGATCAGCGGCGCAAAGAAAAAAAAGTACCGGACCGACAGGATCAAACCACCTCTTCTTTTTTTCTTCCAGGGAAGAGACTCTTTTTTTCACCCCCCCCCCCCCCCCCCCCACGGAATGATCGTCGTCGCCGAAACCCGGCCGCTGTACCTTCCGATGGTGCCGAATTAACCCTTCCTCTGTCAGGTAATAAAAAAAAAAAGAGAGAGAAAAAGAAAAAGAGAGGCCCACCAAATTAAAGGACAAGAAGGAAAATAAAATAAAATAATAATACATACAGAACCTAACAAGCCTGCTTGGTAGCTCACTAACTAGCTAACTTGCTAGCTGCTCTAGCAGAGAGTATGTGGCCGATTGTGTGCAGACTCCAAAACTGAGCTAGAGCTAGAGGACGTGAGGATGCAACCTGTGATGCTTTGACATATGGCGCCGCGCTCGTTGGGTGGAGGGAGGGTCGAGGGATTCAATTGAGTAGAGAGGTAGGTACTTTGAGCGTATGTACCGGTACCTACACAACCCAGCTAGAGTAGCTGGCTAGCTAGCTGGTTTGCGGTGCTGCGCTGCGTTGTAGAGTGGAGACTTGTCATTTCATTACGCGGAGTTTTGAATCTCTTTGGTGGAGAGGAAGGGAAAGTGTGGGTATGGTATGTAGGGGCACTCGAGTCAAGCTGTCTCTCTGGTCTCTCTGGAATCTCTGCTCTGCTCTACCATAGGTAGAGAGACTCAAAATATCCATCGTGCATACCCGGGGAATACACTTATCCGCATCATATCCACGAGCCAGCCAAGCTTTCTTTCTTTCACTGGCTCCTCTGCCTGGCCTGCACGTGGAGAGAAAGAAAAAAAAAATGCAACTTATGTATGTACCTAAACATGTACCTCTACAAATTTTTTTTTCCCTTTCTTTTCCTGCTCCGACTTCTAAATCCCGCCCAGATCTTCCTCTCAATTCTTGGTGTCCCCCAAAAAATCCTTGACCAAAACCCTGACCCTGGAATACACTGATCTGCGCGTTGACGTCGGGTATTCCCACCCTGATGACGACACAACCTCATTGGATAGAGGGGCATCCAACCGCATTGCTACAGGTCCTTCCTGCTCTGCTTACCTACATTACCTGCTATTCACACCTCCATAATACATGGCCTACCACTGACCAGCTTCGCTTTCTCCATGATCATCGTCGCCGTCGTGGGCTCTGGTCCAATCCCTCCCTCCCTCCTCCTCTTCCTGCCCGGGAAACAAGTGAGTGATGCGAGGTCAGATCCAGGCCTGAGCTTCTGACGGCGTTCGGAGGTCATCGTCCATATGGCCATGCATGGGGGCCGAACGCAGTTCGCAGAAGGGAGACTTTGCACACTCTCCAGATCTTCTCCTCTGCTCTAGCTCGCTACATATTCTCCTCTGCTCTAGCTCGCTACATATTCCACCTGGCTATCTGGCTGGCTGGGTGGATAGATGGGTGGCTGCTTGCTGGTTGGGGGCCCGGCGTTTGTCTGTAGGTCTGTAAGTATGTATGGATATGTAGATGTAGGGTACATACTGTAGGGCACATGTAGCAGGATGTCTAGCAATGAAACGAGCCACCGTCATCGCGCCTACATACTGCCTTCCCGCCTTCCTCCCTGCCGGGGCGTTCTCTCGGCCCCGGACGGGCAGACTGGGCAGACTGACTGACTGACTGACTGACTGACTGACTGACCAGCGAGCGAGCCGACCCCGACCGGGCCCGGCTCGACTCGGTCGGAGCGGCCGGGTGATCAGGGATCTGCGCGCCGTATGGCGGCCGACCACATGTTCGTGATCGTAGGCTGACCCTCCCCTAACTCCCCGCAGGCTCGGACTGGCTGGTTCCCGAGCCACTAACTTACTGTCTGTGGGCGTGAGATCTTCATCGTGGTTCTGTTCTTTATTTATTTTTGTGGTTACCGGTTTCCACGAGACGAGCGAGAGACGAGCGAGTGGGAGACGGCGCTGTGTGCGCGGGGCGGCTTTTGATATCGCAATTGTCGGCGTGTCCCTCCGGGGCCACCCACGCAGTAGGTACTCTACCGGCGAGCACACGGGTAGCGAAGGGATTGTAGAGTGGGCCATATTGGCCATGGGAGGGAACATCATAAGAATTACCCCACAAAACACACAACACCCAGCGCTCCGGAACCGAGCGAGCGAGCGATGGAATGGGGGGGGCCCAGTGCGTAGTCTACAGTACTCTAGTGGAAAACACAAGCAAAAAAAGGAAAGAAAGAAAAAAAGCGAATACCTAGCAGAATCTCGTGTTTTTGCGTGTGGATCTTTGTCGTCCCAGGTTTTCTTTTACCTAGGATGTGCGGGGGGGGGGTTTTCTCAGTGGTTTACAATTATAGCTTTTATTACGAACCACTGCTCTACTCGCTACATGCTAGCACGCCCCAGACACCGCTCGCTCTTCTCTCTGGCTGTGGCATAACCTCCTCTGAGTCCTCTCCCCATCAGAACTAATACGCCACGATCATGCCACGATGCAGCGCCGACACTCACTCAGGTGACGCGTCATGGAGTCGACTGCCCTTGAGATATGTGGCGATAGGCCAGAGGCTGGAGCTTGCACGGGTGCGGGAATCACGGATTGTCACTCGTGTGGGAGGGTTGATCATGGGATGGGGTGAAACCGGTGAGGGTACTTGTGCGTGGGCTGGCTCTGGCTCTGGCTCTGGCTGGCTGGCTAGGCTGGATGTGAGTGAGTGAGCATGAGGGCTCTTGTGACAGTCGCAGTTTGGCAGGAGGAGGGAGAGGGGGAGAAGACTGTGATGGCGGATCGCGTTTACCCGGTGGTGCGGTATTTTGGAGTGTTGTTGTGAGGAGGAGGAGGAGTTGAAACGAAACGAAACAGGCTAGTAGTTACAAGTTACAAGCTAAGCTAGTACTTTACTGCTTTCTACGTACTGTGCAGTGACATGTAGTAGTTAGTAGTGCTCTCATCATCATCATCATCATCATGAACTGTATATTCCTGCCTGTGTTTAATTCTGTAATTTATCGCGCGATATCTATTCTATTATAGTCTCTCCGGCCCCTCTCTTTGCTAGATCTCCATCGGCGAAAGCACACAGGCTAAATTAATCAGACCAAACCATGGCCAACGTACGTGAATCGAAACAATCTCAAGAGTCAACATACGAGATCACACCCACCGCTCGCTGAGTAAGTGGCATAAACAAGGAGGCAGACTGAGCGCAGAAACGTCACACCTATCGGCGTTAGATCGCAGCCTTGGTTGTGTGGTTGTGGTTGTGGTTGATGGCCCGGTGGTGAAGTGAGTGATGCCAGCCCGGTGGTGGTGGATGGTGGTGGTGATCGATCTCGATCGGGCTACGTTTCGATATCGATATCGAAACGTACCTAGCTACTGCGATACTCTTAGAAACAGCTACATACACTCCGAGTTTCTCTATCCTGCCCTATCCTACACCCCAGCGCGCGCAGGATTTTGCTTTGGGACCGTTTGTTATTTCGCTCGCTAAAGCGCAATTCCCTCTCTCTCTCTCTCTTTCTCTCGTCTCCTCTACACAACCTGCCTCCATACCCTGCCCTGTAGCGACATACATGTATGTACATAAGGTACCGTATCTATCTATCGCAACTACTAGCTAGGTAGCTAGGTATAATTAACAGCACTGTATCGATATCGATATCGATATCTACAATCAAGACAATTCGATACCAATACCACTGCCCCGCGGAATGCTCGATCCCCCCCCCCCTCCCATCCATCTGCCTGCCCCCCCCCCTCCCCCCTTCGCACCCACCTGTAGGGCCAGTAAGTAGGTCTGTAGGTACACTCAAGCAAGCAACAGCTTCCTTGTGATGATCATTAAGCTGCGCGGATCCAGCGGTAGATCTGGTTTTTTTTTTTTTTTGTTCCACGGCCTATCTAGCTTACCATCCATCCATCCATCCATCCTGCCTAATAAATCCACCTCCACTACCATCCACTACCATCATACCCTATCCTATCAATATCGATATATCTGTTCTGTTCTATTTCCATTCCCCCCCACCCCCCACCCCCCCCCCCCCCCCCCCCCCCAAATACCAACCCCATCCAACCCAATCCATACCATACTATCCATTCGCACCATACCCACCGTACCTGACACCTGTAATCCACGCACCGCACCTCACCGCACCGCACCGCACCGCACTCCTCACGCCCGAAATCGCCCATGCCGTCCATCGCCATCTGTGTTTTGCAGTGATGAACAACACCTCCCTCGCGCCCCTACCCACCTTCCCTGCCTCGCGGGAACCCTAACCCTGGGCTAAAGGAAGCAAAACATTCCGGGGGGAGCTGACTGGCTGGGGGTAAATTATGGGTCCTTTTTTTTTTTTATGTATGTATGTAGGTAGGTTACTCTATGTAGGCACCGTGCCGGGCCATAAGTGCTCAGCCCAAAGAGGGTATGGCTAGCTTGTTTGAGAAGGATGGAGGATGGAAGAGCAGGAGGAGGAAGAAGGGGGGGTGAGAGGGGGGGGGGGGGCGATCGGGCTGGCTGCGAACTGGTGGGGCGCACATGCTGTTGGAGGTTGAGTGAGAAATTGTACATAGATAGAACGTCTCCACCCCCCCCCCCCCCTCCTCCATAGAGCCGCGTTAGCTGGTTGGAGCTCCCTTATCGGCGCCGAGTGAGAGGGTGTGCAACTGCGCGAAAAGGCGCACCGTGGCCGATGGGGCCCGATGCGAATTCTGGAAAGGACGGGCGGGGCTGAGGACGGGCGGGGCTGAGGAGGGGTTGTGAAGGAAATGGAAATGAGGGTGGGTGGGCAATTGAGAGGGGTGGAATTGCAATTGGGGGGAGTGAGGTGAGGTGTGTTTGTGTTCACTGTTTGCTGTCTTGTCGACCTTGTGGTTTGGTTTGGTTTGGTGGTGGTGGTTTTGTGGTTGTACTCCCGGATTGCGTAGATAGCTAGATGGCTACACAGCTAGACTGCTGGATAGCTGTCTGTCTGTCTGTCTGTCTGTGCAGTTTGTGTCTGTGTCTGTGTCTGTGCCTGTCTGATGTCTGTATGTCTCGTGACCCGCAGTGTCCCACGTCCCACCGCCGCTCGGCCCCTGGATGGAATGGAAAGTGCCCTCAAGGCCGTCCCAAACGTGTCAAGGCAGATAAACACGAGAGGAGCTCAAGTAAGGTATTGCGAACAGAACCTGTCACCGTCGCGCTCCTAGTGGAGTGGTGGGCATATCAAGAAAGAATTTGAGTTTTTCACGCACACACACACACAGACACAGTACACACACACACGACGTCGACTATAGATGAAACACTAGACTATAAGTCTGCCCTTAATTTTCACATGCAGCGTGCGCAATTAATTGCGTGCGAAGCTTATATATCTTTTTAAGAATCTTACTCGAGATTGCCGTCGCAGCTGGAACACGGTGAAACATTCACTTGTGAAAGCGCTATAGCTGCCCTTATATATGCCTTATGACATAGCTCGTGCCTGTGCCCGCCGCGCAGTACTATCGATAGCGGTACCTTACTGTATTACCAAACCTGACCCTTAGTTGCCCCCGAGTGACGGGCTGTGAAGGAGGCTCTCCTCCATGGCCGGGGGGGGGGGGGGAAGCCCTAACCCTGCAACCCCCCACCACACCCCTCAATATTTTGTTTCTGTCTGGCTAGGTGCTATCTAACGTCCTGAAACCCGTATACACACCGCACCCGCACACGAGATACTGCTGATGCTCAAGCAAATGGCGAAAACGACCATGCCGTCGGCCCTCAAGTTTGAGCTTACAGCCCGCTGCTCTGTCGGTCCCATTCCTGTCTCTTCTTTTCTAGATCTGCGCCTAGCTAGATAGCTAGCTAGCCAGAGACACACACAAGTGTAGATTATAGCTAATAACGCCGGCGACAATGTAGACCACAAGAGCCCGAGCTTCGATCCTACAGCTCCCCCACGGCACAGTCCAGACACCGCTATTCATGCCCGTCGCAACCCAGGGCTCGCTGAAGGGCCTGACCCCGGAGCAGCTGGAAGCTACGGGATGTCGCCTCTGCCTGAATAACACCTACCACCTCGGCCTCCGTCCCGGACAGGAGGTGCTCGATACCATCAAGGGTGCGCACGCGCTGCAGTCATGGCCCCATAATATCCTCACTGGTGCGCACGCCCATCGCCGTAGTAGTAGTAGCAGTAGCTGACACTCTCGCCCATCTAGACAGCGGCGGGTTTCGCTCCCCTCCCTGAGAAGTGCACGTAAGGAGCAATACTGACTGGTTAGGTTCCAAATGGTGTCTCTCCTCGACCTGGCCACCGTCACCGAACGCGGCGTCGAGTTCCTCTCCCCGCACGACGGCACGCCCATGCTCCTAACTCCCGAGCACTCCATCGCGCTACAGCACAGCATCGGCTCCGACATCATCATGCAGCTCGACGACGTGATCGCCACGACGTCGGCCGACACCGCGCGTATGCGCGAGGCCATGCTGCGGTCTGTGCGCTGGCTGGATAGGTGTATTGAGGAGCATGCGAAGCCGGATCCAATGGCGGCCGTAGAGGGACAGACGTATGCGAGTAGGCAGAATCTCTTCTGTATCATACAGGGAGGACTGGATCTGGAGATGAGGAGGGAGTGTTGTGAGGAGATGGTGAAGAGGGGGACGCCGGGGATTGCGATTGGCGGGTTGAGCGGCGGGGAGGAGAAGGAGAGTTATTGTAAAGTGTAGGTATTTTTTTTTGTTACCTTTTTGGGGGGACGGTGGTGAGGGTTGGTTGGGAGGGGTGCTGATGAAGATGTGAGGGTAGGGTGAAGGCGTGTACGGAGATGCTGCCGGAAGGGAAGCCGAGATATGTCATGGGCGTGGTAGGTTTCTACTTTCCTCTTGTACTGTTTGAGAGCGACGGTTGATGGTGGAAGAAGGGATATCCGGAGGACCTGATAGTCTCCGTCGCACTGGGCGCCGACATGTTTGACTGCGTCTGGGGCACCCGCACAGCTGTGAGTCTCCCTGTCCAATTTTATCCACAGTGGGAAGAAGGCATCTGGACCATGTTGGGGTCAATGATACCCATGACCGGAAAATCGGAGGCCGCTATATCAAGAGTGTTTATAGATACGCCACCCGCAAAAGGCTGCAGGTCTGGAAACTACGGGGGTCAATGATCTGATCACCAGTTTTCAATTCACACCTTTGGAGGGGTGACATATCTATACATCCCACTCGAAGAACTGGCCTCCCTTTTCCAGTCACCGGTATCATTAACCCCTATGTACCTCTTCTATAAAACACCCCCTCTCCACCCCTTACATCTCCCCAACTCAATTTTAATCACCCGCTATAGCGCTTCGGTAACGCCATAACCTCCTCCGGCGTCCTCAACCTCCGCTCCTCCACCTATGCCACCGACTTCACCCCCATCGACCCGCACTGCCAATGCCCCGTCTGCCGCCCCCTCGACTCACCCGCACCCCCACTCCTCAACTCATCCATCTGCCCCCCTTCATACGCGTCTGAGGGCGAAACGTACACGGCCAAGGGCATGGGAATCACGAAGGCATACATCCACCATCTTGTGGCGAAGGAAACGGTGGGAGCGCATCTGCTCACGATGCATAATGTGGCGTGGCTGCTGGCGCTGATGGCGCGTGCGAGGGAGGCGGTGATGGAGGATCGGTTTCCAGCGTTTGTGAAGGGGTTCTTTGAGGACTGGTATCAAGGTGAGAGGGAACGGTATCCAAGCTGGGCGGTGGAGGCATTGAGGGGGGTGGGGGTGGATTTGTTGGAATAGTAGAGGGGGGGAGGGGGGTGCGGTGGTAAAATAGATAGATACATACTAATATTAGAAATGCCATCCTGTTGTTTGGGCGTGTTTTGTGCGAGCGATGTGGTTCTGCGTTGATGTGTTCCGACCCGGTGGTGCGTGGTAATATGGATAGATCTAGACACAAGTGCTGGTCTGATTGCGGGAGCGGCGCGGTGCATGGAGAATCATGCGTGCTGACTCGTGTGTGTGGGTGAGAGTGAGATCTGATGATTTGATGTTCATGCACCACCAGTAGTAGAGGGATTGCGTACGAAACTAGTACATAGCCGAGCTCTAGGGGATCAATGCTAAGTTAAAGTGGGCCTGGTCGTGGTTAGGTGTGGGCGTTGTGACTTTCTTCGCTCCGGCTTGCGATATGGTAGGCGTTCTGTTATTGTACGTGCAGAATGAGAATGATATTCAGTGTATTGTGTAAAAGAAAAAAGAAGGAAGGGGAGAGACGAGGCTGTAGCTAATCCAACCAAAAAAATAGGACAGCGAGACAGGACACCAAGAGAGGACAGCAAGACAGGACAATAAACCCTCTTTACAGGCGGACCCACATATGAGCAGCCAACGATTATTTCAACAGGTGCGGGCTCGAGCAGGATATTGGATGAGGATTTGTTTAATTGCTCCATTGATGAATGAAAATTCTTACTCGATAGCGGCTGTTGTGTTGTCCTGGCTTCGTTCTTTGATTAATGTTTACGTTATGACATTTTTTTGGCTGTCATATCCGACCGAGTGATAACTCATGACCAAAATGGATGATATTGATATAACGTGCGTCTTATAGGTTTGTCTATAGGGGGAGCTTTGCTATAGGCGGATCGAGTTCGGTAGTAGTATGGGTCCCTTTGAGAGGCTACATCTAATATCGTGATGAGACTTGATTTTCGGGTGTCTTAAATTAAAACGAAGCTACTCGAGCATGAGTGTAATACATACAATGCTGTATATTGCCATACTTATAAAAGTACGGGTTGAAGAAGCTGTAAAAACCAACCTGCTACTAATGAGTCCACAGGAGTATTGATACAGACAGCCTACGTCGGAACCCGTGCATTTACACTATGTGGCAGCTGGTAATAGATATACTAAGCTTCGTTTTCTGACAGTGCATAGGAGTAGCCGGTAGTAAAATGGATTTTTATTACTATTAATTCTACCCCAGCATACTCCTCTTCCTCCCCCTCATCCTCACATCCTGCAGTCTCCTCAGCACCGTCTTCCCCCCCTTCCAGCTCCTCCCATAAGCGCTCAACACATCCTCAAACAGCTTCTCAGCCTTCGGATGCGTACTACTAAACGCCCTCTCCAGCACATACAAATCCACCGCCTTGTCCTCCTCCTGCGTGCTGACCTGGCCTAGCCCAAAATCAATCAACACAACCTCGCCCGCGCCGCCCTCCTCCTCCTCTACCCCCCCGACCTTCCGCACCATCAGGTTACTGGTCGTCAAGTCCCCATGGACAATATCCGCTTTATGCAGTCTCCCGACCGCCTCTCCGACACGAACCATCATGGCGTCCACCTTGCCCTCGCCCCCCGGGGATGCCAGGATCGCATCCAGCACCTGCCGAACACTAGATCCGTCGATCCACTCCATAAAGATGGAGCCATTAGCCTCGTCGACAAAGTAGACCGCCGGCACGGGGATGGCGAGACCACGCGCACGGACGAGGAGACGGGCTTCGGAGAGGACTCGGTGCTTGGTTAGGCGTGCGTCGAGCGTTGGGTGACGGTAGGTCTTGCGGGGGCGGTGTTTGAGCAGCGCGGGGAGTGTGGGGACGAGGAAGGTCGTGCGGTAGACGAGCGCTTCGGCGCCCTGGGATATCAGTGTTTTTGGGGTGGCATCGGACGGGTCGGGGGGTGGGGTTGTCATCTTGAGTTCTGGTGGGCGAGGGTAGGTCGGAGATGATGAGGTTTGGTGGGGTTGGGGGGGGTCACGTGCATGCCCCACTAGAGTTCTTGGCGAGGGAAATGATAGTTTGTGCAGTATTTATTGCGACTGCGAGTGATGCGTTGAGACTCGAAAAGTCAGCTATTTGAAGTTATACTTAGCTCTCGTGGCTGTGGCGGTTAAGAACTTTCATTGTACATTGATTTTCGTGATTTGAAATTCATCGGAAAGTTTTATCCATGTGGCTGTTCAACAAACACCCGTTTATCCCAACACAAATCAATATGACGTTCGTTAAATCGCTTAATTTTGTCAAAAAGCTAAATAAGAGGCTATAACTTGCTAGTACTCAGCCATCTAGTAGAAGTAATAAACACAACGCCCCTCATGCTCATGTCGGCCATGACTCCAACTGCCAATAACGAGAAAGAACCCAAGCAAAACACCAACCAAGAAAATATATAGGTGCAAGAAGTCCCCACCATAGATGTAATAATCAAATCTACACGCAAAGAAGTCTGATATACCTCTACGCTACTCTTTAACAAGCTGCCTCCGTCGAAACATTCTCCTACCTCTTCCTTTAATAATTAATTTGATCACATCTGGGCTAGCATCGTACTTGATAGCCAAGGATAGCACGCTGTTTCCATATGGATCTAAACAAGAGATGTCGGCGCCTCTTTCGATAAGGAACATGACCACATCTTGGTACCTATTATACTTAAGAGCGAGGTGAAGCACACTATATCCATACGTATCCGGACCAGCGATGTCAGCGCCTTTTTCAATAAGAAGCTCGACCATAGATCGCTCATGTCCACACCCGAGAGCTAGGTGTAAAGCACTATTTCCGTCTTGATCTAATCCAGAGATGTCCGCGCCTCTTTCGATGAGAAGCTCGACCATAGATCGGTCATATCTACACCTGAGAGCTAGGTGTAGAGCACTATTTCCGTCTTTATCTAATCCAGAGATGTCTGCGCCTTTTTTTAGAAGAAACTCGATCACGTCTGGGCCAGCTTCATTCCTGATAGCTAGTTGTAGCACACTATCTCCGTCTTGGCCTAGAGTCAAGATATCCGCGCCTTTTTCGATGAGTAGTTTTACCGTAGGCACACCTGGCAAAGCTTTACGCTTTATAGCTAACTGCAGCATGCTGTCGCCATGTTTATCCAATGCAGAGATATCGGCGCCTCGTTCGAGAAGAAGTTTAATCACACCTAGACCAGCTTCATGCTTGATAGCTAGTTGTAGCGCACTATTTCCGTCCTGATCTAAAGTCAAGACGTCCGCGCCTTTTTCGATGAGTAGTTTGACCGTAAGTACACCTGGCAAAGCTTTACGCTTTATAGCTAACTGCAGCATGCTGTCACCATGTTTATCCAATGCAGAGATATCGGCGCCTCGTTCGAGAAGAAGTTTAATCACATCTAGACCAGCTTCATGCTTAATAGCTAGGTGCAGTATATTCTCCCCATATGGATCTAAAGCGGAGATGCTGGCATCTTTTTCGAGAAGGTTCTTGACTGAATCGAGATGAATTTTGTGCGCCTGACTCGAGATAATAATCTCGGTTGAAGTTGTAATGATATCAAATAGTTGGGAGGTCCAACGAGAATTCATATTACATATTCTCCTTCCGACTGGATATTTATCTGACTCAACTGCCCCATTTTCGAGAAGATACCGTGATAGTTCTAGGTGCCCTTTCTTGGTGGCAATGTCTAAAGCCGTGTATCCCTTGTTATCTACTATTGAGAAATCGGCTACTCTGTTTTCAACTAATATCTGGATGATATTTTCGTTCCGTCTTGAAACAGCAAGGTGCAGAGGGGTTTGTCCGGAATTATCCTGGGTCGAAGCTTCAATAGAGTTCAAAACCGATAATAGTTGCCGGGTAGCCTTCTCGTTCCCCCGATAAGCAGCCATGTGGAGCGCTGTACGCCCACTATTAGTCTTCGAAGAAGTACTCGCTCCGTTATCAAGTAAAACTCGAACCACTCCAACGCCCCTCAGGGAATTAGGATCGGATGTTTTGGGACTGAGACTGGTATTGAGATCGCCGATAGTTGCATAATGAAGTGCCGTATACCCAAGGTAGTCGCAAGCCGAGATGTCGACTCCATTGCAGAGTAAAACTCGAACAACTTCTTCATAGCCTTTGAGTGCTGCCAGATGCAACGCGGTCTGGCCATGATGATTATGAATTGATGTATCGATTCCCTTCTGAATAAGTAACTCAGCCACAAGTTCTTGACCCTCGGACGCCGCAACGTGGAGAGCAGTTTGCTTATGACTATCCAGGACTGAAATAATACTCCCAACAGCTAATAACATCTCGATGACTTTACAGTGACCAAGAGCAGCTGCTATGTGTAGTGGTCGTTGTTCTTTTGGGAAACTATCATAGCCTGTGTGTTTTCCCGAGTTTTCTGGAAAGTTTTTGGCCTGTAGGTAAGAGGATACATTACCTGGTGACGTTACGAATGAGTGAACGATATCTTTTGATAGCTCCTCGTCACATATCACCAGGTGACTGCTCAAATAACGCACTGAATAGTCAAAAAATTGGCATGACTTGTATCGAGCTCTAACCTCATCATTCGACACACAGGCACCCTCAGTGAACACATCGAATAGGAGATAGGTAACACAAGTATTAACGACTTCGCAGGCTGAATCTAGTGGGGAGGTGACGGACGTCCTGATGAAATATTCCTTAACTGTGTAATGGGCTAGCCGGACGGTTCGGCTACTTTCGTCGATAATGACTAGGCCAGCACAAACTCCGAGAAGAGTAAACCTATCTGGGAAACCTCCGTCGTCTAGAACAAATGAAGTCTCTTGAATAGATACCGCAATCTGTATCTCTTCTATAGTAAGGGTTCGCCGAGAATTGACTAACCATACGAAGATTTTCAAAGCCAAGTCAAGACAAGAACCGCCTTGCCTACGGATGCTCTCCATGGCCCTGTTATATGTTGGATCTAATGGTCTTTCCTTCGTAGGAGAATTCTTGAGTCTTTCCAGCATTACCATAATTTGGTTTTTTGTCGTTTGCTCGCAAATATACTTAATGTGAAAATGAACTAACAAAAACCTAAACCTGTTAGAACGATAAGCAGAAACGGCGCAAGTATACTACTTACATCCCTTGAGAACAGTCTACAAGCTCAGATATAATCCTCTCTTCAAGATTACGATTTCCTTGACAAAGGCGCTTTGCACGCGGGTTCTTGCTAATTTTCTCCTTGATATAAAGACGTATATCTTCTTTCCTTGCCAAAATATCTATTTTTACTGCATTTCGAAGTGATTCTTGGACATCCTCGGGGTAAGGTCTACTAGTTATGAATATATTCATCCTGTCGCTTGACATGGAATGAAATAATTCAAGGAGCTCATCCCGTTGGTTATTCTCATCGTACTCGTCTAGGGCATCGAAAACAAAATATGTTTGAGGAAAAGAATGTGTAACTTCGAGTAAGGTCGAATATATCTCCTCGATATCAGGTCTCCTCCCTTCGTGCTGACATTTCGCATGGAGAGTCTCGATCCCAGCATGAAGGCTAGGTAACTGATACGCTAGCTGTTTTATAAGGCTGGCAATGACATTTTCAGGGCTCTGTTGATCAAGATTCTGATAATCGAAATATAAGTAGGCCACACCATAGCCCTCTGATGCTGCCTGAGATTTTAGATGATCAATCACCGAAGAACTGATTTTGGCCTAGTTGTCAGCTCTAGTTCATTGAAGAACGATCGATTATAATCATATAAATATATATATATATTGATCTAGCAAATAGGGCAAATTATACCTTAGGAATGTTTTTCCGGCACCCGCTAATATTAGGGATATCTCTTTTAGCATCGAACACGATAATTTCAAGAAATTCGGCTACCTACGAATACCATGGCCCCAAAGCAATCGCCCTTGATTCTGACACATACGCCATCCCACATACTCGGGTATTTGTAAAATCCATTGAGCTGTATTCCGTTGCCTCCGTTTTCTGATTTCATCGTGCTTACTGTGAAAGTTTTCTGATGATAACCAATCCAGCACACACTTACGTTTCTCCGCTGATAAACAAATATTAGTTAAGCATCCATCGACATAGCAACTAAACGAGATCCTAGCACTAGTTACCGCATTGTTGAGTATCTATATTCTTCGTCGACAAAGGTCGACTTTCAGAGCTAAGTTGCATATCTTGAATGGCAAGATTAATGCGACTTAAATCTCTCCTAATGTCTTGAACAACCAAATTCGTGTCTCGAGTAAGTTCTTGGGCATTGCGCGCGGAGAAACTGGTCCCCTCTGCAAGTATTTGGATATTATTCAGTGTGAGACTCGTGTTCTCGACGATGTTCTGGACGGCTTCGACGGACAGGTTTGTGCCCCGAACCAAGCTGTTGATATCCCGAATACTTAGATTTGTATTTTGGGCAAGTTTCTCAATTTGTTGGATGTTGAGGTCTGTTTTCTGGAGGCTTTTCGTGAGGTCATTTGAAAGCGATCTTTAATTACAGTTTAGTTAGTATTCATTAGAAATTCTCTTTCTCAAATTAAGACTTACATTTGATCAGCACTCAAAGCAAATATGAATAATGCCTTATACCGTTCAATTCGCGATATGTGTTGCATCGTTTCTGCCTCTTGTAAAGGCCATTTTAGCCTCTCCACGGATCCCCTAAACCCTGCCTTACTCGCAGATTCAAGCTTTGATATGACCATATTCAGTTCCGCAGCAATTCCATGTAATGGGCAATTATTGAGACCGAGTGAATGCAGTACGTGTAACTTTTGGGTGTTCTGATCTGCTATATGTTGGACCGAAATCAGGACTTTTCCAAGGGACCCTAACTCGCATACAAGATCTCCTAGGTCCTTTGGCGCTCGTTTTACCCCGCGAAGATACTCGTAACTCAAAGTGGTCGCTTTTCTGACCAACTCCACGATAGCGATAATGCTTGCTGTAAAACCGACAATCTCAGCCATGTTGTATGTCGATAATTGTCTGGTGTAGTGTGTGCCGATGTTCACAGTTGTAGAGTGAATGAGGAGATGATGACTTTCAGCCTTGTCTCGTGCCCAGACCTGTTTTGAACTATTCTGCATACTCCACAATAGAAACAGTCTGGGAACGAGTGCTTTCAGCCTTATCTGAGGCGTTCACTAGAGTACATACATACACGCATCATAAATATCACTTGAGTTCTAAAAAAAAAAACAATTAATAATCAATTTTACAAAGTATTTAAAACATGTTTATCTCCATGGCTAACGAGTTTGCAATTGAATGGGAAGAACAGGGTCTTTATAAAGCCGTGCATATCGTACATGGGTAAGATTTAAGGTTTCAATAGGCCTTGATTCTTTCCACGGCTTAGTACTACGGTAAAGTATGATTTATACAATATAGCTAATCAGACTCAACAATTTTATTACCGTAACGCCCATGTTCCGACCTATCATAATACAGTAGGAAAAATAATTATCGTATCGAGACAACGTAATAAAACATTTCGAACTTTGACAGAAGGCCAAAGATATGGCGAAAGAATCGTTGCAGTAGCACAGACGTTTACAGAAACTCTCCATCTTCCCTCCTCTTCCCAAATACCACCCCAACAACCTTTCCCGCTTGTCGAACCTTTACCCAACCATCTACCCCTTCCCTCTCCGCAATAAGCCTAACTGCCATCTCCGCCTGCTCAGAACTAACGGGATTCCTAACGCTTTCCCTGATTCCCTCCACTACCGACTTCATCGTCATATTGCTTCCTCTGCCAGCAAGCCCCTTTAGAATTGGCTCAATGTCAGGAATACGTTGACGGGCTGCATCACGCTCCTGCTCCTCCTTTGTAGGTGCTTTGGCTGCCTCAATAGCAGCGGCTTCAGCTTTGGCACGAATACGCGATAGCAGGGAGTCGCCACGGGCGACAGGTGCACCGGCAGTTTTGGCTTTGGCGGGGGATGATAAGAGTGCAGGTTTGCTGCGCTTCAGAAGATCGTCGAGGCGCTGTTGACCCTTTGAGTGAAGAACCTTTGATATTGTTTTGGCTCTGTGATGGGCATGTATCTTTGCCAGAGGAATTGTGAGGACTGGGGCGAGAGGGGCTGGAATGGCGTTTCCCTCTTCACCTTCTTCGCTCTCTTCCCCCTCTTCTCTTATTTCGGGCTTGATCTCATCCTCCTCGGTTCTGGGCTTATCCCCGTCCTCCTTAGAGTTGGTCTCTTTTTCCTCGGCGTTGGGCTTGACCTCAGCGCCTTCGTCTTTGGACAGGGGCTCGATGAATGAAGATGGCGGTGTAGGAAGGGCGGTTTGAGCTTTGTTCGACTCGTCGAGGAAGGAGTGGGTCCGTGATAGGAAGTCTTTCTTCAAGATATCGGTGTTTGTGAGTTTACGAACCTTCGTCTTCTCAACAAAATCGATACAGATCTTATTTGAGCCATAATCAATCAACTTCAATCCGCCTTCTGTATTAAAGTGCTCTTCTGAATCTTTCGTTTCAGAAGAGTAGTGTGAAAGGTACACAATCCTTCGTACATCCTCTAGTGTGATATTGCGGCGGCATAGCCTCTCGACATGTAACTTGATAGCAGAGAATACCGGTGGTTGTATGCTATTGCTGTGATGGGCTCTATGTAGTAGAAGCGCAGTGAGAAGAGAACTATGGAGTGATTGCAAAAGTACCAAATCCGAGGGGAGTTCGGTGGGCGTTGTTGATGTAGATGGAGGGGGATCATCCGGAAGCGCTGGACTTGAGGTAGCAGGCGGAGTAGGGAGATCCGTGCTTTCAAGAGACTTTATTTCCCGCTTTTTTGCGGGTGTAGAGATATAGTCATCAAGCAACGTCCGCTTCCTTTTACCACCTCCAGGAGTGGCAGCGGGCGCGGGCGGCGACTTCTGGGCTTTTGACTTCTTTATAGAACCGATAATTTTTGCGGGTTGAGGTTTGGTTGGTTTGGCTTTAGCTGGCGCAACTTCAGTTGATTCAACTTTGGCCTGTTCAACTTTGGCCTGCTTAACTTTGGCCGGTGAAGGTTTTACTGATTCAACCGGTGATGCCAAGTCAACTTTTTTAGTTTCCTCACGCTTGACAACAACATCTTCGTCGCCATCCTGCCTAATCTCGAAAGCAGGAGCAGGGGCGACGGTATCCTTCGTCGGCTCCTTTTTCTTTGTCTCTGTGATGCTTCCAGCCTTCCCTACCAGTTTCCCGGGCCTTGGTATGTTCTTCCCGACGGTTGAGAACGAGTGGAGTGTCTGTGTCTTCACTGCTGCCGCAGCGGCGACTTTGCGTTTTGGAGGCATTGTTATAGTTGATGATGTTAATACTCTGTACACGCTGCTTGTTGACTGAAAGGTACCAAAGCAGCGAGAAGTATTATACAGGAATATTATACAGGTCTTGTTTAGGCGGGTTTCTTCTTTTTCTTCCTGGGTTGGTGTGGTAGTGAGGTAGGAAGATGAAGAAGAAAGGGAAGGGGATGGAACGAGGAAGGCTTTGTTGTTACCCCGTTGCCTAGGCTACGGATTCCTAAATGACACGCGCAAAGTGGAAAAAGTTGGACGTGCCACACGCGTAAATTGAAAAATTTGAAGTGGGGAGAGGTTTGGTCTTTCTTAAGCTTTCTTAAGGCGCGCTTGCATTTCAGGGATTTTCTATTAAATGAGCAGTAAGAGCTACTACATGTCTATGAAAAGAAGGTCAATGATCATCTCGATATTATGTTGCTTTCACTAGAGATAGAATTTGATCCTTCGCTGAGAAGATACGCTCTGAATACTAGTAAAGCTTTAAAAAGATTCTATTTTGACATTTTAGCATTGCAACTGAACACCTTAATATCATATCAGTGAACTGTAAGAACAGCTGTACCCACAGAGGCAGACTGAACTACATAGTTGAAATTCTTCACCAATAACAATCAGCTGGAGCTGTGAAGGGTACTCGGGGCAGGTAAAAAGTACCGGACAATGCAAGTTTTGTCTCTGGGGTTTTTTACAGTAGCTCACGCCTAGCACGCACACCCATTGGTGAACCAAAAACATGCATTGTCCGGTACTTTTTACCTGCCCCGAGTACAAACATCAATCTATGGAATAGAACGGATATTAAATAAATGGCAGTAGAGTTTCGTATCAATTATTAACACTCCTGCGTTGAGTTCAAAGTTATTAGACCACGTCAGGCCCATACACCTTTGACTGCTATCAGATGGATTGATTGATGACTAAGACTCCCACAAACCCGCAGACCCGAAAGCCGCCTGGAACGGCAACGGCAGGGAGACGCTGAATGACGCCCCCTCTAAACGCTTGTCTAGGAAAGCGCGTGTGTGCATAAACTTGCATAAACTAGGTAAGTCTCAAGACGAAACCCCCTCCATCCGAAATCGCTCTCCATTGCTCCTCCTCTCTTCTCCTCTGTTTAACGCTTGTACCTAGAATACCGATAAGCCTCTTCTTCTCTCTTCTAAAGTTACCTCTAAAATTATGTTCGCCGCTCGCTCTGCCTCCCGGAGCCTCTTTGCTGCTCGACCACTGGTCCAGTCAAGAGCCGCCCTGGTAAGAGTTTTTTATTATTTGCTTTTTCTTCTTGCTTTATTGAAATATATCGAAATTCAATACGGAAAACTTTTCTGACCGAAAGGAAACAATATAGTTCCGAAGAGCATACGCCACCGAACAGAAGAAGATCGCCGAATTCAAGGGGAAGAAAAATGCAGCTGTTCGTAACCCCCACTTTTCCCGCAGAAAACTTGTAGTAGTAGTGCTACATCAACACATCTTCACCGAGAACAACGAACGAAGCGGGTCTCCCGGAAGATGCTGTGATGAGTGTGCTAGTAGGCGAGAGAGTCAAGTTCATGAGTTGATACGGCTTGTAGGGAAACTACACAGTAACCTTCATCGAGGGTGACGGTATCGGCCCGGAGATTTCCAAGTCAGTCAAGAGCATATTTGCTGCTGCTAAGGTATGCTCTTCGAATCCTGCAGTTTTCTTCACTTTCCTGTATTGCCACATCTTGTGAAACCGTTATCGCTGTTCCGAGTGATAAGCTCGTACCCCCACCTCATTTTCGTGATGTCAGCGGCTGATACAGCGCACAGGCCCCTATCGAATGGGAATCCGTCGATGTCACCCCAATTTTGGTAGACGGAAGAACTGCGATCCCCGATGCTGCGATCCAGTCCGTCAAGAAGAACTTGGTCGCCCTCAAGGGACCCCTAGCTGTGCGTTTCCTGAAGCTAGCGTTTAGTGTAGCAAGGCATTTTAAAGCTAACCCCATCTTAGACCCCCATCGGAAAGGGTCACGTCTCGCTCAACTTGACTCTTCGTCGTACCTTCAACCTTTTCGCCAACGTCCGTCCCTGCCGCTCTATCGCCGGTTACAAGACTGCGTATGATGATGTCAACACAATTCTCATCCGTGAGAACACCGAGGGAGAGTACTCTGGTATCGAGCACGTCGTTGTCGACGGTGTGGTTCAGTCCATCAAGTTGATCACTAGGGAGGCTTCCGAGAGGGTTCTGCGATTCGCTTTTCAGCACGCCCAGATGATTGGAAGGAAGAAGGTCCGCGCTGTTCACAAAGCCACCATCATGAAGATGAGTGATGGTTTGTTCCTGAACACCGCAAACGAGATCGCCAAGGAGTTCCCGGATATTGAATTCGACGCTGAGTTACTGGACAACGCTTGCTTGAAGGTAAGCTCCTTGAGCTATCGAACAAATTGTAGGCTGATAATGGCTGTGAATAGATGACTACCAACCCCGATCTCTACTCCGACATTCTCCTTGTTATGCCTAACTTGTACGGAGACATTCTCTCTGATCTCTGCGCCGGTCTCATCGGTGGTCTTGGTTTGACCCCCTCTGGAAACATCGGAGACGAGTGCTCCATCTTCGAGGCTGTCCACGGTTCTGCACCTGATATTGCTGGAAAGGACCTTGCCAACCCCACTGCGCTCCTCCTGTCATCAGTCATGATGTTGCAGCATATGGGGCTCTCAGAGCACGCCGAGAAGATTCAGAAGGCCATCTTCGCAACCCTTGCCGAGGGTAAGTCCTTGACTGGAGATCTGGGCGGAAAGTCAACAAACACCCAGTACGCCGATGCTGTCATTAGCAAGTTGTAAACACCTTTTCTTTTTCAGCATAGAATTGAGAGGGTCAGTTAATGGGGATTTGAGGGGCTTAATGGTTGAGAGATCATGCGCCCATGGGCTTGAGATAGATGGGTACAATAGTAGTTAGATATCTTTCTGGAGGGTTGGATTTTTTTTTAAAAAGACTCGTTTTGTTTCCCACCCCCCCTCCCCTTCCCCCTTCCACCATTTCCTTTTTTTGCTATCGTTATGGCGATGTCGGGGGGTGGTGGTGTGAGGTGTATGATGGGAATATATCCGCGGTTTTTCTCTTTTTTTCCAGACATGACCTGGGTTTTATCGGATGGGGGAGGGATCTACGGGATTGTGCACGTGCCACGGAGAGATGCGCCCTACAGGTGGGATTAGATTCATGTGCTATCACTCGCGTAAGATTTAGGGTGACAATGCGGACATCCGCCTACAACCTGAAACCAATGCTTATCTATCCCCCACTCCCATCCATCCAACCATCACATACTGATCATTAACGCTGCGAGCCATACTACGAGTGATATTCTATGACCCAACAAACACCCAACAAGATAAACGAAACATTCACGAAAGAGTCTCGCCGTAGTTGGGCTAGGAGCAGTCTTTCTAGAGCAGAGGGCTGAGGATTTGGACTACACAGTCCCGTTTGAAAGGCTAGAAATCCGGTTCCAATGCGGCAGCTCTAGGCACCGCCCTCAACCCGTCAGCTAGGCGTGTGTTTGTATCCTTACAATAATATCATTGGCTGTAGATTCCGTGATGTCCTGTCCCGTTCCCCTTACACTATTAACAATTTGTCACTACCCACACTCACACTCACACTCACATTCGCATTCACATCCATACCAAACATCCATAACTTGGTCGGCTGGTAAGCTTATTAGACATGTATATATGCCACGATGGTATTCTCTCCCATTTTCCCCTCCGCTGCCTAACACCCCCGTCTCCCTAACTTCCCCTCATTCTCACACACCCAACACACCCATCAAAGAGCGCAAAACGCAAACAGTAAAAAACAAACCCGCCTCTTTCTATACAAAAAACACTTTCCTTGTCGCGGCTTACAATATTACACTGATACCCTACATACCCAGACACCCCCTATGATCAAGGACTAAAAGAAGAAGAAAAAAAGGAAGAAAAGAAAAGAAGGGAAAAAATCTATTTTACAAGCACAAAAGCAACCGGAACATGTATAGTTAAATAGCCCTACACATGCGCACAGACAGCACCGTCACCGTCCAAAAAAAAAGTACACTTAAAAACACATTCAAAACTGAAGAAGAAAGAAGAAGAGAGGAAAAACTCCAGCAAAATCCTACGGGGGAAACAAAAGCCAGAAGAAAAAAAAGTACTAGAAGAGAGCTAACCTAAACCTAACCTAACCCAATATAATTTTTGTACTCAGCCCCTCCAGGAACCCCGCAAGATCCTCCTTCCGCACCTCCACAACCGTCGCCTCAAAGGCATCGATCCTGATGCGCGCCTGGGTTGTGCTCGCCACCTCCTGGAACGCAATTCCGAACTTGTTTCTCCCCCTCCTTCGCTCCTCCTCTTCATCCTCCTCGTCGTCGTCCTCTTCCTCCTCTTCTTCCTCCTCATCATCGCCATCCTTCGCCGGCTTCTTCCCCTTATCTTTCTCCTTCTCCTTCTCCTTTTCTTTATTCTTCTTAGCACCTCCCGAGACTCGCCCGCCAGGAATTGTGCCAACGACGATATAGACTCCACGGCGCTCATTCAACGATGCGACCACGAGCGGGAGATGTTTTTTCCGTTCCTGCTCGCGCTCCTGCTCCAAGATTGCGTCTCCGAGCCAGAGCGCGAGCTTCGACACCGCGTTGGGATGTGTGAAGATTGCGACGTCGGGGCCCTCCTTGACGACAGCGAGACGGTATGCGCGCAGCAGGCGGATCTGGCGCTTCTCGATGAGTGCTGTTCCCGTGCGCAGGATTGCGCGGTGCAGGTCCATTGCTGTTGGGAGCGCTAGTTTAAGGGCTTCTATGCTACGGCGTGTTAGCTGACTTGATATGTGTGGGCCCAGGAGGGGGTGTTATACTCTTCCAGTGCGTCATAGGCGCCCCAGAAGTTCTCGATCCACGTCTCGGATTCTCTGTTCTCCTCACGGCGGCCCTCGGCTTCGCTTTCGATGACTTCGCCGTCGCCGAGACGGACTGCTGCGAGTCCCTTTTTGCCGATTTCGAGGAGGCCGCCAATGACGTATGCGACGTCTACGGCGCTCAAGCAACCGCTCCAGCCCCAGCAGCGGACAAAGCCTTCTCGGACTACACCCTCGAGGCCGTATAGTGGCGCATATTTTTCTAGGCGGTCACGGAGTGTGCGCTTTAGGTCCATGTCCATGTGTGTGTAGCTCTGCTTGCACTGGTTGAGGGAGAATCCCATCTTCGCCAACAGCTTATGCAGGCGCTTCCGCCCGTGCTCGGACCAGATGTGCAGTTTAGTCCCCAGAAAGCTCGAATGCAGCATCGAGTCGTATAATGACCAATGCCGAATCAGCATGAACCTGAACTCGGGGGACATCCGTATCGCCTTGTCGTCTGGTGATCGTGCTGTGGTCTGCAGTGAGTTATTGGTCGCACTGCTGGAGCTGCCGCCAAAACCACCGGCGCTGCTGACCTCTGGGGGGTTGAGACGTCGGACCTCGTCTCGGAGGACGCTGCGGATCTGCTCTTCACGGGAACTGACCCAGCCCATATCTGAGGACTTTTTCGGGGGCCCAGATGAAATACCATGGCCGTAGATCTCGCCGGAGGAGACGCCGACAATTGCTAACCAGAGAAGATCGTTATCTTCGCGGCCAAGATCGGAGGCAAGGGAGTACAGAAGGCCGGAGATTGGTTCGCCGTACCAGGTGCCTTGGGAGTAGTAGTTTGCGATTTTGGATTCGTGCTGGGCTCGGAGCTTTCGTAATTTTCGGCGGAGGTGCTTTGCGGTGGGCTGTGGACGGCGCGGTAGCTGCTGCGAAGGTGATGATAACGGAGAGTGGGATCGTGCGGGTGGAGGAGACGAGGCCATAGCTGTGGTGGGTACCGTAGTCGCCGAGAGGAGCGTATACGACTGTAGGAGCGGTGTTGAAGCGCCGGAAGATTCCTAGGGTCAATGATCAGTAGCTAGAAGCCGTAAAAGTAGTAGACCTGTAAAATTCCAAGTGCCATAAATACCTCATCATTACTACCTCGGCGTCTTCTCCGGACTCTCGAACTCCCATCGTCGTCCGAGACATCCTCAGGCTCATCCGAGCTCTTCCTCTTGCGCACATTGGCCCCCTTGACCCCGGCCAGCATCCCCTCATCCAACAGGGCTCCACCCCCATCATCCTCATCCGTGCTGTGTGCGCTCGCATCCTCCTCATCTTCCCCTTCATCCTCCTCCTCATCCTCACTCTCGCTCTCACTATCTGTCTCCGGCATCTCGACCAGCGCCCTAAATGCTACCCCCTCCACTCTGAGGTCCTCCTCGATATCCCCGTCGTCCCAGCACTTTACCCCGCCCAACTCACCAACACCATGCCTGCCCCCCTTTACCTTCCCGTCGCCCACAAAGACATTGTATAGATTCCACGGGCGACGCCCGTCAACCACCCAGCACTCTACCGCCGCACCCAGGTCCAGGAACGCCGCAATATCCACGAGACCACCGAGGCCCAGACAGATCACAAATCGCAAGTCTTCATTCTCACGGACGAGGGTATCGTTGAGCCGCTCGAGCTCCTGGTACCCCGACACTGGATGTATCTTGTGCGGGATGTAGTCGCGCTTGAGGAGGTGGGTGAGGATGCGTGTGGCGCAGAGGGAGTCGATGTCGAGGGCGCAGAGGATCAGGATGGACGGGTTGGTCGAGTGAGCGTGCGATTTGAGATGTGCATAGGCCGAGGCGAGGAGCGAGCGGGGGATGAACATCGTGGGGTGGTGTTGTGGCGGTGTTTTTTCGGCGGCGACTTTTGGACGGCCCGGGGGTGTGGGGGGGTACGGTTTTCGAGGTGTTGAACGCGTCCGACGCGTTGTATTAAGTGGTCTGGAAAAGAGTGCGTGGGATCCTGGCTTATGCAACAACTTCAATGGATGGATTCGGCAGTGAGTATCTCCTAACCTCCTAAGAATATCTAGGGAACGTTAATGGGGGCGTAAAGAGAAGAGAAGAGAGAGAGCGTGTGTGTGTGCAAGGTAAGAGCAATAATCATCCAATACGTTCGTTACGTAGAATTAGGAGCAGTACTAGGATAGGAGCAGTGGCCAACTTCTGCTGCAGAGAGAGAGGGAGAGAAAAGAGAGGAGAGAGAGAAGAGAGGCCACAGTGAGCGTGAGAGGGTTGGGGAGACGTGTAGAATGCAAATCACATCCCTGACTGACTTGACCGACCGACTGTTCCAGCCAGCCACTTCTCTCATCCCCTGTCTTCCCCTGCTAGAGCGCGTACAGCACTTTACTTACATATGCAGGAGAGATTGCTTCTAGAAAATTACATTTCCGTCCAGGAACTGATATAAAATCTCCATTGCTATATCATAACGGTGCCTATATACATGAGTAAGTATCTGGAAAAACTTCAACTCAAGAATCCTTCCTTCAATTCCAAAAAATAAGTCTTCCCGAGCGCACAGACCAATGATTGCACAATCCCGTCCTTTGTTCTCGGTAACGATCAAGTTGCGGCTATCGTCTATTGGGAACCCTAACCCACACACACACCCGACTCGGAAGAATTCTCTTTTATGTCGAACTGTAGTTGGCTGTATTTGCGGTATAGCGACAATAGTATTGGCCAAAGTATTGTGTTGGGTGGAAGTGATATTCCATGATCGAAGAAGTGCAGTGATATGCTATGAGGCCAGCCAACAGCCAACTGCATTATACCCGAGCTTGAAGAGGCCAAAAAAGTGATATTTTCTCTTCTCTGTTACCCTGGATCAATTACATTTCAGACTTGTGTATACCGGTTCAATACTGCAGTCCCGGACTCTGTTAACAAGACTAGAAATCTGGGGGGGCACTATTCTCAAGTATTGGTACTTACTACAAAATCTGTGCCAGAAATGAAATCCAGATGAAATCCCATGGGCAGAGAAAACAACCAACCATCATACGCTGGGAGGAACCAGCAGTCCAAAGCTAGACAGAACCAAGTAACTCAGTCCTTCCCATCTGAGGGGGGGGGGGGGGAGTAGCAGCTCCTCCCAGCTATGATTTGGAATGTTGTATGATATTACTTGTTGTCAAGTTCATGTAACGTATGCATGGAAATCAATCTTCGTTGATGAACAGCATTGAGCATTCCTCCCTACCATGTTGGTGCTAATTTGAATCTCTGCCCAGCACAGATGGATTCTCGCTTCTTATGTCTTCTGCAACCGGACACCTGTCAAGAGAATCAGATCTATATTCGGGCAATCTGACAACGAATAGGGGACACTGAATTATACTTTACCTAGGAATGAGATGAGCGACTGATGTTTTCTCCCCCTTCTCCGTACATAGTTGAAGTTACCACGTCCGCAATGTTTTGGAGCGGATCGGACAGTAGGGATTGACAGAGCCAACAACCGGGTAACACTCCACCAAGAGTGCAAAATAAGAAGAAAGAACCCTAAGCTGGGTAACAGCAGGCTCGGGGAAATGGCAGTATAAAGTGGGGTATTTTTGCAGCGTATAACGAGGCAGCGGAGCATGCTGCACGCACATTCACTCCACTCCACCAATCCATCTACTCCCTCTTCGACCATTACTACTACACCAGATCTACCATACCACATACGAGGTCTCTGGACCTTCCACCAACAAACCTCTACACCTTGTTCCCCTCTGGAGACGGCAGCTTGAAGCCCCACGACACAGTGTGCAGTGGAAGACGAAAAGGGACGAGGGGAGCCCGACGACTTCGAACCTTACCAACACTCTATCAACAACCCCACCAACAACCCCACCAACAGCTCAATACCAACCCCACTAGCCCTACCACCAATCCCTCAGTATTCCGGCCCAACCGACCCTACCAGCCCTACCCCGCCTCCACGGCAAAAAACCGAGTGAGACCCTGTGAGCATTCCTCATATCCGAGTGATAATTGATGAATCGAGTGATACCTTATGATTAACAGTGTGTAAGCATACATCTAGGCAGGTGCGTACTATCCGGTTTACTGGATGCATACGAGTGGCTTAGATGGTGTTAGCTCAGTAACGGGATCCGCGAGAATCGGTGAAGCGGATCCACGATAGATTTAACTTCGACCTTGCTCATCATAGGTCGAACGGGAGTATCTCCGGGGTTGATAGATGTAGCAACTATCCATCTGACCAGAAACCTTTTGCCTCTGGCGCGGTCTGGCAAATATATGCGCACAAGCCGCCTTCTCAGTTTTGATTTCACCTAAGCCCGAGATCTAGAGATACGAATATAAGTATTTATTCTGAGAATTCATTAACTAATGGTACATATAACATATATACACCACCTCGACTCCAATTACTACATAGCAACATAATCAACCCATCACGCCAACCCTAACACCCGAAACAAACGGAAAAAAATACATAGCGCTGACTCATACAATTACATCAAACTCTTTCCAGTGTCATCATGACTTCGGCTTCTTGGGCACCTCATAAAACCCAACCTCACCCGCGGGCGATATCACACGGCACTTCAATCTCTTCTCTTTCGCCGGTACCGAGTGGTCCAAGTCCGAATTCCTCAACACATGGAAGATGGAGATGAAAGAAGAGTTAGTATCAATCTTTTCACGATTTAATACAAGCGCATGTAGACCGAGCACTGCTATAATCGCCGCAATACCCAATGCAATTGAGTACGTAAGGACAAGCTCGAATGGCCTGTACCGATACACACTCTTCCACTCGACCGAAGTGCAGATTGAGCTTGTGTTGGCGGAGTAGTGGAGGATGGTATCTGAAAGTAATGAGGCTGTCATCTTGTGCACCATGTTTTCAATGGCCGGTCCTAAGGGATGCACTGTTCTGTCAAAATTGACCAGTGGTGTCGCGCTTGCTAGGGTAGTCGCGTTTTCGGCCGGTTTCCGCTTGTAGCGGCCTTCGGTGACGCTGTTCGTGATGTCCCAGCCACGCTCTCCCTGGAATAACGAAATGAGAACGTCGGTGAGCGACCAGTTGGGCGCATATGCGTAATCAAGGTGAGCGTCTTCGATGTTGTAAAGTTTCTCAGTAGCAACTACTTGGGGCTCCAGGAAATTGTGCCCGCTCATGGTCTCGTTTACCGTGTAGTGTGAAACGGAGGCTTGACATGAATAAGCGTACTTTTTGCGGCATGCAACACGTGTGTCTGGAGCTGCCGGGGTGGTGTATAGGACCCAGAAGCTAGTAAGCGAGTTGTTCCAGCGCTGAGAATGGAATATTGGGAGATAAGTGGTTTTGCTATCATTTCCTGGGGATTCGCAGTCTGCGAGAGGATGCATATGCGTCTCAGTCCATCGGCCAATCGTATTCGGGTCTATTTCGGTGCAATTGACAGACGGTCCAAGAAACTCGACCGAATAGGTGCAGTTTGGGCCGCAATCTTTTCTGACTGTCGAGCCGTACGGTACGCTGCTATCTTTTGCTGTGGTTTTCCCCGAGAATGCTGATGTCACAAAGTATTTCATGCCTTGTGAACTTTGGCGTAGGTATCCTGAACTGGAGGAGTTGAGATAGAGCATGTGTAAGTACGGTATATCTGTACGGTTTAATCGTATCGAATGTGGGTCTGTGTCGTAGCCAAATTTAAGAGAGTTGACCGTGCAATTAGTGCTCGAAAAGCGTGGTTCCATGACCACTGAAATCGTACTCGGCGTAGACAGGGTTACAAGCGGTGCGTACAACCATTTTGCGGCAGCCAAGATAGTTGCAATCTTTGCAAGCTTCACCATATCGAAGTGAAGAAAGTGGCCTGGGTTCGAGGTGACACCGAAGATAGCATCAATGCTCTTCAACGAAAATGACCGTTTACTGAGGGTGTGCCATAACCATTGATCTCTGGACAAACCGCACAGGACCGCCAGCGAGTTGCCTAATATGTAGGCAAGAGCTGTACCGATTCTGATAGTCCACTTCTGCTGCTTTGCAAGTTCTCCATCTAGACGTGAGTAGAAAATGTGATGACCGACACCGCTCATGAGGCCGACGAGAAAAAGGATAAGAATGACAGTGGGTTTATTCCATCCGACGCCATGTATGACAGCAGTTTGGGGCTCGGTAGGCTCGGTAGGCTCGGTAGGCTCGGTAGGCTCGGGTGTTGCTGGTGAAGGCTGGTCATGTTGACTTTTAATTGACCCTAACGGTCTTTTCTCGACGTCTGGAGACATAGGGGCTATAGTTTCGTCCGACATTGTTTCTGGCGGAATTGGTCCTGTCATGACGTGAGCGTAGATGGGGAAATATGTCTGCTATGTATGGAAGTTAGGATTTGCTAAAGCATAGATACCTACTATATAAATGAGGAATCCAGCCGAAAACATGTAACCTAATTACCCATCTGATCGCGCTTGTATGCGACGAATCTAACTAGCGGACCCGAAAACCTTCCCAAGGCAGGGGGGTTGTGTTCTTGAATCTCACTTTTATAGGACAATCAGTTCAGCCATGTCTGAGTGTGGTATGTCAAAAAGTTAGATGAACGGCGTTGCTGCTGAAAAAGCATGATTGACAGACCAATGAATTGTGGTCCAGAGCTCACATCCATGCAGGGGAGTTGGTTCTTTTTGCGATTTATCTGGCCCGGATGAAAGTCTCGGCCAACGCCGTGCGTGTAGGTGCACAAATTCTTTGCACTTTAGAGTAGATCCCCAAATCGAAATCAATAGCCTTGGGCACCGGAAAATAGAAGTGCGACTGTATTGTATTGTAGATACATGTAGGCATCGAGCTGGGCGTTACTGGGGTGTGGAGGAATAGTTGGAGATCTGCAATTACTGTGTGTCCTTGCCAAGATTGTGGCTGAATTCGTGTTGTTCATGCTCTACTCAATCTGGCTTGCCCCGCTGTTTCAATGAAAACCATACCTACGCCGACAGGTATTTGAGACACGGCTATTTGCGGACTGCATACACTTGTGCAGAGTTTTCAGTCCGTGCAGCTACTAAGGGGTAGTGGATCACGGCAGAGTAGAGTACCAGGAGATGTCAGGTGTCAGAAAGGACTAGACCCTTACCTACATACACCCCACCAAGCTACTCCATGGGTTTCTATGAGACCTGGAACAACTAACTTTAGATGATGGCTCGCATTCAGAAGTTAGAGACTCAGAGGCCGTAGCTTGTTACTCCTATTGGTGCTGAGAACCTTTAAAAGCACCGCGGTATAATTTGAGGGTCAGTACAGGGGCTACAAATTCCAGAACCGAAACTTGAGTGTAGGTACTCTACCATTGACTGGCGAGGTACTCTGTTTTTCATGTGTCTCGATATGCATTGTATCAATAACTGGTAAAATCTCTGTGCTCGTACCAGATTTGACAGTCCTGCGTGTATCTAGAGTACGTGTACTGAGTGTATTAGTGCGTTAGAAGGACAACTGATGTCCGGCGATGTGTGTATATATAGGGTTGTGTGTGTGTTTTGGTTCTCAGGAAGATAGGTGCTTTGTGATAATGACCATCTACAACACATACTTGTCAGTCCTACATAACGATGACGTATATTATCGCGTATCTAAATACTGTGCGACACGCATGTCCAAGTAGTGCGTGACACAGTTCAAAATTAACTACATGTATTCGTTCACTATCAACCTGCGAGCCAGCGCAGGTCAATCTAAACTCAGCATCCCCATCTCTTCGTCTACAAGCTTAATGAACTTCTTGCTCCCGTTCTCTGGGAAGTGTGTGAACTCAGCCTTCTCAGCCTTATAAATAGCATTCTGTAGATCCCTGTGTATGATTGAGCACAGATACAATGAATGTATGATGGGTGGGGAAGGAGATGCATACTCAACATGACCCTCGATGAGATAGCCTTGTCTTTCAAGCTCTTCAGAGAGCTCTTTTTGGTGGTTATCCATTAAGCTTTCATTGGGGACCACGATCAAGATTTTTTGATAGCGTAATGCATCTAATATTGATCCTGAACCTATGCGCCACGATCATCAGCATATTGTCCTAAGATCTTCTCCTTGAACTCACCAGCATGTGAGATGACCAGATCAGCCGCTGCAATCTCCTCTCTTATACTCTCAGCAAAATCAAATCCACTGACACTAATGCTGTGTCTTGATCCAATAGTCGCAGAGAGACGTTGCTCGAAAACCTGTCGGCCTGTGCCGAATTGTATGCGGAGGTCCGTGTATCCTAGGGTACTGAGTGTAGCGATGACTGTGGAGGATAGGGAGGCCGCGATAAGATCATTAAATGGCGCAGTAGCACCAACCGTCACGAAGACAACTTTTGAAGGACGTGGTGTCATATTGGTTAGGACCAGTGGAGGTAGGTATTGATCTGAATGTTTGGTTGAGGTGAGGTCGGTCCCGAGGGAATGGAGACGGATGCCAAGAGATCCAAAGTTTAGTAACCAGAGGCTTAATCCAACCGTGCTTATATTTACATATGTAATTATACTTGATGCGGGAAAGGGAAATATTAAGTCGCACTAATCATTCTGGGACTCTTCGGGCTCAAGCACCGGTGTTTTAGATGTTAAGAATTCTCGAGCTGAGTACGTGCGCATGTATGTACTCTAGAGTACTTGTAGGTACATGTACATGTATGTGCGTATGTGCACACCACCCACATAGCAACATACTTAAGGAGTTCCCACGGCATCTCATCATTTACCAACATTAACGTCTAGTTTTCTCCGTTTGGGCGTGAGAATGCTCTTTTAAACTTTTACTCATGAATATTCTGGCCATGGAATTCTTGAAATTTGGTAACTATGTATATGTACTTGTACTTTATTTCAGGGCCAAGGCGATTTATGAGTCATCGTACAGCAGTGGGGAGAATTGATATCTCTAGAACCGGAATTTTCTTATTTGGACAGGCGCCATACCATTGCTCAGCGTGTTTCAATCTAAGTGCGCCATCGAGGAGTAATACATGTAGTTGATTAAACACAAGGCAGTCTCACTCCTCTTTGCATTTCTCAATATACTGGAGCTACACTGTGCTTAGAAAAGCTCAGATTTTACACTACGAATGTCATATACATTGTCGACCTGGAAACTTCATCGGAAGTACCCCGCGAGGCCGAACAGTCGCCGTGACCACTCAGTTGTCGTTTGTCTTGGCAACCCTCAATAGAAAGTGGATTTAAGAAACAGGGTAACTCCTCTCAATTTCGGAAGAAAAAAAATAGCTTTATTGGCGACTGAGTCCATTACGGCGACTGGCTGGCCTCGCGGGGTACTTCATAGGTGACTCTCCGAGGAAAGATGACTAAGCAGCAACTATTTTGCATCCTCTGGGGTCAGGGTTGAATAAACAAGCCCGATAGAGTAATAAACTTATCGATCGGGCATATATGTTTCGTCCAAATTTTTAGACTCACCCCTGTTGGGCTACGTACTCACTGAGTAAAGCATACTTTCTCCATGCATGTGGTTGTGCATGAAGCCGCAGCATGCAGCATTGCATAGACAGCTGTCATTTGGAGAGCTAGAGGATTGGACCTTGAGCTCCGCTTTGCGCGGCGAAACAACACAGGACCGCATCCCATCCCGCCTCACCTTCACCATCAATTCATACTCAGCGCTATCGTTTCTTCGTGGGAATGTTGGGCGCTGTTGCGCAAGCGAGAACTAATTTTCTTCGTTGTCCAGCTTACCAGTACATATACTTATTCTTGGTCATATGAACGAAGGTATGTATGTATGAAGCAATACTATCTGTCTGTACCCACTCTGAATAGTTTCATGATTTGTTACGGAACTGATGCTCATTAACAGTTTCTTCAAGGCAGCGGGGCCAAGGAAAGTCAAGGAATCGACAAATTATGGCGGAGCGCGATGCCCAACCTCAACATAAATCCGAGAATTGGACTCTCGTGGAGCCTACCGCTGGGCGGGGTCGAGGCTCAGCCTCCCCGAGGGATTTGGAAGAGCCTCGGAAAAGTAGGCAGGGGGGACATGGAACTGTTTATCTTCAAAGGAACAGGGCGACCGATAAGCTTAGAGCTGTCAAGACGTTGCAACGGGAGTATCTGGAAGAAAGGCCCGGAGCAGGTTATTTGCGGGAACTTCAGGTGTTAACGGTTGTGAGCGAGGTGAGTACCTAAATAAGTTTTGTGAGGTGGTTAATAAGCTGCAGTTCTGATCGAATCCTGATAGCGTCCAGATCTGTTTGCAGTTTACTCTCGAGGCTATAATGATAGTTCGAAGGATCTTATTCCCATTTCCACAGAATTTCATCGGGATGGCGACTTGGAGAAATATCTCGAGGACCAAGGGGCATTGGGAGACGAGTCTGCTAAAAGGATTACCAAGAACCTTCTGGAGGCGCTTGAGTTTCTACACGAGAAAGGAATAAGTCATCGCGATGTGAAGCCGGAGGTTCGGGTCCCTCCCTGAACAAACCAAGACCAAGATTTCGATATAAGGTTGATTTTGATGATTTGCTAAAATGATGTAGAACGTCCTTATAGTATCTAAAGTTCCGCTGAGTGTCAAGCTCACCAACTTCGCAATATCAGTATTCTCAAAGCCGTCAGGTGGCAGTACGATAAGCCTTCGACAAGGAACCTTGGCTTATATGGCACCGGAACTTTTTGGAATATTTGGGAGGGAAATCGGATGCACAAATCCCGCGGACATTTGGGCTTTGGGCTGCCTCTTATTCAAAATGTTCACACTAAAAACACCATTCATGGAACGACAGGCAGACGATATGAAATCTACGAAGATTTCCACTTCCTCTGGTATCCTAGCTTCGTCTAAACCTATACCTACAGATATGAAACTATTGGTAGATTTCTGCAAGGGAGCAATACCTCTTCCAAGGGATTATTTACAGTCCAGAGCGAGCAAAGAAGCCGTGCTATTCTTAAAGAAGTTGTTAGTGGCAGACCCAAGACTTCGAATCTCTGCTACGGCTGCGCTAAAATCTTGGTGGATGATCGATTTGCAAACAGCTTCAGAAACTGGACAGACCGGGGTGGTGAAGCAGTTACTTCAGATGGGAGAAAGAGCTGACGCCGGAACGGCGATAGTATTGGCTGCAAGAAATGGACACATTGAGGCGGTAAAATTACTTTTAATCCACGGCCGCGGGGCCAGTATTGGCGGTCAAAAAGCGCTTCAACTCGCAGCTGAGAATGGCCACGCAGATGTAGTCAGACTGCTCATAGAGAATGGGCACCGAAAAAATTGCCAACGAACGCTCCAACTAGCAGTAAAGAATGGACATGCTGAAGTGGTGGGGTTGCTCTTAGGAAGTGGGTTCGATGCTAACCCTTTGTACTATGGGCCCCTAATGCTTCAAGAAGCAGCAGGAAGAGGGCATTTTGAAGTCGTAAGAGAGCTTTTGAAAAACGGGGCGGAAGTCAATCCAATACCAGGCGAGCCTTATGAGCAAACAGCGTTACAAGCAGCAGCAAGAAACGGACATCGTAAGGTTGCGATGTTACTGTTAAACGCTGGAGCTGACGTCAATGCCAAACCGGGAAAGCTTTATGGTCAAACGGCCCTTCAAGCGGCGTTAGAAACGGGACACTTGAGAATGGGAAAATTGCTACTAAAGAACGGAGCCAATCCTAATGTCTGTTACCATGGACCTACAACTCTGACAGCAGCAGCCGGAAGTGGAATCTACGACTGGGTGAAGTTGTTGTTAGAGAATCGGGCTGAAATAAATGCCAAACCAGGTGAGCGCAACGGAAAAACGGCGCTACAGGTAGCTGCAGAATTAGGGTACACAGAGATAGTCACATTACTCTTAGACTACGGAGCCAATGCCAATTTTCGATATCATGGACCCACGGCACTTCAGTTAGCAGCTGAGAATGGCCATTTTGAGGTTGTCAAGGAACTTTTGGCGAAGGGAGCTGAAGTCAATGCCAAGCCAAGCAAACCCTTTGGAAGAACGGCATTTCAAGGGGCAGTGGAAGGTGGACATCTTTTGACAGCGAACCTACTCCTTGAAGAAGGGGCTGATATCAACGCCTGGTATTCTGGATTCACAACACTGCGTTTTGTAGCAGGAAATGGGAATGCCAAAGCTGTGTCATTTCTCCTGACACACGGAGTCGATATCCACGCTAAACCAGGCAAGAAATCTAAAAAAACACCGCTACAAGCAGCCGTGAAGAATGGACACTTTTCGGTAGTTAAATTACTTCTCGAGGGCGGACATGTTACGCGTGGTCAACATACTTTGAGATTGGCGGCGAAGAAAGGGAGGGTCGATATTGTAAGATTCCTGCTGGATACAAACGTCGACGGAAAGCCCAGACATCGTGGGCATGCATTAGAAACGGCGGCGGCAAACGGTCATCTTGGAGTTGTGCAGATACTCTTAGCGAATATCGAGGCATCTGATGAACCATGGAAGAGCTATGGAAAACTCGCATTGGACGCGGCAATCGAACACAACCACGTTGGAGTTAAGAGGTTACTACTAGATAGCGGATTCACACCTAGTCGGAGGACCACCCCGTAGCCCTGAGACCTGCCACCTTGAGGCGTTCCGGCTGGTACAACTGGGTAAGTTCTCAATTATCAAATTGCTATATGATAATATTCGAGATCTAATATTCCTAATGCCTACGATATAGTAGAATCTCATAAAATCTGATCGGTTTTCTATATTATGATAATGTTATCAACCACATAGTAATTTGAGTAATCTGTCACGAATTTCTTTAGTAATCGAATCGTTAGTAATTGCAACGCTAAACAAACCAGTAACTTTGAGTTATCATCGGTAAATCAAAATGGTTCTGTTCAATTGTTGCGCTATGATTAGTTTGTTTTTGCGTTGATCTTAAAGAGTAGGGAATATATTGGTCACATCGTTGTATATGTGCACACACAACCGCACCCCCAAAATAGCTTCTTTATTTCGCTTAGAATAGACACCATCCTCTCTCACTGGCTATGGAAGAGTGAAAGCCGAGAAGGCAAGCATCAATGTTGTAAGTGGCCTAGGCCTCTTAACATAAAATTTACCAAATGTTAATTAATCAGCGTCTGTTCTAATTTGGGGGGGTTTCCGGTGGAGGGAAAGGCAGCTGTTGATCTATATTTTCTTCTAATTTACCTACTTACACGATGTCTAGTCTTATTTAGTTGGACAATCCTCAATTTAGTAGATTACATATGTAAATCTAATAATTGGGAAGGGCTTGGCACCGACTTTATATACAGAATAGATTAGTACAGGCCTGGGTACGAGACTTATTACACGCCCTTACCTAAATAGTTGAAAGTCGCGTAAATGTAAATAAATGTTAGTGTGCGTATGGTTAGGCAGGGGATCAACAGTCGCTATAGTTTTAACTAAAAATAAAGGACTTTTTAATCGCTACTGATGGGCTTATTCATCTGTGGATAGGTATGAATACAGTTCCTTGGTCTCAAATCGTATTAGGACGCTTCTCTCGCACTGTATTATTGAGCATGCCATAGTCTTACTATCTTCTAGGTCGGGGGCCGCGTTCTTACAAAGACAACTTCAGTCCTTGGAAGCACTCAGGGGCGGGCCTGGGCACGTCCTCTACATCCAAGTTACTATTGCATTCGGGTTCATACACATAGCTTCGGTGATAGCATAATATAGGAGAGAGATAAAATCCAGGTGACATTTTGGAATCGAAGAACAGCTAGGACCGGGCTATTGCGGTTGCAGAGCATGGCTCAGAGATTGGATTGTGTAAGCTTGCCGTTTTGGCCAGCAACTTTTAAATGCTGGAAAGACTCAAGAGTCGAAGAGACCTACATACATGTATGTATCTTCCTCTGTGAGGATGCTAGAGCCATTTTTGGAGAAAAATTGCATATAAATATATATGTGCGTAGGCAAATCTAGAAAAGCGAAGAAAAGATGTTAATATAAACATTGGCCCTGGGATACATACGTTTTGGAGGCAACGACGAAACTGATTGCACGACGAACATAAATATTTAACAGAAAGCAGTGATATCAAGCCGATATGGAGTCATTTCACTGGCTAAAACCCGGCCGCCCTCCTCTTCTGTCCCAGGTTGGCTACCGGCCTAGGGGTGGCTACATGTAAAGTTTACCCAGTTGCAGTTGGAACCCCCTTATCAATCTTGATTTTTGTTTATCAATCTTGATTTTGTTTCCATCTCCTGTAGATTAGCCATCTGGTACCCTGCAATCCTTTTGTTTTGTTTTCATGGGCCGCACCTCACTTCTTCTCGTCGCCCACCTCTTCTTCCCACCCTCCGTCTTAGGTCCCACCACCATCTCTCCCCATCAACTCCAATCCCCCATCTTCATCACAACCCTTTTGATCGTTCTTCCAAACCAAAACTTTCTCTTGTTATCAGCATCGAAGCTGATTACAGGTAGAAAGAAGTAATAGGTCTAGGTCAACCGAATATTCGAAGTTGTTGTGAGTCCCCCTCTCATCTTTGACATGAACGCTTTCGTATCTGACTTTCACAAGGTAATAACAACCAAAAATCTTCATTTTCATCATGTCTGAAACGCCTGAAGATTCGGCGCCTCTTCTCCCCTCACGCAAGGGGAATGAAAAAAGATTTGAAGAAAATCTTTTTGCCTCTATTCAGGATGCACGAGCCTTGAAATTGACTGTCATCCCGGACACCTATTTGAATGTCCCCCCTAGCCCTGTTACCCATCCTGGGGAGTCTGTTTGGTGGTTGCCTGCAAAGCGTGGGACCGATAAATGGCTCCAATGCAAAAAACTCAATCCCCAAGACACAGTTAGCAAGCAAAAAACAGACAGATTTTTGTCACCGAAAGTAAGAGCGGTCAAACGCTTTGAACCAGGTTCTATGAATCCTAACAAGCCAGGGCATGGGATCATGTTGCGATTGTTGAATATCTCTTCTCGCGTGAGTGACCTCTTCATGGAAAGCGCTTTGAATCATTTGCTAATAAAAATATGTAGCGTCCGGACTTGTTTGTTCGTTTTTATGGGTGGTATGAAAATAGACCTGGAGGAGATGTATTTTTTGCCATGGAGTACTTCAAAGACCGTGACCTCGCGAGATACAAGGCTGTAGATTGTGGAGGTCATCCCATGGAGCAAGGGCTTGTGATCAATCTGACCAGGAAACTCCTAAAAGGTCTTGTGTATCTTCACAAAGAAGGCCTTGCTAACTTTAATTTGAGACCAGAGGTATGAATTCACTCCCATAAATGATAAGAGTAGCAGTGTTCTGACAATGAATTCGATGTAGCACATACTCATCTCAAACAAAAAATCCCTATCTGTCAGGATTGCCAACTTCGGAATATCCATATCCAGGCCGGTCTTGGGACAAGTAGAGTATCATAACAGATACAAAGCGCCAGAGGTGATTGGAATTCTACCTGCTGCAATTACCCCTGCCGTGGATATGTGGTCCTTGGGCTGTATTGTGCATGAGATGTTGGCTCATCATTCACCATTTGTGGTCGTGCCAAAAGACTTCAAGGAAGAGTTTGACTGTTTCTCCGATTCGGTGTTCGCGCCCTCCGGGGATTGGAATGATTCCCCTAATGTTCGAGATCTTCGTCCAGACCTTTGCAGTGGCATTATCAAATTCGAATATCGAGCCCTGCAAGAAATTGGGTACGATGTTACCTGTAGGGCTGTTTCCTTTCTTAGAAGACTCTTTGTTATCGATCCAGCGCAGCGAGCTTCTGCAGCGGAAGCCCTGAACGACCTATGGGTATTTTCCGACCGCGAACTTCGTGGTCAATTGCAGCAAATTGGAGTTGACATTGATCCCCTGCACGTCGCAGCATTCTTGGCCAGTTATGACAAAGAAGACTACATCCAAAACGGTAACGGTCTTATCAGTGCTCTATTGGCTGAGAAGATGACGCAGGATATCGGAAGCCTGGTGTTCAGGAGCGTTACCATGGGCTTCATAGTACTCACAGATATGTTATTGGATGTTTACCGTGAGTCGCAAATGTCTGGGGGTCTTCACAGACCTGTTCTTGAGTACTTCCGGGTTAATCCCAGATTGCCCGGAAACGTTGAGCATTCCATCCAGTTCCAGTCATTCTTGCAAAGAGCAGCCGGTCGTGGGAATCTCGCGATGGTGAAACTTCTTCTTAAGAGAGGCGTAAGTAAAGTCAATGAACCCCATGTGCAAAGCTTTCATCAGGAAAGGGTCAACCAAATTGGTCGTACTGCATTGCAGGCAGCGGCCGAAAATGGACACCTCGAGGTAGTAAGATATCTTATCAAGAACGGTGCCGATGTAATCAATGATACACCCTGCATCAAGAGTGGCCGCACAGCACTACAGGCAGCAGTGGAGAATGGTCACCTTTCAGTGGCCAGGGTGTTGTTGGAAAATGGCGCTGATGTAAACGCCCCACCAGCCGAGTACAACGGCCAGACTGCGTTGAACGCTGCAAGGATCAGACGTGATGAGCAGTTGTACAAAATTTTGCTGGAGCATGGAGCTGAGGACCACAGCACTGGTCTGGGCGGCCCAGAGTGGTACGAGGAGGAGTTGGGAGAGGCTGCGTATACTGCCGGCTTATTGGATTAAGGTCCAATTTTCGAATTTCAGCCGTGGTTCGTACACAAATTTGGGTACGACTACAATACTATTAGTAAGTGCACCTCCTATCACTTGATTAAATATTTTGAGTAACACTTCGATACTTATTATGCATGTGCCATCTCTATATAGTTAGTCTAGTTCTGCATGATATTTTCCTCGATACGTGGGTATTGATATGCTTTAAGAGCGAGCAAGATAACCAGGGGGCTTCAAGTTAGTATCTAACGCGTTACCGATCATGAATGTGTGTGTAGTCCCCGAGTGAGCCTCAACTTTTAGGAAACATCTAATTTTTATTGGGGCTATAGCTGTTAGGAAACCGTAAATTGAGGAATATCAGGCTGGGATCAGGAAAACAAGTTTAGGAGGATTTGAAAAAACAGAAAAACAGAAAAAAAAACTTTGGGAGAGTGCTGGGAGGGTGCACTTGCGCGAGTAGGAGCACAAACACACACATATACATTATTAGCAAGAGAAATAAATTGGGTCAAACGGGCATATAAATAGAAGATCAAGTTCGTGAATTAAAGGTATTATGCAGCATCCACAGATTGATTTCTCACTTAGCTGAAGAGACATAAGGCTCGTCAGATTGAAAGATGTAATTTAGTCTTATAGATACGAGCCTCATGAAATTCCAAGCCCTTAAAGCAATGACGGATCACTTGAAAATGGTTTCACCATGGCATGTAAGGTAAGGGCAAGGATGATCTGATTTCTGGTGGACGCCGCTCATGGAATCTTATCTTCCCAAGGGGTGGTAATATTTACAGATCACGGGATATATAACTCAAGACTTACGAAAACAGATACCTTACGTTCAAACTAACCCCAAAACCTTTAGCCATATCGAGTGATATTCTGTGTCTGATCGATGACGTAGAATACAGATAAGATAAGATATCGATCGCCATGAGGCTCTGCGGTAAGCTTCCACCACCAGATCTGATCCCTATAAACCCTTTATTCGGGAACCAGGAACCAGGGGCCAAGGGATCTCAGGAACGCAAGGAAGACGGAAGAAATGTCGACCCTTAAACGCAAACGTGCATCTAAACCCTCTGGGCCTGAAGCCTCACCACCGGTCGCCACCGGCAGCACCACGGCCCCTGAGCTCAAGAAGCCGCGGAAAACAACAAAGGGGAAAGCGCCTGTAGTCAAAACCGACATACCATGGCCCGGGCATTTTAAAGAGCTTGAGAAAGTCCACCGAGCTCTCAATGTGGTCTTTACATTCTGTTGCACTAGGAAGCATCTGGCGACCACATTTGACAATCTCAAGTCTGCGGTTGAGGGCAATACAAAGAAAGAGCTAGTTGTGGAAGATATTGCACAGATTAAATTTCTTCTGCCGAAGAGTATACAGTTTATATATGTTGATGAAGAAATACTGCAGATACATGTTATGGCTGCCTCAGCGAGTATGGATACACGTCGTGGACGAGCAACAGCGGCAGCTGAGGATGTTTATGAGGACCTTGGGAAGAAAGACAGAACAAAGCATACGAAAGAGGTTCTATTGTTTGAGTTTATTGATGGAGATCTGAAGAAGACGGCAACCAAAGGTGGCAAATCGAAGGAGGATGACTTTAAAATGCCGACTTTCTCAATGCCGCAAATGACGAAGCTGATCAATAAAAGGAACAAGAAATTTACGGCTGCAGTCAATACCTTCTTGGCTGAGTGTGCGGAGAGTGGGGTTGATGCTGTGGAAAGCATCAAAGCCCAATACCATCCGCATGTCCCAGTCCAAACAAAAAGTCCAGTTGGATTAACAGCGGCGTCAGATTTGCCACTTGAAATTCCCAAAGAGAGGAAATCAATTGCGGAAATAATTGAAGAGATCAAAGTCTCTGATTTGTATTCCGATCAGATTGTTCCTAACGGGCATCGTATTTTCCCACCACAAGAAGCTATATTTGGAGACCTCACATTCCAGCTTTCCCAGGATCTTGTAAACGCTCTATATACCGCACATAATATCACCAAGCTATACTCGCACCAAGCGGAGGCCATTAATAATCTTCATGATGGGCATCATGTCATCGTGTCGACTTCAACTTCGTCAGGAAAGTCCCTGATATATCAAGTTCCTGTTCTGCATGAACTAGAGAAAGATCCCGAAACAAGAGCTATGTTTATATTTCCCACGAAGGCACTGGCACAAGACCAGAGGAGAAGTTTAATCGAGGTGTTAGGTTATATGAGGGATGCCTTAGGAAATATAAGGGTTGAGACTTTTGATGGCGACACAAACATGGAGGACAGGAGAGCGATCAGGAACGAGGCCAGTGTAATTTTCACGAATCCCGGTACCAAGATCAGCATTAGGACCCATCTTTTACTAGGACATGAAAGCTCACGTACGATTAGACATGCTACATCTAAGCATCCTCCCGAATGAGGAGCAGTGGAGAACGTTTTTGAAAAACCTGAAGTTTGTAGTCGTTGATGGTTAGCATAATCCTCCTCTGCCATTTTTAAGGAGTAGATAGCTGAGAACTAATAGAGTTGCATGTTTACAACGGGATTTTTGGTTCTCATATAGCTTTCATCATGAGACGGCTTAGGAGAATATGCTCAGCTCTAGGAAATAACAAGATCAAATTTGTTTCCTGCTCTGCTACTGTTGCGAATCCAGAAGCCGTAATTAGACCCCTCTCCACCACCTTACACAAAGCTGACCCAATATCCAGCATATGCGTAAAATATTTGGGATAGACACCGTTAAATTGACTGAAGAAGACGGCTCTCCCGCTGGCCGGAAAGAGTTTCTCTGCTGGAACACGCCATATAAAGATGCCAATGACCCATCCGAAGGCCGCGTTGATCCGATATCGGAGTCTGCAAAGCTTTTTTCACAGTTGATCCTTCGTGGAGTGAGAGCGATTGCTTTTTGTAGAACACGGAATATTTGTGAAGGCCTGTTGGCAGCTGTGAAGAGTGAATTGCAAAGACTGGAGAGACCGGAGGTTGTTGGTATGGTGATGGCATATAGAGGCGGATATAGCCCACAAGATAGAAGAATGATAGAGAAGGAGATGTTTGAAGGGCGGTTGATGGGGATCATAGCTACCAGTGCATTAGAATTGGGAGTGGATATCGGGAGCTTAGGTGTGTTTGACTAAGTCATGCTATTTCACTGGGGGTTACTAACCTTTTAGATGCTGTGGTCACTGTTGGATTTCCATATTCGATCTCAAATCTTCGACAGCAAAGCGGAAGGGCTGGAAGGCGAAATAAAGATTCACTATCAATTTTGGTAGGAGATTCATTTCCGACGGATCAATATTACATGACAAACCCGGACGAAATCTTCACAAAACCAAACGTTCAACTCCAAGTCGACCTTGAAAATATCCTCGTCCGTGAAGGACATATCCAATGTGCAGCCTTCGAAATGCCCATAAAACCTGCCGAGGATACAATCTACTTTGGCGCTGACCTCCCCTCCATCGCCGACGAAAGATTACTCCCTGGTGCCCTCGGCTTCTACCACTGCCACCCCCGCTTTCTTCCGTACCCGTCCAAGTTAGTCGCGATCCGTGACACTGAAGACGGACACATCGCAGTTGTCGATATCACCGCGCGGAGAAATCATGTGCTCGAAGAAGTAGAGCCCTCACGTGCAATGTTCAGTCTTTACGATGGCGCAATCTTCCTCCACCAAGGCCGCACCTACCTCGTCAAAGACGTCAGCTGGGAGCGAAAGCTCGCGCAGGTAGAGCTCGTCCATGTTGACTGGACTACCTCCCCCCGCGACTTTACTGATATTGACCCAATCGAGACTGAGGCTATCAGGCAGCTTCCCGAGAGCCCGTCACGTGCATACTACGGCGCTATTTGTATCCGTAGCGTTGTCTTTGGATACTTTAAAATGGATAAGTGTAAGCGCATTCTCGACGCTGTAGAGGTTGATACCCCGCCGCTAGTGCTCTATTCGAAAGGCATGTGGCTTGATATCCCGAGGGCGGCCTTAGACCTCCTCGGAAAACGGGGAATTAACGTGGCAGGCGCGATTCATGCAGCGCAGCATGCGATATTGAGCTTACTACCAGGCATAGTTGTGAGCATGCCTGGGGACGTAAGAACAGAGTGTAAAGTGCCCGAAAAGGAATTCATGAAGCGCGAATCGGCGCGGAAGAGACCGGGTAGATTGGTTTTTTATGATGCGAAAGGTGGTAAGGACGGGAGCGGGATTAGCACAAAGGCATTTGAGTTTATAGATGTGTTGCTGAAACAGGCATGGGAAAGAGTCAAGAAGTGTGGCTGTGGTGCTGGATGTGTTGAGTGTAGGTTTCTCGATGTGCCCATACTACCTCTTTTAGAAAGTTGACCTAATCATCTACCCATATAGGCGTCACAAGCGAGCGCTGTAAAGAATCGAATGCCGTAATGTCAAAGACTGGCGCCTATATCATCATTAGCACACTTCTAAATCTGGAACTGAATCTTCCAGAAATCTCGCTTGAAGAGCAGGAAACATGTCATGCTGGCGTAGAAACGGTTGTCTTTGCAGAGGAGGTAAGGCCTAAACATGGTGTTAAAATAGAGATTATTACATAGTATCTCGAAGAAAGAGAACAAAAAGGCTTAGGCATGCTGAAAGACCGTAGTACGGCTGATCTACGGCCCATACGTGTGCATACGTACTAATAACTTTGTCTCCATTTTTTGTGGGGACAGCCCTATATATAGTACATATCATACATGTTCACGCACATGTCTCCAATAAACATATATGTCATATGAAAGAGGGGGATCATTTTTGTGTCTTTTTGCAGGAAGCGGGGGAAGTTCGGCTTGCGCGCTCGGAGAGAATAATTTCGGTATATATATATTCCCTCTGTCAATGAACAGAAAGTTGGAGAGGTTAGACTAGATAGAAAGTTTAGTGGTTCTAGGTAAGGAGAGAGTCAATTGCAATAAGAGGTGTCGTATACGTACATATGTACTTTCTGTACTCCAAGCTAGTGCTCCTTCAACTCACGCGTATCGACAACTTGTAGTGTTTCGATCGGGTGTGGCACATCAATATTTCAGGATTTTAAGTTGTTCACCATCGCGGGAGCTGGAAGTGATATACGGAGGGTTTTTATATTGCCTTCACCCGAGATACAGTACCAAGAAAGGGTGCGGATTTTCTACGGTATTCCCGTCAATGTGCTAGCAATGCAGCAAGAATCCAGTATTGGCAAGGTGGTCTCGGCGTTCTGTAGTACTACAGCTGCTGTACTATGCCAGTAGTGATTTCACCGCTTTTTTTTTGGACTGTCCTCCTAGCCGTGATAGAACGCGCTCTATATCGAGAAAAAAATATAATTGATATGGGGATCTTTCAGGCTAGGAAAATCCGCAGGTCTCGCTAGGTCACTTAATCTCACTCGGCTTGGCGTTCTTGATCTAGAATCCCTAGGCCTGGGTTTGCGAAACAATTGTCAAATATATATTCACTATATCTAGTCATTAGTAGTCAAGTCCCAGGGAGTTTCGAGATCGCCGCAGCTGTTTCTCTCGGGATATTGATCAACGTTAGGTAATTCGATCCGCGGTTCTGGTTGTTTCACTTTGAAAAACGGAACTGCGCATGCGAGCTTAAAAGGCTCCTATGTATGATTGATATGACCGGATCATGACATAAACTATATATAGTTGAGTTTGAAAAACATATATACTGAGTCTAGACAGTGCATATATAATGCTTATAGCAGTGTACTAGTGGTATTGAACTCGGAGATGATGAGCTGGCTTTAATTAGCTAATTAGGTGATCATGACGTGAGGTTAATCAAACTGCAGACCGAATGTGATCCGGATCGAATATGAATTTTCTTTTTCCATCATCGTCCAACAAGAATTGAAAGAATTTACTAGCCAAAACTTTCAGTAGCTTTATGTCCGAGCCGGCTGGATTTCATTATAAAAGCACCCCCAATCCGCCCAACTGCTCGACTTTCTTTTCTCTCCAGGGGCGAGGGGACGTTTATGATTTACGACTTGTGATGGCTATTCCTTATGGCTATTACTTATGACTGCGAGTTATATACCCATGATTTGCGATTTTGATACCCACGATTTGCGATTTTGATACCCACGATTTGCGATCTTTGATACCCACGATTTACGATCTTTGATACCCACGATTTACGATCTTTGATACCCACGATTTACGGGCTTTAATACTTACGATATTTAATACCTACGATCTTTAATGCCTTAATATCTAATGGCTTAATATAATACTTAATGTCCGACTCACGTCGGTGTTGGTCATGGTCTTGCATATACATATGCATGGTTCGTACCTTCCTTCTTAATATTACCCTTTCTTACTTACTATATATCCCCATTACTAATTCTTTCTCTCCCATTAGTATTCACGACCATATATATGTTTACCTTGAACGGTGGAAACTTCTCCTGGGTCTAGCGCGGGGGATGGGCTGTCTTAGGGTCACCTCTAGCTTGATATCTCAATACCCATGTCGGGCGAGGTTTTCTTTTCGTTAGGGTATTTTGGTGTTGGGGTGTTGAGCGTTTGATTTGAGCGTTTGATTTGAGCGTTGATTTGAGCGTTTAATATATCGGTATTTGAGCTTAGGTATCTGAATGCTTGGGTGAGCAGGTATTTGGATATTTGAGCCGTTGCTGGGTATTTAAGCATTTGGGTATTTGGGCATTTTGGTTGGACGTTTTAGTTGGACGTTGGGGTATTCAGGCGCTTTGGTCTAGAAGGTTGGGTATTTGGGTATAGAGGGTTGGGTATTTTGGCGTTGGCGTGTTCGTTTGATTTGAAGGTTTGGTTTTTGATCAATTGAACTTGGGTATTTGAACGCTTGGGTGAGTAGGTGTTTGGATATCTGGGCGTTTGATCACTTTGGCGTTTTGTAATTTTGGCGCTTAGGTATAGAGGTTTGGGTATAGAGGTTTGGGTATAGAGGTTTGGGTATAGAGGTTTGGGTATAGAGGTTTGGGTATAGAGGTTTGGGTATAGAGGTTTGGGTATAGAGGTTTGGATAGAGGTTTGGGTATAGAGGCGTTGGGGCATTTGCTTTTTTCCTAGGCCTGGCAGGCCTTGGTATGAGATATGAGTATATGTATTATGATCATGACATTTAATGACATATAACGATTAATGATAAATATAATGTTGAAATTTAGCAATCTGATAATCTTCATATTTAATAAGTGTTGATATATATATTGTGATGTTGATATTACATTTCTAACATTAGTACGACACACATCCTTGTACGTTCGACACCTTGTTCGGCGTCAACTCACGAACTCAGTCAAAATTATGTTCATAAGACTCCGTGTAGAAAGCAATTCTCAATATTTAACGGGTTTGTTTGTATTGTATGCTTCGAGGCCTAAGGTGACAGAAACTCTGCCATAATTAAACAAAAAAAAAAAAAAACTCCGTCATGATATATCACTCGAACACATAAATTGTCACATTCCTATATGTAGCCACATGTAAATACATATAATGTATAGACTGTTTACCGAGCTCTGAAGACTATAGGATTCTCGGTTTCTCTTGTGTACGCCATACGAGGAGAAAATATTACCCTCAGTCTGCTTGCGTAGTCGTCTCACTGATTGGTGTTGTAGTTGAAGCTCGAGTTTCATAGAAGAAAAATCAACCCAGATATCCCAACCTTCGTCCTGGTAGTCTGAACTATAACATGTCAAATTTCCGTCCTAAGAAGAAGAAAAGTAAAATTTGTGTGTATTGTCGATCTTTTATTTTAGCTAGAATAAGGTAATGATACATTAATAAAAGAGAAGAATGCACATATGTTTCTCTCCTCGAGATCATTTCATCTATGATACTTGGAATTCTAAGATAACTTATGGTATCACGTCGTGATCGATCCTCTAACTCGATCCTCTAAATCGGCTACTGTACTCACATTAATTATATATAACTTTTGTAATAAATACATGCGGTTGCGCCAGAAACAGCCCTAGCCTAGCTATACAGGGCAGTATTTGGAAAAAGAAATTTAAAGTCAGCAAGCTCAAGGGCATGCCGCATATTCTGGTGAGAACTAGCCCCGCCATAATGTGGCTATAAGTCCTCTCTTTTCACTTTGTTCTGTAGCTATACTCTACCGGGTATGTTACAGTAGGCCTCCAACCTTTTGGTCTTTAACAGTAAGTATTGCTCATAATCCTTTCGCTCATTCTGAATATCAGATGAACTTACTTGGGGCATGTTTAGAAACATTTTACCACAATTGGCTTTTTCATAGGTCCTGAAATTCAGGACATACATGTAGCTCTTCTTTGGTGTGATGCTGCTGGGGGTGTCTTTATCGATCGTGCTATAAATCTGTCTAAATGACGTAGATCGCCCAGGTACGGCAAAACACAGAATTTCAATGCTTGGATATAAGTATGGATAGCCGTGGTGAGCATTCAAGACAAGCAGCATTAAGTTGAGAAGTAATATTAATTCTCCCGACAGCATCACATAGCCATCTATAGTGGGTAAATCTTGCCCATGCAGGTCCCCTCAATCGATGCCTGTTGGCGGGAACTAGACCCGCCAGATACAGGTATGCACCTCCGTAGGATTCGTGGAGTTACATAGATCTGATATGACTCGTAGGGCATTGGTGAGGGCGACTCTACTCCAGAGCCTGGATTGTAGACTTGATCTCTAGGAGATAGTCGATGATTCGCTCTTTTAACTGGTCAGTTGACGTTGCAGAGGTAGGAGTGGGGGAGGGCCAGCCTGAGTCGGCTTGTGCACTGGTTTTGTTTACGAGGGTGGCCAACTCGACCTCTTGATCAGAGAAGCAGCTAAAGCCAAGCAGCTCGAGCTGGCTCAGGCTATCATCCCCAACACTAACGCTGCCCAAGCTAAAGATAAGGGCCATAGCAAAAGAAACAGCCAACTAGGTTCTTAAAATCTTCTGTATATCATGTAGGTAGATCAAAATGAATATCAGCGTTGTAGGGCTGGGTCAACGGCAATTCATGGACGACAACTGCACGTATCAACACTCTAAATTGCGCATGAGAAATTAGATCTTTGAAACGCGAAATTGGAATAATTGAACTTCGTGGATAGACCTTTTTTTTTACAAGGCCATAAATAGGAGTGATAATTCATGAGAAAATGAAATTAAAAACTCAACTTGGTTTGAATACAAGTACTTAAGTAGTAACCTCTGGTTTTCGATTCTCATGGTCAATAATAGGAGGAACAAAGTCATGTAGCCTAATACATATGCGCCAATACTACCCTAAAGAAAAGCTGCCCTAATTACATCCTAAGCGCCAAATAAAAATAAAAGCTTCGAGATTTGCTATCGTTCCACTACTCCTGCGGCTTCTTACTCTTTGGAATATAGTCTTCTGGGCCCTTTCTCGGCTTGTACCCTTCAATTGCCAGTGCCGACATCCCAGCAGCCAGATCGTCCGCGGACGGCGCCACCGCACTTCCCGATACCTCTTTCTCCTCGATAGTAAAGGCTAATGGTTCCTGCTTTGTTGGGATCTCTTTACCATCCACTACGAAGCCCACGCCGTTCCGCGCCACCTCAGGCTTCTTCTTCCCGTCAAGAATGCCCTTACTTTCAATTCCGAGACCCTCAAGCTCTTGTGCCAACTTCTTGAGGTCTCCTTCCTTCACAGCACTTCTTATACCCATCTCGTTTCCCCCTTCTACCTCCTCTAGTAGTACCATTGTCTCTTCACCACCGTTGGCCCTCCACTTTACACCCTCTAGGTCCAGTCCTATAACCTCGCCCTTTTCGCCAACCTCGACGCCCTCTAGCACGTCACCACGTAGCCAAGAGGGCTCATCGTTCAGCTGCACCCGTAACCACAGGCCACGGCGTGCACACAGGTCGGAGCAGAAGCGCTCCAACTTAGCTCGTGGGACGAAGCGCATAGTTGAAAGACCCTTGTCTATAAGGACATGGTTGGAGGTCGCTTTTGATTTCTTTGGCTCAGAGCAGAGCGGGTAGCCACAAAGTTTCAAGATGTTGCGTTCGTGAATCAGGGAGTCGTAGTCGGAGGGCTGGAAGTAGCGGAGATGGAGCTTGAGCGCTGGGGTGTCGTGGTGAGTTGTGCTTGCTTCTGAGGATGGAGGCGCAGGTGTGGGGAAGTCGACGAGCTCTTCGAGAGACATAAGGATTGATAGTTCGAGGGCTTTGCGAATTTGTAAGGCGTGTGCATGGGAGAGGGCAATTGCACGGGCTTCGGAGGGAGTGGGTTTGGTGCCGGTTGTGGCTCTGGGGCCCGGATTTATGGCTACTACATCTGATGGAATAGTAGAAGGAACGGGGGTCTTCTTTAGAATTGATTTGGGCGTTGGGGTGGCCATATTGAAGGTTCTGAGAGTTGAGGCTGTTCAGTGTTCGATATTCGCAGAAGCTATGGCTTTGTAAGGAAGTTGAACTGTGGCTAAACTGCATATCACCAGCCACTCAAAGCTCCTCAGGCCACTGTTCTGGGCTTTGTAAGCAATCGATAGCTAAAATAAATGTGGCTGTACTACGTCATTAGCCACTGACACAGACCCCCACCAGCCACCACCATCCACCCCGCCACCCTCCGCTTTTGGTGATTCCGCTTCCCCCCTCTGTGCTTTGCCCTGCTTCATCACCTCAGGGAGCTGGCCAACAGAATTGTAAAAACTCCCCACTCGGAACAATGTAAATCTATCCAATCTGTGACTTTGACTTCTGGCTCTGCATCCGGTGTGTCTGTAGATGTGCCCTGCATTGGCATTGTGAGTTCCGGGCAGCTTCTAGAGGTTCCTGAGTGCGGGGCGAGATCTGATCCATGCCCTGATTTGCTTGCTTGCGGTGCCGTGCTTGCTCTATCCGCCTGTAACTCAACTCACCACCTACCTGTGCCCTCGCTGACGTACACCTACTGGGAACAGCCACCATCCCACTACCAACCAACTCTCGAGCGTGAACGAGGGGATCACGTATGAAAAACAGACAGAGACAGACAGAAAGCCAGATAGAATACCTTGAGAGAGAGATACCAAGGAACCAAGAGACACGGAAGACCAGGAGTTCGGAATACTCCCGGACGTGCTATTGACCTAACTGACTGACTGTGTTCACGTCTTCTTCTCTACAACTACCAACAAAATACCTCAAACCTTGCCCTCTCGGAATAATACCTACAACATAGCATCTGTTACATCTTCATAATCATCCCTTTCAAACCCTTAATCACTAACCCCACTACTCATCACCGGCCTGGAGTGTGTATGATCACAGTTCCATCATCATCATGGCCAACACTTCTCCTGCCCCGCCTTTCAAAGTCAAGGCACTCTTCGACTACTCCTCGCCACACGACGACGACCTCAATTTTCCCGCCGACGAAGTCATCACCGTGACCGAGGAGGAGGATGACGACTGGTACTATGGCGAATATACCGACAAGGCTACCGGCGCTCTCAAGCAGGGTATCTTCCCCAAGAACTTCGTCGAACGGATCGTGGTCGAGCTACCCCCGAGACCAACGAGGCCCGGCGGCGGTGCAAGAGGTCCAAAGAAACCTGCGGATGAAAACACCCAGCAGCAGCAGGAGGAGTATGGGGGCAAGTCCCCCCCGTACCAAGCACCGCCCCCTCAGGACTCGTCCCCGCCCGCCCCTACGGTTAATACGGCTGCGGCAGTGAGTAGGCCGAGTACTAGTTCAACGATAGCTTCCCCGGTTGCAAGGGAGGCGCCGAAGCAGATGGAGGTTAGGTCGCCGCCGCGTGTTGTGGAGGAGCCAAGACCTGTACAAGTGCAGCAACAGGAACGCCCTACGCCGGCTTCCCCGCCGTCAGCTCCAAGGCAGGCATTCAACCCCAGGCCGCAGGTACCAACGAGCACCGAAGAGAAGAAAACTGGTGGGAACAAACCGCCGCCGCCAGAGAAGCCGAGCTCGTTTAAAGATCGGTTGGCGCTGTTTAATAAGGTTTCGACGACCCCGATTGCTCCGTACAATCCGCATAGGCCCCCAGTCAATTTTATCAAAAAGCCGTTTGTGGCTCCCCCGCCGAGCAAAAATTCCTATGTGCCTCCACCAACACAGCATACCCAGAGGCCAAAGCGTGATGAGGATTCGAACTACATTCGTGCAGAAGCAACAGAGGATACATCTAGGATGTCCCTAGATCAGGAAAGAGATAAAGAGGAGGAGAGGCCAAAATTGGCGCTCAAAGACAGGATTGCATTGCTTCAGACTCAGCAGTTGGATCCATCCGGTGTTCCTGGTGGAAAGCAGAAACGACCCCCAAAGCCGAAAAGAACGGAGAGCGATCAGACTGCTGGAGAGGGAAATACTGAAGGGACTGGTCACAGTTTGGCGGTCCAGGAGGAATCTGTTCAAGAAAGGTCTTTCGATTCGGGCCGGGATCATGACATGGAGGAACATGAACCGGCTCAAAGACAAAAGAAGAGTCTGGATATCGGGCGTGATGACAATACCAGAGCAGAGTCCAGCGCAGGTGATGCAGATGCATCATCCATTGCCGAGGATCAGCCTCCCGTTGTCCACAGGCCTCGACCCAATGTACCTACTAGAGAAGATAAGTCTGATGACGGAGATGATGAGGGTGCCAATGACGATACTCCAGACGTTGCCTCTGACGATGAAGAGGAAGAGGTGGATCCAGAGGTTGCGAGGAAGCTTGCAATTAGAGAGAGAATAGCTAAAATGAGTGGTGGTATGGGTATGCATGGCATGTTTGGACCTCCAATGGGCATTCCAATGGGCGGTCCTCCGCCAGCACCACCAAAGAAGAAGAAGACCTCTCCTAAGCCATCCAGAGAGGAAGAGGATCCCAGAGAAACACACGAGGCTGCGGAGTCAACAGAGGAAAGACCAATGAGCAGCGCTTCCCAATCTCACCAGCAGCAGCCAGTAGCACTTCCTTTCGCCATGCCGAGAGTTCAATCCCCACCGGCTGTCGAAAGGCAACAGTCTGATAGTGAAGATGAAGAGCCTGTGAAGGATACCGTTGGAACTGGAAAGAAAATATCCGAAGAGAGAGCTAGTGATGAAGAGGCTGATATTGAAGATTTGAAACCCCAACCACCACAGTCTCCACCGCATCATCCGCTGGGACCAAGGCCAATGCCAGCTTCGCCAAAGGCCGAAAGGACTTTACCAGAAAGGGTTGTTCCAATGTCTCCGCCCATGTTACCACAAGGTATAATTCCTAAGCGCATTTATCAGGCTAGGTGCTAATTAAACCTGATAGAACGGCCGGTTCCCCCTCCCCCTCCACCAATTCCAAGTGAGAGGCCTGCCCCACCATTGCCCCCGACAGGACGTATGTAACATTTTAACCCGAATTTTTTTCAAACCCCACTCATACTTTAAATACAGAGTTGCTTCCCCCAGCCGCTATTGGTGAATCGCCGACGGAAGGATCTGCGTCTGATGACGAGTTGTCTGCTCCTCCAAGTAAACTATCATTGGCAACTTCAGATGTAGACGTTCAGCCACGTGGGGCACCGCCACCGCCTCCCCCGGGCCCTCCTTCTGTCCCATCTGGTCGTCCTCAGTCAGGATATGGAGATGCCAAGTCCCCAACTTCCCCTGCTTCTAAACGTGCCTCCCAGGGATACTTTTCCCCTATCCAGACCGCTTCGCCTACTCTCGCCCCTGGAAGTCCTCCTTCGGCATTTAATAAGAGAGCTAGTTATCAGAGGGGCGCAGGTGGAATGCCACCAGTTCCTGGCGGTTTTCCTGTGACTCCTGGTTCTGGCACTCCTCACCAATCTCCTCAAGGTGTTTCTAGGGCTCCACCCCCACCACCACCGCCGAGTGGCCCCCCACCAAGACAAAGCATTGATGATACTCGTCCTGGGATGAGTGAAACTAGCGGTAGTAATAGGCCATCTGATACAGAAGAGGAGGTCACTGAGTATGAAGCAGACTACGATACGGACATCGGAAACAAAGTGGCCCACCGGGATGCACTTAAAAAGGATCACGTCAAAGAGGAAGATGAAGAGACGCCACTGCCATCACCGGTAATCACTCCTCAGGCACCACCTAGAAGCGTTCCCCCACCTCCCCTACCTGCAAATCCCCCGCCGTCAAGAAAGGGAAGGCCATCAGTGGACATGCCCCGTGGCGCGCCGCCCCCACCGCCACCAGTGCAGACACATGAGCAGGAGCAGTATGAAGATGATGATTATGATCCATATAAATACGACTCCTCACGCTACGAGTCACCACCACCAGCACCTCCTATTGCGCAGCCCTCAATGCCCCCTCCACTTCCCCACCAAGCGTCGCCTCCACAGGAACGCTTGCCATCTCGCGGGGGTAGCGGCCGTCAATCAATGGATCAATCGCGCCCCTCCCAAGGAAGCGGTAGGCGCTCAATGGATCAATCGCGTCCTTCAGCTGAATACGTAGCCCGCGACATTGAGCTAGGTGAATCAACCAAATGGTGGACTTCCCCCAACACCCCTCCACCAATCTTCCAAAACCGCCCTCGTGAGCTTTACTTTGAAGTCGAGGAGGTACCATCTACCCGTCGTGGCGGCCGTACAACAATAACCAAAGATGTGTATGTCCTCTTTCATGACTATTCTCAAACTGTCGTCACCGCCCGCTACGACCGCGATGAACCACAAACTGCAAGTCTTGAGCAACGTCATGAAGCACCCCCCCCTCAGCCACGCCAGGACCAGCTCGAAGATTTCCAGGCCAAGTTCGGAGCCAAGATCGCTGCTGGTGCAAAGGCCCGCGAGAATACTGTTGTTGCCGGTGGCGACCCAGAAGCACTTATCCGAGAGCTTCTTGAGCTTGCACCGGGTTATCTCCCACCTGCTGGGGCAAGGTCATATGGAGCATTGGTGTACGCTAATCTTGCCAACGCCTCTGTACAGCAATTCGATGAGATCAGAGCTGGTGATATTGTGACGTTCAGGAATGCGAAGTTCCAGGGCCACAAAGGGGGCTTACATCAGAAGTATAACATGGAGGCTGGGAAACCGGATCATGTTGCGATCGTAGTGGACTGGGATGGCACGAAGAAGAAGCTACGCGCATGGGAGCAGGGTAGGGAGAGTAGGAAAGTTAAGATGGAGAGCTTCAAGGTCTCCGACCTCAGAAGTGGTGAGGTCAAGGTGTGGAGGGTTGTGGGTAGAGAATGGGTCGGATGGGGTGCACAGCAGTAGTTTGTGTATGAGAGGACTGGGTAATGAAAGTGATGCAGCGCGGTAGGTAGACGCGCATGTGCGTAGTAGGGATGCAGGATTGTTAAGGCAGGATTAGGATTGTAGTGTAGCGTAGTAGTTTTAGCTGTTATTCATGTTTTTGCCTTCTTTATATTTTCCTGCTTTTTGTCTTCCTGCTATTTTTCCTCTTGTGGCTTTTTACCTGCCTGATTTAGTGGAAGTGTCCTCTTCTTGTTTGTTGTGGTTTTTATTACTATCTTTATCTTGCGTTTATACTCTACACTCGTTTGTTTTTCATTTATCCCCCAAGCCTAGAAACTGAAAATTAGTCAAAGCCTTAAAAAGCATCAGTACATAGCATTAATGGGGTTGATGGCCCAGCGGTTCACGGGCTGGTGCTCAACCTGCACTGACATATGTACATGAATCTAAGGGGACGAAAGATCTACTCTACCAACCCGGACGTGATTCAGGTAGACTTCTTTTTGATATTGCCGAAGGAAATTCACGAAGCTATATATTTGTCTTTTGAAGGGCTGCTTGGCAGCACACATACAGAATACCGACTCCCGTCGTGCGTGTAGAGTGAGATTCTAGGAGGCGTAAGCCCAGCAGAGTAAGAGATTCAGTTTCATCGTTTGTTACAAGAAGAATACTTTCATATACACTAAAGCCCTTGTATTGAGAAATGAGGAAATGAGAGGGTGCAATTGGTTGAGACATATGCATCACAATATATCACTCGCACGCAGCAATTCAATTGCCTATATATAATTTTCGAAAAAATAATGTATAGTGGATACCAGAATCCAGCTGCCCAGTCTAGTCTGCTTGTTTGAGATGTTAGGTCAAGCCAATCTAGCTATAAAAAAAAACCCTAAATTCATGAAGGTAGTTTGGAAGGTTGTGAAGATCGGTCAGTTACGAAGCGGTTGTAAAACGAGAATTGACATTACAGAAGCTCATCATAAATGAAACCTTAGGTAGCAATTAAGTGAGCGCTCTTATCATGAAAAAGCAGTGTATTGATATATCTTGGTACACGATAGACAGTCTACGCACGACTTATGGGAGACCATTCAAGAGGACAAAACATTCTTCGATAGTACGTTAATACGAACAAGGAAATTTTAAATATGGACATATATATCTCCGAAAGTTTCTTGTAGTATAAAGAAAAGAAAAACACAAAATCAACTAGAGGTCAATGTTATAAGAATATATAATAAAAGTAATTCGAAGATACTACTGCCAGATACATATATTGCCCATTTGGAGCCAGACCCTACAGATAAGGCTTTGGACTACGAAACCGTACTCCCAGTTTCGACAAAGTTTCTACAACGCGTTAGATGTGATACTTGCGATGTAATAAGCCTGTTTGGGGTCACGCCGTCCCATTTGATCAGTACGATTTGATGGTCAAGCCAGACAGAAAGCACACCAATAGTCCTAGACTGAAAGAACGAGCCTCCAGCTTGCCGTGCGCGAGGAAACAACGGCCTAAGACGGTCACCAAGAGACATGATACGGTCCGCCATAGTAAGTTGGTCGGGGAAAGCTGTAAGGTTAGTGGCGTACTGATTAAGCTCCATCACTCGGGCTACCAGTTCTGGGACGCGCTCCCTGCATTCGAGGATAGACTTGTTGAGCTCTTCCTGGGTTGCCGCTGACCCCATTGGCACATCGGGGAACGTTATGCCCCTCTCGGCCTCAACCGCTAGCTGTTCATTCTGGAGTTGGAGTAAGAGCTCGCTCACGAGGAATCTGTACTCGTCGACAGAAAAGGGCTGGCCTTCGTTTTGGAAGAAGTTGACGACCATCTGAACGAACTCTTCTTTGGCATTGATGTAGCAGTGGTTTGTGGTGAGATGTGGGGTGATGTTACAGATCAAGGACTTAGTGCAATCTAGTTCTGCCATTTGAGCTCTTGTGAAAAGGAGTTGTGGTTTGGAAGTGAAATGGTGATGAATATCAAGGGCGGATCAGGTTGACTTTGTATGCTGTGATTGTGGGTCTCACTGCTCTTATAAACTGGGGATAAGTCGATTTGATAGAATTTCATAATAAAAGGCTATTGAATAGTTGTGAACTTAATTCCAGGGATGGTATATAGGTCATATCAAGCATTAATTGTATTGACGGATATTTGGCTTATACTAATTACGTATAGCATACCAATATATTCTTACTTCTTATAACATACTAGTACTTGATTACTGTAGTCATCATTCATGATTAACAGGTTGAGATATACAATTTCTTGTAAAACATGCAAAAAGGGGATTGTATTTCAGATTAATATCCCGGCATAAATAGCACTTGGTGGTGAAAATACTACGAACGCGCGGCGATTAGTGTGGTCCATGAGAGCTCAAGGCATGGGGGTCGACAGGGCGATCATGCTCGAGGTAAGCTCTCCTACTCGCCTCGAGTTGCTCGAGGTTTAGGTAATCATGTTATTAGCGGAATATTGGTAGTATTCCCAGATTATTTAGTGCAGTTTCATAACTACATGTATATAGCAAGATATAATTTTTATAGGTCTAAATATAGTAATGACCAGCTGCCTCAAGCTAGCTTGAGCAACTCGAGGCGTCACTTCTCTTTACACGAGCGAGCAAAGGCATGGATCCTACGAGGCAGAGGAACCTCGAGGCACTTGTATCTGCTCGCCTCGAGCAGCCTCGTGCACCACACTAGCGGCGATGTGCTCTTTCGGCAACGAGGCAGACGCTTTTAGTATAAAACTACCTATATACATCCACCTTCCAGACTTAAATCAATGACCCCGCTAGACTGAGATTTTCTTGGCATTTTCGAGTGATAACACATGATGCCAACTATTCCCTAGATAGGTTGGCAAAAGTATTATAGCTTTCCGATCCTAAGTTTGGATTTCTCTACGAAGGTTATCGTCACCAAGCCATAAAGCACTTAGGCTTTAAGACTTTGGACACTTAGATCTGCCAAATTACGCTGATCTACTCAACCTGGAGCCGGGTGTTTCTTTTTCTTTTTGTTTTTGCCCCCTGGTGGGTTAATGTTTGGACTTGACCTGGCCCGGTTACCTATCGAGAGCTAATCAAACATACGGGACAAACTACAAAGTCCCCCCCACGAGATTTAAATCGAGTGATTGCCAATGGTTCACCCAGTGCGAAGTAATCCGGCTATACATAGAGAGTCGCATATTCTATGTGGGCTAAACGTAGATTTCCAATTCTTTTATCCTTTCAATAGCACACTGTAGGAGTAGGGTAGCAAGATATGGGGGAAGACAGGGTGGGATTTAAGATATCTTTTTTTATTTTATCATTTTGGTACAGTACGTACTACTTTAGATCTTTTTTTTCTTTTCTTCGGGCACAAGCACCCGGCTGAAGAGAATAAGTAGTGGTACAAAAGTATAGAGATACCTCGTTGCCTGGACCCATGGGGTGTCGTTGGCTTTTTCAAACAGAATAGTAACTTAAAAGCACCGCCGGAAAAAGACAAATCCCTAAGGCACAGTACAAAGGTCCACGGAAAGCCTACTTTCAGGTGAGTAAATACCCGCTAAACCATAGGCATCCTTCCCACACTGTCATTAAGCTCCATTACAGCACTATATCTCAACCCCCAACACATCAATCTCCTTCTCCTTCAGCTCCCTCCCCAGCTCCTCCGTCGGCAGCACCGCCCCCGGCAAAATATAAAGATACCTCTTCCTCTTCCTATCGGTACGCTTCTTCTCCTTCTCATCCATAGTCTCACTCTGCCCGGTCGACCCCGGCGGGTCGAAATGCGCATCATCGAGCTGGTAGCCGCTGATGATGCGGCACCGGCCGCAGCGCCAGATCCACCGCTTCTCGAACCCGTCTTCGCGCGTGATGATCTGCGCGGTGCGGTCTTTGGTGAGCGAGAGGATGAGGGTGTAGTCGTCTTTTTCGCGGGTTTGGAGAGTGGTGGTTGTTGCCGGGGCGCTGTCAGCGGGGAGAGTAGTGGAGGGTGCGGGGGGTGGTGCCATTGAGGTGGCCGGCGCGGGGGAGGTAGCGGCGGCGGGAGTGGTGTTTGTTTCTGGGGCCTTTTCACTGGGTTGAGCAGTCGGTGCCTCCTTCATTTCAACATCTGCTTTCTCCTGCGGTGTCGCGGGAGCAGCTGGCCGCACCTCTTCCGCTACCTCCTTTCCTCGTGTTTCAGCAATTGGCGCCTCTGGTTTCTTCGTTGTCCTAGGCTCCGCTGGCTTCGCCTGCTCTTCGGGCTCATCTTCTTCCTCGTCGGAGGACGATTCCTCTGACGAAGAAGAATCCGATTCCTCTTCCGACTTTGGCGGAGGTGGTAGCGGGACTATGATCGCATGGTCGAGGCCGGGGTCTTTTCGCTTGGGGAGGGCGGAAAAGTCGTGGGTGGATGCGAGGAAGAGGTTGGAGCAGTACGCGCAGTGGTAGGTGAACACCCTGGGATCATTGTTAGCGGTTGAAAGGGTTCAATGGGGAGGGATTTGTGGTGAAATACGTACCGTGGAGTTGTCATTGCGCTGCGCTGTTGAAGGGCGAGTGGCTGCTGGAACAGAGAGAGCTTTTGGTGTTGTGACTTGGAGCTCTGGGAGTTAGTGCTTAGGTCATAAAGTTTACTAGGCCCTGACATGAGGTTAGATGCATAGTTGATTAGTCATCATAACTCTCTCTTATGTTTCAACTTCACTCCCCAAACACAAATAGTAATATCGTCCAAGTTACTCTCGCATTCATTAAATGGTCGGAACTTTGATAGGGACTTGTAGGTTGCAATAACACTCGACTATTTCATGAACTCACGCGTATGTAAACTTCATCTCGAAACATTGATTCCCGCCCTTGGCCACCTGTACGTTCAACAAATCTCCACCCGGTCACAGAGAAGGTTATTTTCAAACGAAAAGTCGAGTTAATCGTTACCAAGATGGTAGATATTGTATGACAAGAAATTTAAAACAGAGAACGATCTTTCCCAGTACTACATGCACTCATCCAACAAATAAACTTCCGGCACTTCTGGTACTACACTGGAAGAGGTGGTTACATGTAGCTTAGCGTTCAGTATATATAAAGATCCGGGCAGCTAAAGGGAGAGAGAGATTCTTCACCAATTAAGTATGAACTGTTATATAGAGCTCATGAATCTCATATCGATTCATCACTGCTATATCATACCTACCTATATATCATTGAGAGGGCGTTTTGGTATGCTTGGAGATAATACCTCTCCGCATGATACTAGTTGTCTAGAAGCAAACCCAACTGGGCATGATCGTCCGGCGAGTTCGGAACTCCAGTTATAATCTTTAGAGTCTGGTTCGAGACAAGTAATATCAGGGCCATATATATACCTCATTTTATAGATACTAACCCAAGCCTGGTGTAATGCAATAAATGCAATACTCGAGCTTTTGTTTGATTAGGTTATTTATCTAGATCTCTTCGAATTCTGATATCGTAGAACAATCTAATAGATTACCATGCATGGATTTGTTGCAGAGGCAGATTTAGCCCGGCCTGACTTAGTCTCGGGTTTCCCAGGCATAGTCTTGCCGACACTGTAATACAAAAGGGCTAGTTTCTAGGAAGAGAACATTAGTACTCTTAAACAGTTGTTCAGATCATGTCTTAGTTTCAGCCAATCATGATTCGAGCACGTGATGTGACCACTTTAGGCATAGTCTGTCAATCAGTAGCAAAGATAACGGAAATGATCACCGTTCGGGAGCTTCTCCATCCTAGGAGGTATCATGGTGTCACCTGCACACCTGAAGCCTGCAGGAAAGGCCGGCGGCTGGGGTCGGCTCGCGTTGTACCTGCCTGTACGTATCTACTCGCGACAGGCATGAAGTACCCGAATATGCAGCTGCAAGTTTTTGGTGTATTTTTGACTTCTACTCCAATGGAAATTGCAGATTAGGACGTGCATTTTCGGGTACTTGTTACCTGCTGCGAGTACCCCAGTTACGTGTGCACCTATTAAGTTGATCCTACCTACTCTCCCTTCCTCTTCTCTCTTCCCCCGTTCTTACTGCTCTGCTCTACCATATACAACACCATCTTTGAAAAATACCACAGCAACTCCTATCGTTTACAGAAATCATGAAGTACTCTATTACCTCTACCTTCCTCGGGCTCGCGGCTGTGACTCAGCTCGCATCTGCCATCGTCCTCCCGACGCAGCAGGACCAGTTTAAGGCCCTCTCTGGCGGCTCCTCAGAAAGCTTCATGACACAGGATGTCGGGAGTGAAATGAGACTGGTGCAGCTTAGTCCTATGGAGATGAAGTGGATTACCGAGGACGAGAAGCTGGAGCTGATCAGGGTAGGTCTCGCTCATTCTGAAGCTTAGGGTGGCGGTTCAGGGACTAACAAGAAGCTTTTTGCGGTTGTAGAATGGTCGTAACTTCATGGATATCACCGATAACCAGGACCTGGGATACACGAACGCCTTTAACGAGGCCTCCAAGCCGCGTAAGGGGAAAGTCGAGTTCCCACCAAAGCCCCAGTTCCAGGAGCTCGTGACACCGCTTCTCGGTAACTTGACCAAGAGTAACATGCAGGCGAACCTGGAGAAGTTCACCAGCTTCCACACCAGGTACTGCAAGTCGGATTACGGCAGACAGTCTTCTGAGTGGCTCCTAAACCGAATCAATGAGACCGCGGCCCACCTGCTTCCCTCGATCGAGCTGAGACCTTTCAAACACTCGTGGCAGCAGGCTTCCATCATTGCTTCGATCCCTGGAAAGACCAAGAAGACTGTTGTGATTGGTGCTCACCAGGATTCGATTAACCTTTATTTCCCCTCATTCCTTCGTGCCCCGGGTGCCGACGATGACGGTTCTGGAACTGTCACTATCCTAGAGGCGTTCAGAGTGCTCGTTGAGTACCTTGCCGACACGGGTATCCAGCTTGAGAACACTGTTGAGTTCATGTGGTTCAGCGCTGAGGAGATTGGTCTTTTGGGAAGTCAGGCCATCTTCAGCCAGTATGAGAAGGAGGGCCGAGAGGTTGTCGCCATGTTGCAGCAGGATATGACTGGCTTTGTCCAGAAGACTCTTGATGCTGGAAAGCCTGAGAGTGTTGGTGTCATCACCGATTACGTCGATGAGGGTTTGACAGAATTCATCAAGGAGGTCATCACCGAGGTAAATAATGAACCTTTTCACTTACAATTTTGGGTTAGATGCTGATTATGTGGAATGCAGTACTGTGACATCCCGTATGTCTTGACCGAATGTGGCTACGCGTGCTCCGACCACGCCAGTGCTAGCAAGGCTGGATACCCCAGTGCTTTCGTAATTGAGAGTGCCTTCTCTGGTTTGTACCCCTGACAATCAAGTTTTACTACAAGTCTCCAGTGAACTAACCGGCAAAACACCAGAATCCGATGACCACATCCACACCACCGAGGACAAGATTGAGTATCTCAGCTTCGACCACATGCTCCAGCACGCCAAGTTGACTCTTGGTCTTGCCTACGAGCTCGGTAACACCGATTTTGGCGGAAAGAAGGAGCACAAGGGACACAAGGAGTATGAGTTGTAAGCATTCAGGTTTCTATGGGATAAAGTTACGAATGGCACGGACGGACGGGTGATGATGGGAAGGTATTTTTGATGTACGATTTTTTTAAGCCCGCTAAATTGGGGCGTACGTTCTTGCATTGTATTAAGTACTTGACGTAGTCTTTGGTAATGAACATGGTTATTTGCATCACAGAACACACGTTCTCTGTTGGTTTTGTCCCCATTGAAAACGAAGAAGTATCCAAGGTTAGGTCGTAAACCAGAGGATAATTCTAGTAGAGTCTATGGATATCGGTCCGTTGCTTTGATCCAAGTCCAAACATGCTGGTTCCTTGTCTGACTGCTCCGTACGTCACAAACCTCATTCTCAGTTCATCTAGAAGGCATTACATGTGCCTAAACCTCGGTCCCATCCTGTATGACTGCAAGTACTATCCCCGGATATCTATCTACCCGCGTTCCTAACTCAGCGTCGCTGTTCACGATGAACGGAGCATGCTCATCGAGTGAGAACTCATGACCCAATATTTCAAAACATTGTCAATGAGTCTGTATAAACTCCCCAATTCTCTCAAGTCTCACCCCGTATGGGATAAAATGATACTCACATGCTTACTTCTTCCAATGTATGTCGGCGCCAAGGCACAATTGCAGTAAGTGAGAAATCATGAAAATCAGGCACCATACGATCCATTCAGCCAGTAGGAAGGTAAAGTACTCTCGACTCCCGGAATGTTAATAATCAAGGAAGAATGATAGATTCACGTTTTTTGGACAGGAACAGATGACAGGAATGGGGGAAATTATCCGTTCTATACAACATGTACTACAACGTTTTTTTTTTCTTCTTTCCTTCTATCAACGGCATACTAATAAGAAAACGCCCATTTCTCTCTTTCCGACCCAGCCAGGATTTGATATTTAGTGCTTTGCCTTTGTAGCGGCCGCACTCTCGGCTTCTGCCTTTGCGATGAATTCCCTGCAACACATGGCATTAGCACTGACTAGAGAGACCCACGGTGGAGGGTGGGGGAGCGGGTGAGCGTACTTGATGAACTTCTCCTCATCGCTGCTGGAGGCCTGGATAGGTGGGGTAGTCTTGTCCTTCTTCCCGCCGGTCGCGAGAGCGACGATACCGATGACGGAGCCGAGGGTGGCCATGGCGAGCTACATATCGCGGGCATCGTCAGTCCGCAGATTCCACCATTCCATTCACCCATTCACACAGTGTCCATCGATCGCAATTGACCCGCCCACGGAGGGAAGAAGAGGAGGGGGGTGGGGGGGAGAGGCGACATACGTGGTGTGATCCGACCTGCCTGCCGGCGATGGTGTACATGGCGACCATTGTGGATGATTGTTGGGTGGGTGGGCAATTGAAGACGGGAAGGGTATCGGGGTTGGTGATGTCGTGAATAGTGATTGATGGGTGGGACGGAATCTCGGTTGATGAGAGGGCGATTTGACGGTGTGGCGGGTGCGTGTGTGGCGCGCGTGGAGGGGCTAAGGTGTGGCGCGCTTTCGGGTGAGCGGTGACTCAGCCGGCCGGGATCGGGAGAGAGGATTTACGTCATTCTAGAGGCCTAGCTTGGGCTGGCTTGGGTTAATGTGGATATAAATTCTAGGAAATATCGTCAACTCTGACCTAGACAGCCACTCCCATCGCCACTGTTAATAGACCGACGACTCTATTCCATCCTTTACTTGTTAAATCTTTAATATCAGTGGAAATAGCACATCATGTCGGCAAAGGCTCCCCCCAATCCAGACCACCCACCAAGGGCAGAGACCCTCTCCCAGAGGATCATTGAGGGCGAGTAAGTCTAGTTCACCAACTATCTGGAGTCTTTTCCCCAAATCTTCCCAGAACTAAAAGCCAATCATCATCCCGGAAAGAAACGAAAAGATATCAAAAATCAGAACGAAAAACTAACACAATGCCAGGGCCCCCGAAACCACCGAAACCAACATCCGCTGGGCCGCCTACGCAAACCGCATCCGCACCATCATGAACTCTGCCCACCGCTATGTCGCCTACACCTCCGACATTGGCGAGTCCTTCCGCCCCGTTGCCCACCCGGGCCTCATCCGCACGGCCTACGGCATCTCCTGGCTCTACCTCACCGGTGATGTCCTTCACGAGGGCTACAAGGCCTACATCTCCAACCAGGCTACCCTTCGCGGGGGCCAGGTCGTCTCGCCGCTTCCGGAATGGCTCACCCCGAAGAGTGCCGAGAAGTCACCTTCCTCGGAAGGGACGTATAAGCCGGAGCAGGTGGCCAAGAGCGTGGCTGAACCAATTACGACGCCGAAGCCACCGTATGCGGCGAAGCCGAGGAAGGTGTCGCCGTTGAGTGATGTGAGGGATGATTGGGATGATGGAAGCAAGGACGCTGGGAAGAACCTGCTGAACCCGAAGGGGACGGTGCCGTTCTTGGAGGATTACAGGACTGTGATGGTGCAGAGGGCGATTTTCCAGGGGTTGGCGAGTATGGGGCTGCCTGCACTGACAATCCACACTGTATGTATCTCCCGATTAGTATTGTAGCATTGTGACCGGCGCTAATAGGTTGTCGTAGGTTGTGCGGTACTCTGGCAGGGCGCTCAAGAATGCTAAGAACACCATGATCAGGACTTGGGGTCCTGTCGGTCTGGGACTGGCGGTGGTGCCGGCGCTGCCGTATATTTTCGATCATCCGGTGGAGCACGCGGTCGAGTATGTGTTTGAGAAAGGGTACGAGACAATTACGGGCAAGAAGGGTGTGCATGAGAAGGAGCTATAGATCTCTTTTCTTGGGTATAAAGGATGCAGTTAGATGATATCATGGGTGGAGCTTTTTATTGTGTAGTCACCTTTTTTCTTTTCGATGTCTCCCCTCTCGATCATTGATCATACCATCTCTTCTCTCTGTGGCTCTTACTCTGGTTTGCGGTTGGATATGTGGGTGGCTCTTTCCTGGTTTCGGCTTAAATTTCCTGTTAGTGATTGGGGAGTTGAGCGTACTCTAGAGCTAGAGACGATGGCGATGTATAAACATACATACACGCATCGAAGTACGCTTGCATTATTTGCATATGTATATTAGTTATACCCCATTGAAAGTACTTGCCGATAATTCCTTATGGGGTGGTTGTAGAGTATAATTTTGCTCCATGAGAAACCACTCGTTGCACCGGCACCCCCGCTGCACATTCTGCTGTAAGGCATTGTGAGTTCCAATGGCTGTGACGAGACCAAGCCATTTGATAAGGAGGAAGATAAAATGTATTAATAGGACTACCAGGGTTTCAAGCTTTATATGATATGATTGAGGATAGTTTGTTACGCCACCTATATATTGCTTTCCAGAAGTCCACGGTTATTATACGCAACTGACAGTCACGTATGCCGTACAACAGCACTCAGAACTGGAAGAACCTTGGATAGTGTGTGTATCTGGCAATACGAGATCCGAGTCACGATACTGTGATTTTAACCGGGCGTACGACTGGACTATAGTAATCATCACCATTCACCAATCAACAACCACCAACCATCGTATACTCTAGGTAATCTCACGATGGAGATAGAGCGTCTGTAGGCGGTAAGTGACCCTCGCAGACACCATCACTGTATCCAGTGCGCTACTATAGCTGATGGTCGGATTGCTTCTGATGTTCGTTACACAAGAGACCATCATCGGCATAATGAATAAAAAAAAAAAAAAAAAAAAAAAAGGTCATCGACAAAAGTTTTCCGAGTGATGTTGCATGATTCCGCTAACTACTGGTACAGAAAAGCCAACGAGAGCTCATCCGGAGGGGAGGGGATAGAAGCACCGAGAAATGCCGAGGGCAGGCTACTCACCCTGTTCTGTTCTCAGGTCACGTTGCGGTATCTTGCGGTTGGGTGCTCAGTCGCGGGTTTTTGGTATGGGGGAGGGGTGATGATGGGTTTTGACTAGGTGGGACTGGAGATGTGGTGGGGGGTGAAACTAGGGGTCGCGGGGATGGGAATGGGTGATATATGTTTCTGGGCAGGTATCTATTTTGAAACAGGTTGAATGTTTATGGGGTTGATGAAACATCATATGGATGGAATACGTTATACGGGGCGAGGGTATAAAATGTGGTGAGAATCCGAATAGCTGTGTCACTAGCTGTGAGTTGGTCATATGATTGCTGGTATGATATTTCTATTGGATACGCTATCATTGGTATTAAAATCGTGCTTTGGCAATTATACTAACAGGGCGCCGGATTGATCTCAAGGTCGACACTTGGCACACAAAACCTCTACAACAAACACTCCAACGTACCAATCTCCACAATGAACAAAATCACAGAAATAAGAGATACAGTCACAATGTATCACTCGGCCAACCTTCACACGACCACACAAACACACTCACCAGTATTTGGAGTAATCCCGTGACAAGTGGCGCAAAGCCAACAATATAGGGTAGCTCCGAAACCTCAAGCATCATGAAGATAATCGTGATCAACCCCCTGCTTGCACGATACTGCATCTATTCCGTTAATAACCCCTACTTGTACAATATTATTGAGTATCCCTTCGTCTGGCAAAAAATGCTGACCCCCCTAGAAAAAGCAAATTCTTCAGTGGCTTTACTAATAGATCTTGTTATCTCTCTTATTAAATAATAGATCTCCCATACAAATCTCATTCCTCTATTATAGGGTGGTCAGCATTGCCAGACTAAGGGATAGACATTGAAGATATCGATTACCATCATAAAACGAGGTTTCTACAGAGTTCGAGTATAACGGCTTCCGGGCCGTCAGTACATCTTGAATATTGTATGGAAAGTAGCACTAAAGCTAGTAACTGATCAAGTCTCTCATGGGCATTTTGTAATCCCTCGATTGGTACGGGTAGGACCATCGTAGCTGCACGTATCACCCCCCTTCTCTTCCTCTACCGCCACATATATTCGCGAAACGAACACCATATAGCACCCGCCTCCCAAAGACACAACCTCAAACACTCTCCTCACCATAACCCAACGACCCCACCTCAACAGGAGCAAAAACACCCCACACCCCACTACCGACAACTTCCACACTCGACTTCAAAGCTGTCACTGACTCCGGCAAGCGTATTGCGGCGTGCACGGTCTAGACCTCAACCGCAGTGCCGCCGTTGCGCCAGATGATCTTTAAATACGATATGTAGATGGTCAGGACGCTGTATAACTTTAGGGGTTTGTGGAGGAAGAGCAAGAATACTCAAGGCCAGACGGTAGAGGTTGCGCGGGTGGAGATGGTGTGTGAATATGTGTGGTGTATTGGGTGGGGTGCTGGGGGACATGGGGAGGATGAGGGGGATGAGGAGGAGGAGGAGTGAGGAAGGGTAGTCTGGTAGTGATGTTGGTATTTTTTCTTTGTTGATTCTGTATTCGCTAGATACTGGAACTGAAGTAGTGCTTTTGGTGGTTAGCGGAGCTCTTGTTAAGCAGCAGACAGCATTCAACCCACATACTTCCTGTGAGCGTCCCCCCCGAGCGAAACGATGTACTCTATCAGTAATCAAACCTGAAGACATTGTACGTATCGGGAGGGCGAAAATCCTGCAAAGTGACCCATTTCACCAAAAGATAGAAAATTTCCCATCCGTAGCTTATCTGCTGATAGAGTCCCATCTCAACCATTCAGCGTCTGCGGAGCATGAAGTGGCGTTCACTGCTTTCTACTATGGAGAGTCTCACTAGCTGAAAGTAAGATCATGGAGGCCGCTACTAGAATCATCTATGCTACCGATACTCTAAGTGAATATCAGAGCTGGTCTGAGCTTGCCGTTGAAGGAATCGAAAAGCGATTCTAGACTATGGACATCTAGTTTGAATAGTGGAACGCCGGGGTTGATATTCATGAACGAGGATTGTATGGAACGGGTTGACTGCAGACGCGCAGAATACCGTGACAGATGATCCGGGGGTACGAGTCTAGTTTTCCTGAGTAGGGAGGGAAGATTAGGTGGATCTAGCAACATGCACGTGTCCTCTACCTGCATGTACGCTTAATCGCGGGAGTTGGCTTTGTCTTGGGGACTGGGAGAGCTGGGATAATGCATGTCGATATCCTTACATGGGTTGACTTAATGCATGCAGCGAGGACGCACATATGTTTACAGGTGTTTGACCAGTACGATGCGCAGGAAATGTTTGGTTTTGATCATGGCTTATCACTCGACCATGCCAAGACCAATATCAGGACACATGCACGTGCACATGTTTCATCCTTTATTAATTACCGTATCATGCTTACTTCATGTACTAAACATCGCAAACCCAGAGTGTCAAGAAACAAGCTGTGCACCTTGTCACGCCTAGGTGTACTGAATGAACCAATCAAGCAACCAACCAATCCTCATGCCAGGGCAAGAGTCCAAGATGCTTACGTCTTGCATATAGAAGAGGCCTAGGCCGGCCTCGAGCATAAACGATGAGCAACGACGTCCCCCTCATCGTTTAAGCTTGCATGTAGCAAAAGAAACTCGCCTACGTATACTGTATACGCCAATGCACTGTTGATCCCATGGGCTACATCGCTGAGCTTGATTTACTCGGGTCAATATGGTCGTCTTCTATGGAGGCCGCTAGTTTCTAGCCTCGGGATTTCTCTGGTCTCGAGGCCGCCAGCCCTGGCACACTTATCCATTGGGCTGATGGAATATGCTACTACCCGGGATGCAGAATATTATTCCACTGGTTATTAGATGCTCGGTTATCTATCCGGAGAGATAGAATACCACTTGGCGGCCTCGAAATACATTGAGAAAAATCCAGCTAGTACCTCTCGAAGATCCATTACCTTGGCGATCACATTGCAATGAGTCATTGGATATGCTCACAGGATGTTATTGGACCACGATACTGGCGGTATCTCGAGGCCCTCTTAAACTGATGTTTCGGGTGATCAAAAATGTCCGTGATCGATGTTCGAGACACCATTAATATCAGGAGGTCAACGATAGTGGTACGGATGATAGAACGGCCTTCTCGGCTCTATGAGCCGAGGATAGACATAGTGATAGAGGCACCTGACGATGGCGATACTATGCGGAGATTGCAAATCCAGTATTCTATCCGCAAATCTCGCCAGAGAGCGTAACAAGATTCTGTACTTAAGTACCTGTCGATACCTCTCCTCAGCAATCTTCTTCATTCATCACCTACTCACCGCAATCATCACTCCACAAACCTCTAACTCTACCTAACTACCACAACATAAACCTCACCCAAAACACAAACCCGAAATGGCCACCAACTCCTTCATCACCTCTTCTGCCTACCACGGCCCCACCTGCACGCACCGCGACGAAGTCTACAACACAATCTGCCACGCCTCCATCCCACAATCCTCAAAGCTCACACATCTCCACACCCTCATGACCACACCCCCCACTACCACCCTCCACTACGACCTACTTGCCAACGACTCCACCGACTACACTGGCTCCTGCACTACCTTCGAGGCGGCCGTAGCCCGTAGCGATCACGACGTCGTAAAGTATCTTATCAAGGCAGGTGTGAACCCAGATATTTGTGCGACGGGCATGCCGCCGCTGCATAGGGCGATAAGGAATCTGGATTCGAGGATGGTGGGGTTGTTGGGGGAGTCAGGCCTGGCGCATATGAATATCAGATATGAAGGGACGACGCCGTTGAAGTTGGTTGCGAGGATGAAGGTGCCGGAGGAGGCGACGGAACAGGAGAGGAAGGTGTGGATCGAGAAGTTGACGGCGGTGAAGAGGTTTGTGGATTATTTTGTGGGGAGGATGTAGCGATCGTTGTTTCGGTTTTTATATAGGCTTTGGCCTTAGCTTTCTGTAATTTCTTGTAATTTCCGACTACGTGCTTAGCTTGAAATCGTTTTGTACGCACCGTAACCAATATTATCTTACAAAAAGACACATCCATGCTCAGTGATAGTCACTACTCGGTGATCACGCAACTTTTGAAAAACTTGTGACCTATAAAATAGATAACCCAGAACACGCCCCAAGCCCCAATATTCCAAAGTCGATACGCCACATATGCAAGCAACGCCCTCCTAGTAGCGGCCGCTCGAAACATTACAGGCGCAAATCATGATCCATCACTCGTCAACATTCACAACTTCTCACTCGGGGTCATTACAGGTGCCAAGGCAAGTGCCAAGGCGTATTGTGAAAGTACTGCCAAAACTAGAAAAATTAACTTTCTCCGGCAAGAGTTGTGGGGAGGTTTTGTATATTGAGAGTGAGTTTTGGGCAAATCTGAGTGATTCCCTATGGTTGTTGACAGGGTCCGTTTAATTTAGTAGTTGTTGGCTCCCACTTGCAAGGATACTGTTAAGTGGGGCTATCATCAGCAAACCTACAGCCTTCACCTGACACTCGGTAGGTAAACTACCTCTCCAGAGATACTGCAAGTACTCCTAGCGAGTTTTGACGTACGGTTGTCCACCCCAGCGCATACTAGTCCGTCCAACGTGTCCCGATACCTAATCCTAGTGCTCAGCGCAACCCGGACATCAGTCCAGTCACCAAAGAACACCAGTTACTCGCTGGTATATTCTGACTGCTTCAGTAGGCTCTGGGATAGAATGATTACCCTGAGCCCTCCTGACGTTGCCGGATCGGGTGCTTTGAAACCTGGCTTACACCCGGCGTACCGATTCCTATATGCCAGCACCATATTCTCTCCAGGCATACACTTCTCTGCCGTACCGGCCTCTGGTATTCACAATTCCTCCATGAGATTACCAAAAGATCACTCGTACGATGATCTCTACTGCCTCCAAAGCACTTGCGACTGCACTTTTAGAATTGGTGTATTCAACACCGTGATCCTCTGCCTAATACTAAAACAAGACGCTATTTAACACCCTAACTAACACTAATATAATATACGGAAAAGAACAAATCCCCCACTATCTCACTTAGCACTCGCGATTGTTCAACACATCCTGCTCCCTCCTACCTTTTGTAATCCTCTGCTACAGGTAATTCCGGCTCCTCTTCTTCCTCCTCCCCCTCCTCTTCAGTGTCAATGCCAAAAAGTTGGCCATTAATAACCTCGTCCTGGGGCTGTCGGAATCAACCCGACCTCTTGTAGCACTCGTAGGTATTCTTCGAACATTTCAGAATGCAGCAAGATCCGCAGGCAGAGCTTCATCATCCTCGCTAAAACTCTCCTCCGGTATCACCTCAATAGCTACTCCCTTTCTATCTCTTATCTATTAGGATTAGCATTTAGAATACCACTGGCATTATCGACATCTATAAGTATCATACCTTTTCTCGAAGGTTATCTTTAATTACCTCCAAGGTTGGCTCCTAGTTCTGTTTACTTCTCCCCTTCCAAGTGTTGCTCATCCTGTTGAACGTTTCTACTCGAGTTTGGATATCAGTTCGGCAATCACGTATAGCTCTAGAAGCATCCGCTATTGCTCTCAAGGCACTCACCATATCAATGAGGGCCTCAGGCCATATTGTAATGGAGCCATTTCAACTGTCTGGTGTATGGGTACATACAGGGCCTGGTTACATGCTGAGAGTTATTGTTAGAAGCCAGTTGCACGTTGATAGGGAAGTCTACTATAAGCGAAAGCTCTACACCAATGATTAAGCTTACATTTGAGTAGCAGCTCATTCATGCTGGCCTCGGTTGTATGGCAACTAAGGCTGCAGGTGTTACAAAGGCTTTGACTAAGAGTGGTTGCTTTGGGTATTGGAAACACCTGCTGATGCTTAGAGAAAAAACAGGGTAGTGGTAGTATTGTTTCTGGCACCGAGGAAAGACTTCACCGGAACTTAGTGAGGAGTTAGGAGCAGAGAATAGAGGCCTTCGGAGTATAAGTACTCAGGTTCATTCTCGCCCTTCAGTCCTATTCTCTCGAGTTTTCATCAGAAAGAAAAACCAAGTTCTTATCGGTAGCAGAGCCCTTAAAGATTATTGAGTTCTAGCGATAGTATCTTTGAATAATCTGCAACCTGATTGTCTATCTTGCATGGCCATGTCTATTCTATCCTACTGTGTTTCTCTTAGAAGAGACCCCCGTTACATATACTTGCTCACAAGACTCTCATTCTGCGACTGAAAATTATCAGGGTTCAAGTAACTACCTATTGACAATGCCCGAATGCTGTTCCAGATCGCCATCGATATTAGGCAAATAAGGGTAGGGGTTATCCGCTCTAGAAATTCGGGATCCCTAACTCCTTGCATTCTTACCCCATCAAAGTATTTAAAATACAATATATCGATAATTTTCAGAGTCAGGAAGTGCAGTCGGTAGGTCTAGAATCTGTCAACAGCTTTCCTGATTGCTCTCTGGGCATCCATCATACCTCGTAATACTCTTGGAGGCTCAAAATACGTTCATTCTTCAAAATATATTCCACTTCAGCCGCCCTTGCCTCACGCCCCACAAGATTTCCAAGCCCATCTATCGTAGAGTCCGCCAAGCATCCTTTCACCTCGTGCATCAAGTGGGAATGGACACGGAAGTGCAGACTTCTGACCTATCGTTCTCAATTGTGCTTCCAGAGCACTCTTAATCCCTTTGGAGGCACTTACTTGTTTAATAACGACCTCATCAGGGTCTAATCTACACCCTACTTGGCGATTTGCAGTTGCCCACATGCTCACTACCAGTACCGAAAGTCTTGCTGCAGATGGAAAGGGCTCATGTAGAAGAGTGTGCCTCCCGATTAACATGCTACACTCCTTCTCAATCCTCTGAACCTGCACTGACAGTATATTTGGACTCCTAGAGTTAGGGACCACAGACCTTTGAGTCAATTAGCTCGAAGGAATGTCACCAGTGTTCTCAAAGATGTCGTGAGTATCCTCTGGAATACTGACCTCGCTTCCCAGAATCAAAATACCGTCGCTTTTCGGCATTGAAGCACTTTCGTCCTCTTCCCTAGATGAGGGAAGGTACTCGACTTCGTGGACTCTTTGCGATTGATGTTTACCGTGAAGTTGGCTTGAAGGAATCTGATGACTGCTCATAGACTGCTCGCCAATTACCTCACTAGGTGGTGAAGAACAATATGTCCGATAAGTGTGGAACGACTCCCCATATCGAAAGTGCTCTCTAGGATACTGAGAGTGCTCTCTAGGATACTGAAAGTGCTCTCTGGGATGCCTGGAGTGCTCCCTGGGATGGATTTTGGCTGGATGCTGGAGTGGGTGTTGCTCTCCATTGTTTACGTATTACTTTCGCGCCCCGTCGAGTTGTCCTCTGAATCGTTAGCCACTAATACTTACATGTGAAAAAGCATCAATAGCGAGCTAGACTCGAACCTGTACCATGTCTACCGATACGTTGGAAGAAGCAATGACCTCCACTACTACGCCAGTTGGTTTCCTCTGAGCACTGCTCAGTACTCTGGCAGTGGTTGGTTGAACTGTATGAGGTCTCTTTCCGACAGTTTTAGACCTCTGGGTGGGAGATGGAGGGGCTTGAGGTTCATCCTTCTGTTCATCCTCATCCTTCCTATAGCTCTCGTAGTTGTTCTCCGGAGTATCATCATAGTCTGAATGGCTAATATCACCTATTTCTTCCACCTCAGGTGCCTCAATTGCCTCAGGCTCCTCCTGTGTATCAAAATTGTCAGTATGATGCTCGGGGAGATAAAATTCTACCATTCGAGGACTACTCGTTCCAGTGGGGATTTCGGAAGAACGGAGAAGACCTTTCTAAGTTATTTGGATGGCGGTGGTCGATTGACTACTCCGAGTGCAGACTGGCAGTAGAGTCAATGGTGGGTAAGATATCTCAGATTCATCGGTTTCTCCATCTTCTGCAGGTCGTGTTGGGAGTCGTGGATGCTTTGGTGCAGGAGGTGCTGTACCGGAGAAGCGCTTGGTGGGAACCATTCTGATGATTGGTAGGAATATCTGCAGTACTCTAGAAGCACTCGCGATATCTTCAATTGGAAATCAAATCTTGGCGAGAAAATGTGCACCGCTAATCTTCATATGACAGGGATCATCCGGTGTTACCGTTATTCCCGCACTTAACCGCATCATTTATCATCACTCATTTTACTACACTTTCTGAAGTGGTACCGAGTGCTCTGAGAGCAATCTAGGAGTTTGATTCAACTTTGAAATAAAAGCAATGCAATTACTACCTGGACTAATCTAATCTGATCTAATCTAATCTAATCTTATCCGATATAACCTATCCAATGATACACAAAGGGAAATCCAAAAACACCAAATCGTACCGCATATCAGCAGCTTTCGCGAGTGGTCAGAGAGTAGTCCTAACAACTATTAAATGGTTAGTGACGATTCTGCAGGAAGAGAAGTTAGAGATTATACCAAAGGGAACTAATGATGCCCGCCATCATCACCACCACTACCGCCACCACTATCACCACCACCATCTCTAGCACTAGCAGCCACGAGTGCATCAGCAGCTCTCTTGGCTGCTATCCCAGCAGGTGCCCAGATCGTCCCGTGTAAGAAGTTTGGGTCAGCAACCCCGATACCCAAAGGATACTTCCTAAAGTATTTAGGGTCTAAATCGTCGATAGTATCCTGCTGTCTATCGCGACGCCTAACTTGAGTCTGAATTAGCCTTTGATTACTGCCATCGATTCTAGGCATATATATCCTCAGTTCTTTAGTATTTATCTGGTGATTTCCCTCCCCGTAATCCGAATCCTCTGTAGGAATATCGATCATGCTATAATCATCTTCCTGAATGTAAGAGAAAGCCGGTTTCAATAGGAGGAATTTCGCACCACCCAGGTTAACACCCATACCTTTTCTGTGGAGGACAACCAATATCCTCTGAGGCTTGACATCTGACAATTTTGAAGCGCAAGAGGAGCCTGAGGCAAGGGAGGTACCTGATGTGGAAGAAATAGTTGATACTAGCTACTCAGACTATGATGATACTCCAGAGAATGACTACGAGAGCTCTAAGGAAGATGAGGATGAACAGGAGTATGAACCTCAAGCCCTCCCACCTCATCTCCCACCCAGAGATCTCAGACTGTCAGAAAGAGACCTCATACAGTTCAACCAACCACTGCCAGAGTACTGAGCAGTGCTCAGAGGAAACCAACTGGCACAGTAGTGGAGTTCATTGCTTCTTCCAACGTATCGGTGGACGTGGTACAGGTTCGACTCTAGCTCGCTATTGATACTTTTTCACATGTAAGTATTAGTGGCTAACGATTCAGAGGACAACTCGACGGGGCGCGAAAGTAATACGTAAACAATGGAGAGCAACACCCACTCCAGCATCCAGCCAAAATCCATCCCAGGGAGCACTCCAGGCATCCCAGAGAGCACTTTCAGTATCCTAGAGAGCACTCTCAGTATCCTAGAGAGCACTTTCGATATGGGGAGTCGTTCCACACTTATCGGACATATTGTTCTTCACCACCTAGTGAGGTAATTGGCGAGCAGTCTATGAGCAGTCATCAGATTCCTTCAAGCCAACTTCACGGTAAACATCAATCGCAAAGAGTCCACGAAGTCGAGTACCTTCCCTCATCTAGGGAAGAGGACAAAAGTGCTTCAATGCCGAAAAGCGACGGTATTTTGATTCTGGGAAGCGAGGTCAGTATTCCAGAGGATACTCACGACATCTTTGAGAACACTGGTGACATTCCTTCGAGCTAATTGACTCAAAGGTCTGTGGTCCCTAACTCTAGGAGTCCAAATATACTGTCAGTGCAGGTTCAGAGGATTGAGAAGGAGTGTAGCATGTTAATCGGGAGGCACACTCTTCTACATGAGCCCTTTCCATCTGCAGCAAGACTTTCGGTACTGGTAGTGAGCATGTGGGCAACTGCAAATCGCCAAGTAGGGTGTAGATTAGACCCTGATGAGGTCGTTATTAAACAAGTAAGTGCCTCCAAAGGGATTAAGAGTGCTCTGGAAGCACAATTGAGAACGATAGGTCAGATATAACGTGGGTCTATGCACGATGGACTATAGTGCCAAGGAATACAACCTAGGCAAGAACGTAGTAGAAGATATTCGTAACTATGGACTATGAGGTGGTTCAATCCTGATCCGAGATCCAAGACGAGCCCTATGACGTAGCGTAGAACAAAAGTAGTATTCATGAAATAAATACAGAAGAAGAAGAAGAAACTTATATTGCTTTGAAGTACAAGACTTATCGCACGCCGATCCAACCGCCTAAAAACAAAACCGAACCGAACCGAAAAGAAAAGAGAAAGAAAACCAACAAACCCGAACAAACAAACAAACAAGAACAAAACGAACACGAACAAAGTCAAGAAATTTCAAAGACAACACGCAATCAAAGAAATCCAACGACAAGGAAAGATAACCTATCTCAGCGGACTCAAGCGCTGGATCCATCAAAAACAAAATTAAAAACAAAACAAACATAACAGATAAAAGGAAACTTCCCTTCCTAATCCCGTCCCTAGTCATTTTCTTCCATCCCCTCTTCCAGGTCCGCTTCCGCCTCCGCCGACTCGTACCATTTCGAGAGTTGAGATTTCTTTGCAAATTGTAGGATGAGGTCCGTTTTCAGGTTTGTAAACATCCAGTTTTCCCAGGTCATCGCTCCGGGGATTTTCTCTATCAGAGGGACGCGGATTCGAGCCCACGCTGGGCATTCGATGAGTGTGTGTTTCGCTGAGTTTTCCGTACCACACTGGCATGGTTCGGGGTCTGTGTGTGCTGCGTGTTTGTCGATTCGGATGGTTTGACATCGAATTCGAAAAACCTTTTTCGCTTCTGTGAGAGTAAGTTTCGCAATCTTGGGAGGGGGGCGGAATTCCCCCCGATGGTGGTAGTTAGGTATTGGTTGTGTATTCCATTCTTCTAACAGTTGGTCGCGTAATAGTTTGTTTTGATTCCACTTGTCTCTCATATTTCCGGGGGTTTGGTACGGGAGTAAGAGGGAGGCGATTCGGTGCAGGCCTGTCCCTTTGATGTTTGCTTCTCTGTATGGCAGGAGCTCGATCAGGGATTCATTGTTGGGGTGGGTTGCATCGGTGCAGAGTATTCTGGTTCCGTACTTTCTTGAGCGATATGTCAGGAGGTGTTCTAGGGGGGGTAGGCCTGCTTCTCGGAGGAGTTTAGCTCTCTTAGTCCATCGTGGTAGGCCTGTAATGACCCGGGCGGCTTCATTGTATAGTGGTTCGAGGGATCTTATAATGTGGTCTGCGCCAGTCCACCAAGCCTCGGATCCGTAGAGCAGACTTGGGAGGAAGCCTTGTGTTATAAGGTGGTGAATTGTTTTAACTGTTATGCCTGGCAGGCGGGCAGTGTTTCGAATCTGGTGGAGGGCTTTCAGGCCTTTTGCGATCGCTGCTTCGATGTGGGGCCGGAAGGAGAGGGTCAGATCTATCCAGACTCCTACATATTTGAGCCTTTCCTTGGGGTATATATTGGTATTGTTGATTTTAACTGGAAGTCGCGGTTGTTGTGTGGATGATGTGGTGGGCCGGAAGAAGATCAGGTCGGATTTATCCCGGTCGTATTTAATTTGGAGTGGCTCGGCTTTTATTAGTCTTTCTCTCATTCGTTCCTCCATTCTCTTAATTGTAAAGCCTGGTGTTTTGGATATTTGCACCAGCGCATCGTCATCGATATAAGTTGTGTCCATCTCTTTCGGGCTGCTTGTTGGGTCCAGGATTACTCCGGCATAGATCATAAATAGTACTGGGGACATGGGGCTACCTTGCGGCACTCCAGAATCATAGGGCTGTGGTTCCTCTAGCTCATGGTTAAATTGGAACTGTAGTTGTCTACCGGTGTTGAATTCCTTGCACCATTCTGTTAAGTAGGTAGGGAATTTTTGTTGGTGCATGATTTCCGCGAGGAGTAGGTGGTCGACACAGTTAAATGCTCCTTGGATATCGTTGGTTAGGATCGCTGGTCTGTCTCGCCGAGCGATTCCGGTACTGTTTTTCAGTAGTAGGTTTTGTTGTATTGGTGTTAAGGTTTTCAGGAGGGCGTCGATTGCCGAGATAGTTGGTCTTCCTCCAAATTGATTCGCTGAGAGTGTGCCTAGGATTTCTCCAGCGGTGCAGAGTCTTCGAGCCACTATCTTCTCTAGGATTTTGCTGAAGCATTGTAGAAGGGAAATGGGCCGGTAGGCTTTTGCTTCATGATAGTTTGCTTTACCGGGTTTTGGGATCGGGATACACTTAGCTATTTTCCATTCCGCTGGGTGTACTCCGTGCCGGAGCATGGCGGAGAACATGTCCTGAATTAGAGTTGTGTTTGCTCTGACTATTGCTTTAATAAATGTGTATGGAATACCATCCGGGCCGGTCGCCGAGTGCGCTGGACAGGAGTCGATTGCTTTATTAAGTTCTTCGGGGTTGACTATGTCGAAGGTGTTGCTAAGGTCAAAAGAGGGGGGTCTAATGTTTAGGGGGGGATGGTCGGGGGACGTCCGTTTTGAGGGGAAAAGTTGGGCTCTTAGAGCTTGACACTTCCCCGCAAACGTTTCTTCACCTTGTATGGTTGGTATAATTGTGTCTCTTCTCCTTCCTGCGTTTAGGATTCTCCAGACCTCACTACCTTTCGCCTCGTTTATCGTCTTTTCCCGCTGGTCCACTTTTGCTTTCCGGATCATGACTGTCCATTCTCTGCATGCCTTCCGGTGCTACTCCACATGGTTGGGTTTCCTTGTATTTCTCGCCTTCCTTTCTGCCGCATTTACCCTTGCCTTCATTTGTTTCATCTCGTCTGACCACCAGGAGCTGGCTCTTACCCCCTCCTTCGAGAGTGAGGTTACTATACTGATTATTGACCTGACCAGTTCTAGGAAGAAATCGACAGTTTGTTCCGTATGTTCCTTAGTTTCCCATGCCTCTGCAGGGAGGAAAATGTTTGACATGTGGTTCTCCAATAGCTTCCAGTCTGTTTGTCTCCACATCCGTCTTGGTACAAATGGTGGTTTTTCCAAGTGTAGATGAACGGAGGTTCTCCCGTGGTCTGAGCCTGCTCTGTAGGGCTCAGTGCTCCATCGTAGATTGTGGTCGAGGGTTGGGCCTTTCACAAATGTAAGGTCGATGATTGTAGGCCTTTTCCCTCTGTCTTTGGGGAAATGTGTAAAGACGCCTGGTTCATTCAGGAGGGTCAGTTTCTGTCGGGTTATCCATTGTTTTAGTCGTGCACCGTTGGCGCGGTCTGCTCGGATGTTGTTCCTATATTCATGTGATATTACTCCGTACCACATTTGATGATGGCAGTTGAAGTCTCCCATTACTAGGCAGTTGTCGAGGGTTTGGATTGTTTTTGCTATTTGGGCAAAGGGGCCGCTTCGGCCTGGGGAGTATATATTTAGGATTTGGGTTTTCTTGTTCTGGATTTCTACCGTAATCGATACTATGAAATTATCGTATGTGTAATGGTGTTTTGGTTTGAGGTTGGCATGTTTGCGGACGTATGTTGCACATTTTGTGTTGGTGTTGCTGGCTGTGAAAATATAAAAGAGATTTGATTCTGGTGGGTATCCCTCTGCTGAGGTCCATGGTTCTTGTAATAATAGGAAATAAATGCTAGCGTCTGTTTCCGCTTCTTCTACCGCCGCCTTGGTGATAACTTCGCTCCGTGCACAATTGAGTTGGTGTGCGAGCGCGGTGGTTCGAGGCCTAAGCATTATTTGTCATGTGTTGGTCGTCTTCGGGAACGGGTGTGGCTCCAACCGGGGCGGTAGCTGGTACTTGAACTATTGGAAGCAACTCTTGAACGGGTGCGACCGGTGGGTCTTGAGCGGGTGGGGCATTTTCCTTCCCTTTGTTGAGGAATCGGCGCTTGGCCCTTTCGGGGCATGCTGGGTCGGAGGCCTTATGAGCTCCTTTGCAGTTCAGACATCTGATTGGGGTATGGGTGCATCTATATCCTCCCTGGCATTGATTGCATGGGTGGAAACTGGTGAGGTGATCTCCGGCGCAGTGGCCGCATTTCCCATTGTTCTTACATTTCTCCTGGCGGTGGCCGTATTCGAAGCACTTCGCACACTGGGTATCCGGGAAGGTTGGGAGGAAAGCCTCAATGTGGCAGTTTCGGTTGAAGAGGGATAGGAATTTAACTCCTAGTGTTTCCATTGTAATTTGTCCTGTGAGCGCGATGACCATTGACGAGTGGGTTTTCTCCATTCGAGTCTCTGCTCTGGAGATCCAGCGGGGAACCTGGGCAAGTTGGAAGTTCTCTCCATAGTTGCTTCTGATTTCTGATGCTACCAATTGTCCCGCCTCAATGCCCTCCCCGACCGTTGTGGGGATTCCATGGAGGAGAAACTTTGACCATTTAGAGTTAGTGCGGATGACAGCGACCGGTATCTGTAGGGTGAGGAGGGCCTCCTCAATTTCTTTGGCATATTCCATTGCCTTTGTTGCAGGGGTAACGAATTTTGTTTCCAAGATGAAGTTATCCTTGGCTGTTCTCCTTGCTGAGATGAAGTGGCAGGATTCGTCCTGGATTCTTGCATTGACCAAGGTCCTGATCTCGGAGGAGTTGACGTCGGATGGGGCAGTGGTTTCAACAATGATTTCTCTGTTGATTTTGGTGTACTCTGGTTTGAAGATGGGGTCCGCTTTTGGCTTTGCAGGCTTCTTTCTTTCGACCAACTGGAATTTCTGGGCAGGGACGGCTGCCGAGGCCACGGCGGCCCAGGTGCCTGCTTTCCATCCATGGGGTGGGGCTTGTTGGGGGGGTGTGGGTGGGGGGGCCTGAGGAGCTGCCTATGGCGCTGCTTGGGGAACTGTTTGTGGGACCGCTGGAGGGGGCATTCTCTGTCCTTGCGGTTGTTGTGGTTTTCGCTGTTGTTGCTGTTGTTGCTGTTGTTGCGGTTGCTGCGGTTGCTGCGGTTGTGGTTGTTTATTGAGGAGCGCGTGGATCGCCGAATGCATATTGGTGATCATGTTTGTCTGCGCCTCGATTTGATGTTTCAGTGTATCCACTGTTCTCCGGAGTGTAGTCGTTTGCTCTTCGAGGATTTCAATCCTGTCGGAGGGCGGGCAGATCCGGCTGGTGGCATGTCTGATGGCCCAGGTAATATAGTTCAGGTCCGTCTGGGTGTGAGTGTCCTGGGGAACAATGCTCGGGTAGAGGTAGTCAACTCTTGGTTGATAGGGGTCGTTGTAGTCGGATTCTGTTGCAAAGGTCGAGGAGAATTCCTGTTCCTGAGCTCCGGATGGGGTTGGGTCGGGATCCTGAGTGTTCCTGTTCTGTGGGGGGTCTGCCCCTTGCGGGGAAGATTGGGTGAAGAAGGACTGAAGTGAAGCTTGCTGCGACATGATTGAATGTCCAGTTCTTCTGGCGGCGTAGAGTGATGTTTCAGATAAGTTTCTTTTCCTTCCTTTCGGGAGGTCAAGGCTGGAGAATTCTTCGCTGGAAGCCAGTTTTCGTGGTGTTTCTTTCGCTAGGAACAACAAACGCGACCGTACGGTCAGGGACGAAGTGGCTCAGCCTGGTATGGTATACCAGGGTAAACCAAGAGGAGTAAAATAAAGTGTTTTTGAAGCGAGGTTTATTGTCAGGAAGTTTTGCGAGCCTTAGCGAGCCGGTAGAATACAGAAGAAGAAGAAGAAGAAACTTATATTGCTTTGAAGTACAAGACTTATCGCACACCGACCCAACCGCCTAAAAACACGAACCAAACCGAACCGAACAAAAGAAAGAAAGAAAGAAAAACCACAAACGCAAACGCAAACAAACAAGAACAAGAACAAAGACAAAACAAGCACAAACAAGCACGAACAATAACAAGGAAAATCCAGAACAACCCTTCAACCAGAAAGTCCAACGACAAGGAAAGATAACTTATCTCAGCGGACTCGAGCGCTGGATCCATCAAATCAAAGAATAAAAACAATTTTTAAAGAGTAAAAGGAAACTCCCCTTCCTAATCCCGTTCCCGGTCATTTTCTTCCATCCCCTCTTCCAGGTCCGCCTCCGCCTCCGCCGACTCGTACCATTTCGAGAGTTGAGATTGTTTCGCAAATTGTAGGATGAGGTCCGTTCTCAGGTTTGTAAACATCCAGTTTTCCCAGGTCCTCGCTCCGGGGATCTTCTCTATCAGAGGGGCGCGGATTCGAGCCCATGCTGGGCATTCCATAAGTATATGTTTTGCTGAGTTTTCCATCCCACACTGGCATGGTTCGGGGTCTGTGTATACTGCGTGTTTGTCGACTCGGGTGGTTTGGCACCGGATCCGAAATACTTTTTTTGCTTCCGTTAGGGTGAGTTTCGCAATCTTGGAAGGGGGGCGGAATTCCCCCCGGTGATGGTAGTCCGGTATTGGTTGTGTGTTCCATTCTTCCAACAGGTGGTCGCGTAGCAGTTTGTTTTGGTTCCACTTATCTCTCGCATTTCCGGGGGTCTGGTATGGGAGTAGTAAGGAGGCGATTCGGTGTAAGCCTGTTCCTTTGATATTTGCTTCTCTGTATGGGAGGAGCTCGATCAGAGATTCATTGTTGGGATGGGTTGCGTCGGTGCAGAGTATTCTAGTTCCGTACTTTCTTGAGCGATATGTCAGGAGATGTTCTAAGGGGGGTAAGCCTGCTTCTCGGAGGAGTTTGGTTCTTTTGGTCCATCGTGGTAGGCCGGTGATGACCCGGGCCGCTTCATTGTATAGTGGTTCGAGGGATCTTATAATGTGGTCTGCGCCAGTCCACCAAGCCTCGGATCCGTAGAGTAGACTTGGGAGGAAGCCTTGTGTTATAATGTGATGGATTGTTTTAACCGTTATTCCTGGCAGGCGGGCGGTGTACCGAATCTGGTGGAGGGCTTTAAGGCCTTTTGCGATCGCTGCTTCGATGTGGGGCCGGAAGGAGAGGGTCGGATCTATCCAGACTCCTACATATTTCAGTCTTTCCTTGGGGTGTATATTGATATTGTTAACTTTGACCGGAAGTCGTGGTTGTTGTGTGGATGATGTGGTGGGTCGGAAGAAGATCAGATCGGATTTATCCGGGTCGTATTTAATTTGGAGTGGTTCAGCTTTTATTAGTCTCTCTCTCATTCGTTCCTCCATTCTCTTGATTGTGAAGCCTGGTGTTTTGGATATTTGTACCAGCGCGTCGTCATCGATGTAAGTAGTGTCCATCTCTTTCGGGCTGCTTGTTGGGTCCAGGATTACTCCAGCATAGATCATAAATAGCACCGGGGACATGGGGCTACCTTGCGGCACTCCAGAATCATAGGGCTGTGGCTCTTCTAGCTCATGGTTGAATTGAAACTGTAGTTTTCTGCCGGTATTGAATTCCTTGCACCATTCTGTTAAATAGGTAGGGAATTTTTGTTGTTGCATGATTTCCGCGAGGAGTAGGTGGTCGACGCAGTTAAATGCTCCTTGGATATCGTTGGTTAGGATCGCTGGCCTGTCTCGCCGAGCGACTCCGGTACTGTTTTTCAGTAGTAGGTTTTGTTGTATTGGCGTTAAGGTTCTCAGCAGGGCGTCGATTGCCGAGATGGTTGGTCTTCCTCCAAATTGATTCGCTGAGAGTGTGCCTAGAATTTCTCCAGCGGTGCAGAGTCTTTGGGCCACTATCTTTTCCAGGATTTTGCTGAAGCATTGTAGAAGGGAAATGGGCCGGTAGGCTTTTGCTTCATGATAGTTTGCTTTACCGGGTTTCGGGATCGGGATACACTTAGCTATTTTCCATTCCGCTGGGTGTACGCCGTGCCGGAGCATGGCGGAGAACATATCTTGGATTAGAGTTGTGTTTGCTTTGACTATTGCTTTAATAAAGGTATAAGGAATGCCATCCGGGCCGGTAGCTGAGTGCGCTGGACAGGAGTCAATTGCTTTATTAAGTTCTTCGGGGGTGACTATGTCGAAGGTGTTGCTAAGGTCAAAAGAAGGGGGTCTAATGTTTAGGGGGGGGTGGTCGGGGGACGTCCGTTTCGAGGGGAAAAGTTGGGCTCTTAGAGCTTGGCACTTCCCCGTGAACGTTTCTTCACCTTGTATGGTTGGTATGATTGTGTCTCTTCTTCTTCCTACGTTTAGGATTCTCCAGACTTCACTACCTTTCGCCTCGTTCATCGTCTTTTCCCGCTGGTCCGCTTTTGCTTTCCGGATCATGACTGTCCATTCTCTGCAAGCCTTCCGGTGTTCCTCCACGTGATTGGGTTTCCTTGTGTTCCTCGCCTTCCTTTCTGCTGCATTTACCTTTGCCTTCATTTGTTTCATTTCATCTGACCACCAGGAGTTGGCTCTTACCCCCTCCTTCGAGAGCGGTGTTACTATGTTGACTGTTGACCTGACCAGATCTAGAAAGAAATCAACAGTCTGTTCCGTGAGTTCCTTGGTTTCCCATGCCTCTGCAGGGATGGAAATGTTTGACATGTGGTTTTCCAATAGTTTCCAGTCTGTTTGTCGCCACATTCGTCTTGGTACAAAAGGTGGTTTCTCCAAGTGTAGGTGAACGGAGGTTCTCTCATGGTCTGAGCCCGCTCCGTAGGGTTCAGTGCTCCATCGTAGGTTGTGATCGAGTATTGGGCCTTTTACAAATGTAAGGTCGATGGTTGTGGGCCTTTTCCCTCTGTCTCTGGGGAAATGCGTAAAGACGCCTGGTTCGTTCAGGAGGGACAGTTTCTGTCGGGTTATCCACCGTTTTAGTCGTGCACCATTGACGCGGTCTGCTCGAATATTGTTTCTGTATTCATGTGAATTTACTCCGTACCACATTTGATGGTGGCAGTTGAAGTCTCCCATTATTAAACAATTATCAAGGGTTTGGATTGTACTTGCTATCTGAGCGAAGGGGCCACTTCGGCCTGGGGAGTATATATTTAGGATTTGGGTCTTTTTGTTCTGGATTTCTACCGTAATCGATACTATGAAATTATCGTGTGTGTAGTGGTGTTTTGGTTTGAGGTTGGCATGTTTGCGGACGTATGTTGCGCATTTTGTATTGGTATTGCTGGCTGTAAAAATATAAAAGAGATTCGATTCTGGTGGGTATCCCTCTGCTGAGGTCCATGGTTCTTGTAATAATAGGAAATAAATACTAGCGTCTGTTTCCGCTTCTTCTACCGCCGCCTTGGTAATGAGTTCGCTCCGTGCACAATTGAGTTGGTGTGCGAGCGCGGTGGTTCGAGAACTAAGCATTATTTGTCATGGGTTGGTCATCTTCGGGAACGGGTGTGGCTCCGACTGGGGCGGTGGCTGGTACTTGAACTATCGACTCCTGGACGGGTACGGCCGGTGGGTCTTGAACGGGTGGGGCGTTTTCTTTTCCTTTGTTAAGGAATCGGCGTTTGACTCTTTCGGGGCATGCTGGGTCGGAGGCCTTATGGATTCCTTTGCAGTTCAGACATCTGATTGGGGTGTGGGTGCATCTGTATCCTCCCTGGCATTGATTGCATGGGTGGAAGCTGGTGAGATGGTCTCCGGCACAGTGACCGCATCTCCCGTTGTTTTTGCATTTCTCCTGGCGGTGGCCATATTCGAGGCACTTTGCGCATTGGGTGTCTGGGAAGGTTGGGAGGAAGGCCTCGATGTGGCAGCTTCGGTTAAAGAGGGATAGGAACTTAACTCCTAGTGATTCCATTGTAACTTGTCCTGGGAGCGCGATGACCATTGATGAGTGGGTTTTCTCCATTCGAGTCTCTGCTCTGGAGATCCAGCGGGGAACCTGGGCAAGTTGGAAGTTCTCTCCATAGTTGCTTCTAATTTCGGATGCTACCAGTTGTCCTGCCTCGACGCCTTCTCCGATCGTCGTGGGGATTCCGTGAATAAGGAACTTTGACCATTTGGAGTTTGCCCGGATGGTAGCGACTGGTACTTGTAGGGTGAGGAGAGCCTCCTCAATTTCTTTGGCATATTCCATTGCCTTCGATGCTGGGGTGACGAACTTTGTTTCCAGGATAAAGTTATCCTTGGGTGTTCTCCTTGCTGAAATGAAGTGGCAGGCTTCGTCCTGAATTCTTGAATTGACTAGGGTCCTGATCTCGGAGGGATTGACGTCGGATGGGGCAGTGGTTTCGACAATGATTTCTCTGTTGATTTTGGTGTATTCTGGCTTGAAGAGAGGATCCGCTTTTGGTTTTGCAGACTTCTTTCTTCTCTCAACCACCTGGAAATTTCCTTGGGCAGGGCCGGGGGCCGAGGCCACGGCGGCCCAGGTGCCTGCTTTCCATCCACGGGGTGGGGCTTGTTGGGGGGGTGCGGGTGGGGGGGCCTGAGGAGCTGCCTGAGGCGCTGCTTGGGGAACTGTTTGGGGGACCGCTGGAGGGGGCATTCTCTGTCCCTGCGGTTGTTGTTTTCGCTGTTGTTGCTGTTGTTGCTGTT